CGCTTTAATTATTAAGCTAAACCATATCTTTATTAATATTTTTGCTCTTGTGCCAAGTTCCAACACACAAAACAAAGAAATAAATTGTGATGAGAAAATACATTTAAGCAAAAGCCATAATAATTTAAAAACCTTGCTATTACTAGGTAAGATTCTGTTCCATTCACAGAATGTACAGCTTAGCAGAACGTAGAGCTGGGCAGGTCATTCTCTGCAGAGTTTAATTGAAAATGGTCAATAGCTTCAAGTTCTTTATATTTTTAACTGATCTCTGCAGATATCCATATCTTTATATGTGAACATAATAGAGTTGTGGGAACCAGACAATGCTACAGGATTCCAATTTTGGTTTACAAAAAAAAAGTGTCCTTCAATGAATCACTGTTGAGTGTTAAACCATTTAGAGCAGGGGTGATCCCCAGATGTTTTAAAACTACAGCTTACATGATGCTTTGTCATTTTAAAGGCATGCGAAGGGATGGGAGTTGTAGTTCTGCAACATCTGGCGCTCTACCTTTTGGGCACCCCTGATTTAGATTATATTGAATAGGATCATTATAACCCTTGCGGTAATCATGTGTCTTTGGGGCACAGGATGAAAAACTTTACCTTTTAACACTCGTGTAAACTGAAGAGTGTTGGTTCGGCTTGTCCAAATATCGTCCATGGAAAAATATTTGGGGAAACATATATTGTATTACGTATATTATGTATATATTTTGCAGTACACTGGTTTATATTTAATATAAATATTATGTATGTATTTTGCAGTACACTGGTTTATATTCAATATAAATATTATGTATGTATTTTGCAGTACACTGGTTTATATTCAATACAAATATTATGTATGTATTTTGCAGCACACTGGTAGGGCCATATTTCTGCCATTAGGTTCACAGATCAAATGAGAAAATGAAACCAATAGAGGGAATAGGAGGAGAAAAAGTATAAATATACATTTAAATATAGATTTGATTTGATTTTCTAAAGCTCCTCCTTTTTTCCCTGAATTGGTCACTTATCACTTTATCTGTGAATAAAATCAACATTTAGTGGCTGTCTCCTCGCAATTAATCATCATTTTTCCCATCAATTATCCACTTTTTTGGTGCAAGAGAATGTACAAGTCTACACGGTAACCCTCTCAGCTAGGAAAGGCCAGACTAAGGTTTATAGATATTACATTCATAATATGTTCAGTGCAAGAACCTCCTAACATATGGTTATCTCCTATCTCCTACAGACCTTAGGAATCACAAGTCCATTGTCCTAACCTAACCTATCCAATTTTTAATCCTACGTACTGTTACCCCTTTACCATACTGCAATATCACACATTGAAGCCAATGTACAGCGCTACGGAATGTGATGGCGCTATATAAATAATAAAATAATAATAATAATAATAATGTGTTTATGAATCCCCTCCCATTATAGTTCTGCACTAATGATGCTCGATATTTTAAATGTGTCAATTTCTCAAATCCATTTTGAATTTTATTACCTATGACCATGCAGAGGCCAAATCAGCGGACATGGAGACGAAAACTCTCCAATATTGCTAATAATCCATTTCCATTGCTTTCGATTTAGGTATATGCTACAAATATGCAAACAAAACAAAGTAGAAGATAAAAACGTAACATTCTAATTTGAATATATATATATATATATATATATATATATGTATTTTTGTAATTAGATGTACTCCAATTATGATTAGATTAGTGACGCCTCTTGTTTAAATATAAATAAATAAACTATATTACTATTGAATTTACCTTCTCTTCAGTGCTGGTAAAGTTTTGTCGCTGCAGCCCATGCTTCTCCACTGAAGTAATCAATTCTGATTATGTTTGTCCATTCAGATGCTTCTCATAGTGAAGCACTGAGGACCCATGGTGCATTTCTCCTCCTGGGATAATTTTGACATCCGTTAATAATCATTACGATTGCAAGGTAAAGCAGAGCTGTTACTTCTCAGTAGGTAAACAGCAAACACTATTACGGCATTTGCTGAGGTAAATAACACAGGGAAAGTAAATAAAACAATTACCTCTGCCGCACCTCCATATTAAGGCTTCATTGGCCCACGATGCCCCATGATGCCCCATGATACCATGATACCCACTCAGGCATCTATCTGAGAAATTATGTACCCACTCATCCGTGTGGATGGCACTGAAATAGTTACATTATTCACATACATTTCTGGTCGTTGCCCGGCCGAGCATGTAAATGAAAATAAAACTATATATTTTTAAAAATAATTTTAACAACCTGTTGGTAACTCTTAGTCAGTTATTAGGTTTTGCTAAAACTAAGTATATGACAGGTTTCTTTTTTAATAACATACTGTTGCAACATCTCACTGAATATGCATGACAAACATTAGTCTATACACAAAATTGTTGTTTTGTTCATATTATGTTAGCTATTAATCATGTATTTAAAGGAAATGTTCCATTTGTCTTTACTTTAAATGACACCAAGATAGCCCGATTTCAGTATAGTGAGGGGAAGGAGTTTGTGCACATTTTGGCAAATTGCACTGTAGTAAATGGATTAAGTTTAGAGTAAAATATTATATATACACAACCCAACAAAACTGCAGATGGAACGTTCATTGTGGTGAATTGTTTTGTTGAGTGATTCTTACGCACCAAACATTCCGGGTCGCTTTTATTAACAGTATTAGTAATAGTATTGGGGTAGGAATGAAAGATCTGAGTCTCAACGATCTCCCCCCCCCCCAAAAAAAAACACAGACATGTGGGAGGTATGCAATCCCAGGCCAGTTTGTGTTCTGTCATGCAACTAATTTGTATCATGCATGGTAGTATTAAATAAATTACCTCTTTTTTGATTCCTGAGATATTACCGAAGTTGTTGATAGGTCAGCACTGTTATTTCAGGCAAAAGAAAATAAATCTGACTTAGTGAAACTTAGAAGTGAATTACCCTCCGGTGCTTTCATCATTCCATGGAAAAATCAAATACAGATGGCAAATTATATTTCTGCCCTTACTGTCAACTGCCTCTGATGCTGCATGCATTAATTAGTTAAATGCTCTGAAAATATACAATTGTTAGAATGTATATTATCCTAGGTGATTTTAGTTTCCTGATTACAAGCAGGTACAAGCTAAATTCCAATTCTGGTCATGATGTTAGGAAGTCGAACAGTGTTAACCAGAAAAATACTAAAGGCATGCAATTTTAACAAACTACACACTCAGCTGTAGCAAATAAATGGGGTGCAGCTGTCATAAAGCATGATACCCTATGGGATATTATTCTCTAAAACTGAGGTTTTCGATTACATGGCAGATGTCAAGTCGCCATGACCTACTGTTAAGTCATTAGACACCTCAAGTGAAGAGAAGTCAATGAAATTACTTTTCTCCAGCTTGTTTACAACTTTACCAAACTTTATTTCAGCTAGGTCTCTGAGTCTATAGTTTGGACCTTTAGGGGTCAGGCCACTATGGGAATGTAAACAAGCCAAAGCAGAATGTAAGAGAGCACTGAAAAAAAAAGCCAAAAACATATCGTTTATTCTACAATGAACAAAATTACAAACGCAACACTTTTGTTTTTGCCCCCATTTTTCATAAGCTGAACTCAAAGATCTAAGACTTTTTCTATGTACACAAAAGCCCTATTTCTCTCAAATGTTGTTCACAAATCTGTCCAAATCTGTGTTAGTGAGCACTTCTCCTTTGCGGAGATAATCCATCCATCTCACAGGTGTTGCATATCAAGATGCTGATTAGACAGCATGATTATTGCACAGGTGTGCCTTAGGATGGCCACAATAAAAGGCCACTCTAAAATGTGCAGTTTTACTGTATTGGGGGAGTCCGGGGATGGTCCAAAAACCAGTCAGTATCTGGTCTGACCACCATTTGCCTCACACAGTGCAACACATCTGCTTCGCATAGAATTGATCAGATTGTTGATTGTGGCCTGTGGAATGTTGGTCCTCTCCTCTTCAATGGCTGTGCGAAGTTGCTGTATACTGGCAGGACCTGGAACACATATATGCGGATCCAGAGCATCCCAGACATGCTCAATGAGTGACATGTCCGATGAGTATACTGGCCATGCAAGAACTGGGTTGTTTTCAGCTTCCAGGAATTGTGTACAGATCCTTGCAACATGGGGCCGGGCATTATCATGCAGCAACATGAGGTGATGCTGGTGGATGAATGGCACAACAATGGGCCTCATGATCTCGTCACTGTATCTCTGTGCATTTAAAACGCTATGGAATGTGAGCATTTGTCCACTCAAGTCGGTTACAACGACGAACTGCAGTCATTGTTTGTCCCCGATGAGGATGACAAGCATGCAGCACCCAGAAAAGAACTGTCAGGTATACCATAACATCAAATGTTTGATATGGCTCTTATTAACCCATCTAGTCACACTTACAGTTTAAGATTATACATATATATAAATATATATTAGTCCTCCAAATGGAACCCAAAATGGAAATTAGCAAACCCCTAAGGCTACAGTTCTTGGGTTGAAAAGACTCCTGTAGAATATATATATATAAAGCTTTAGAATACATTGTTCCTTTTATACAAACTAACAACTTAACAATTTTGGTCCTAAGGACAAATATTACATAGCCTGATACGCCTGTCTGTACATGAAATAGACTCATAATCTACATCTCGATAATTCTCAGTGTTGCGGAGAGGAGCCTCTGGGTCTTCTTCTATGCACTATTATGTGATAATATTACACACTGAGTTTCCTGGCAGGTAAAGTGGTATCTGAAGACACACATTTAGACCTCATGTCATATGCACCATCCTGCATAGGCAGCTGTTACATGTAATTCCCTATAAGTAACACTCTGGAACTTCAAAGTTTAAATATGTAAAAATAGAACAAGAAGGCTCTGAGAATGAGCAAACATGTATAGTAAGTTCTCGAGAGTTTGGTCTCAAATATGCCATTTGCCATTGCAAAAGTAATCATTAGGATATCAGGATGATTGCGCTAACAGAGGCAGTTTAGATATGAAATGTCACAAGAGGACTAGACAACTGCCTTCTGTAATGGTAAACTGTGTTGGAGGCCTCTTGAGTGAGCACCAGCAATTAAAAAAAAAAAGATAGTGAACATTTCTCAATTCACTTTGTCTTTTACATTGCGGGTATTTTATTTTTTGTTGTTGTTTGTTTGTTTTTTTGCTGTGTTTTTGCATTATTCTTAGAGTCTTCCTAAAAAAATTGTAACATATCATCAAAGCATTTAATCAGGAAGGATAAACCCAGTTTTGAACTTCAGCCTGTGGTCTAGATGTTGTTAACTAACTGAAGTGCACTCATTTTATCAACATTGCTATTATTTCAAGCTAGGCTCAGTTGACCCTTCAGGGAATTGAACCTGCAACTCTGAGACATTGGACTACCTGCCGAGGTATCATACATTGTCGATTTGCTTGCTTAGTATGGATGTCTTCAATACTCAATTGACAAGGCCTTTGATTACCTGAAACAATCAATTTACATCACTGTATCTTATGCATAGCAATGCATATCAGCTCTAGACTACCCATGTGGGACCAATCAGACTATCTAGAAGAAATTCCTTCAATGCATGGACCACGTAAGTTAAAACTCATTGGAGACCTCCTAAATTTGTACCTCCCTGACTTTCATTCCAGTTTAGACTAACTCCTTAAGGACCAAACTTCTGGAATAAAAGGGAATCATGACATATCAAACATGTCATGTGTCCTTAAGGGGTTAAATAATTTATCTAATTTCTTACTTTTTTGCTCAATGCCCATCACGCCATTCTATAAATTCTTTCAAAGCTCTTTGGGATCGAACATTTTAAATATCATGCTGCATAGCTTACCCTGTGGTTGCAATCAAGTAATTCAGAAAAATATAAAACCTTTGCCATAGAAGCACATTAATACCGGTCAAAAATACTAAATCTATAAAATGTTACCTTTCACACATCACTATTACTGCTGTGTTGATCCATATATATTTTAAATTACATTATTATTCTCATGTAACATATTTTTGTTAATTTGTTCCCAAATCACATTACTAAATATGTCATTGTTATCAACTGATGAAATATGCTTGGGATGGTATATTTTGAACTTAAGCATCAAAAGATTACAGTTCTGAATATAAATCAGCTTTCTCCAATGTAGGATTTTGTTTCTATGAATTTATTTATTTGCTTAAATATTTATTTCCTTGGCATATAGTGCTATTCTCACCTTCAAATGACAGTGCCTCGTTTTCTTCTATCAGTCCATATGGCTGTCACAGTGTGGGTATTGAAATGTACTTGTAAAAATGAGATAAAAAGCTTTTCTGGAATGTTTTATAGTGTATACATAGACGTACCAGATAGATAACTCTGTCGGTTCATTGGGAGGACCGGTATACCGAAGGCCCTCTCGGCGAATGCTACTTGACCAATCAACTACAAACAACAAAAAGGAGGTAAAATAAAATATAAAGATCAAGGGGGGGAGGGAAATCATAATTTTGTGTTCAGTCTAAAAACAACCCCCAACCTATTCGTAAGTCAGACAAGAGGCTTAACTCTGCTATTGCTAAATATTTATGTCATGTTTAATTACCCTTGATATCTGGGGACATTGGCAAGAAAACAATGTTTTTATTAATGTCTTGAGGAGTACACTGTCAGCACGGTGTATAAGAAATGAGAGATGAGACCATTTAATGGAAGATGTTTCGGTTGCTTAGTTAACATACTAAGAAAGCAATTTATTTCATGGCACCCAGTAAAGGATGTTTAATTCTTCAGAACGTATCTCATGTTTGTTGACAATTGGCCATAAATAATATATGATTGCGGCTGTAATTTATATGACTGCATGTGTAAAGCTGGCAATCCCATTCAATTAACCACCGATATAAAAGAGCGAGAAGAAATCTTTCAATCAAGCTGAACATTAGGATTGCAGAAGAGGTAATGTGAGGAAATCCTGACATCTTGAAGATTTTTTACACATGCAACTACTCAACAGAAATTCATTACACCCATTATCATATTAACTGTGTTCTGCATTGTGACATCTCTCGTAGGCATCAAAGTGGCACACAAGACCCAGCGATGACAGAGTTCTAGGCTTTTACACATCTGCCTAATGCTAATGTTCTCCTGTACATCCTGTAAAGAGATATGAGTGAAGAGAGACACTTTAAACTGGGTTTATTTACTGAACAGAAAATTGCTGTGAATTGGAAAACTAAACTGCAAAATTTAGACCAAATCGATATAATAAGTAGAAATGGCAGCATTCTTAAAGCTCTGCTAATTTGGATTTTTTTTTTTCCAAGTTTTTTTTTTCCAATCACAACTATTGATTATTTAGTAAATTAAACCTTCAGACTTCATCTAACGCAATGTCAGTGTGCATCAGACATTTTAACTGAGAGATACAAATTCAGATAATTATTTGTGTAAAATTCTACACATATAAACAAATGTTGTCAATATGTTGGATAATGAAGCTGCAATCCTTTCATTGTAATATATTCGCTACATTAATCTTTTCACTCTCAATAACATGTATAGACGGGAGGCAGATGTATGCATCCAACCCACATACCCTTCTATACTTGTTTGTCACCATTTCGATAACTTGGAAAAAAACAACTTAGGACTAGGAAATAATTAAAAATGTTCTCATTGTTCATGAAATAATAGTTTTGCTTTTCTCATTAAATAATGTGCTACTATCCATTGTGACGTAAAAAATAAATTTACAAATTTTTCACAGAATACAAAAAAAATTATTCTAGTGATCATTTTGTTTTGCAAATAACTTTGTATTGGGGGTTTTATATTCTGCTATGAACAGCAACATTTAGCAACATTTTGAACGTCTAGATTTAGTTTCTGCTTGCACTTTTTTTTAGCATTACACATTTGTATTTGGAAATGCACAAGTACACAAATAATAATATTATTACATGATAGGGCACTCTGTGTATTTTACTTATTATTTTAAGGTATACTTTCTCCTGTGCTAGATAAATTATAGCCCATTCTCGTCATATGATACATGAAGAGGACAGTGACTCAAGGATGGATTTCCATAGCAGCAAGAATAAAGATGTTCTTTATATTTTCTGTTTTGTTTTTTTATATACTGAAAATCATCAGTGGAAAGAAATTGTCTGCCTGGTTTTCTTTGCTTATTATGCTAACCCGTTTATATTTTCAGGTAAATAAACAATAACAGGAGGAGTAATTTAGTGAATTATTTTTAAGGAGAATATTTGGGTCCTTAGTCATATTCTAGTGACCATTAATATTTTGTACCTTCAGTTATCTCCAAAAAGCAGAGAGTTGACCCCTTTTATAATATATTAAACGCACACAAAATAAAAAGCATGAATACATTTGAAGTTCCTACATATCCTTCAGTTCTCCTATTTCCTGCTATTTGCCCTAACGAAACCAGGAAGTGGCTGAAAAATGCCACCATAACTCTCTATGGGAGCTTTGTGAATGTCCTTTAAAATCTTGGACCATTGAGGTTTATAGGATGTTAACTTATTTAATTATTATTTTTTTTATGAATAAGGCAAAGTAATAAAAATATTTTTAAACTAGACTCTAAACTCGTTTAAGCAGGCTCCTCCTCTACCTATTGTTCCTGTATAATTGTGTAATTATCTAATTTATTGTCAAATTTCATAATACTTTCATGCCAAAGTTCATTTATATCAATTCACATCATGAAGTTTCACTAATGAATCTGAAAAGGAAAAGATGCAGTTTGGGAGAAGTTGGGCATTGTTTATTTTAATTTTATTTTATTTTTTTCAACTAAAAGATTATTCATGATTTAAAAAATGAAAATTAAAAAGTAAAACATAAGAGTATAAGTAGGACTCACCATAAATATAAATGATATTGCAAATTCCTCTAGAGTTACTGAGATGAGAAAATATTGTGTAAGAGAGAACAACTATGATAAAGTTATAGAAAAGACAAAGATAGGGAAAGATGAAAGTTGCAAAACACAAAGAGAGAGAGTGACATGAGATGGAAAAGGGGCAGAGAACAGGAAAGTGCCAGGGATAAGGGAACTGACAAGAAGCCATCTAGTTCCTCTGTTTAGGAAAGCAAAACCTGGTTCTGAAATGAGGGATGTTCTCAGAACTTTATTAATATATGGTTATTATTTGTAATGAAAATACTGGAAAAATATATTGAAAAAATATATATATATATAAATACGCATGGCATAGTTAACTATAATGTCAAATAATGAAATGCGCCTAATATTTGAGCTTACCTAAAGTCCTTAGATTTTTGTTTTTGGAATGCCTTATGGAGTTCCCCTCGATTCAGAAGAAAACTAAGGCTCCCTGTGATGGGAACTGTATTTTTGTGGTATGTGATTTGCAACGGTCCACTGGCAAAGGATAGATGAATGTGACTTGACTTGCCGTGGTCAAATAAAGATGTACCGATGATCGCTTCTTCATAATCAGGTTTAGAAAAAAAAGGATAATATAGAACTCACATATCATAGAACTTACAAAATCTGATATTTATGATTGAATATTTCAAATACAATTTTCATTTTCCTCAGAACATTTGTTTAGGCCAAGGGGGTGCAAGCTACAGAACAAGTGTGATGTGATATTTAAACAGTCAAGGGTACTAAGTTATGTAAATTACTAATTATGTCAACCAGGATTGATTTTCCATAAACCAGGCCAATGAATACAAAAAAAGACAATTATCCATGTGCTTATATTTCCCCTTTCATTTCAACCTACAACAATAGTGCTAATATTATAGCAAAAAGAAAAAGAATATATGTACAAAACACTCTGACCATCCTCTCCACACTTGGAGTGTCTTTGTTGTGCTACATGAGTGCTTATTCTTGGGCACAAAAGATGTAACATGTAGAGAGTAGAACCGAGGGATTTTGTACATATATTTTATTTCTTTATATTTTTTTATGTGTTTTCTATGTGCCATTGATTGATCTTTCTATGCCTTCATTAAAGGAAAAGTATTATCTTTTAACGATCTGCATTGTTGTTGGTTAGAATGTTTCGTTAAGCACATGTTGCAGCGCTGTTTGTATCCCTTGGATTGATTTGCCTACATATGTTCCAGTAAAGAGCTTGGCAGGTGAGCACAACTAACCTTTTCTTATTTTTATTTCCTCTTTCATGCATGTACCTAACAATTTTCATGTATGCACCTAACATTTTAGGATGAAAAACATGCCAGTTGTCATTTTACAATATTTCTATTTTCTTTTAATTCTCTTTCCCTCACTTCCTCTTCCTCTCAGTACCCCTTTTTCTCTGGACAATTGGTCATCTGTCAGACGCATGCTGAGTTGACCTCAAATATTCCATCTAAGAAAGCTATAGTTTATTATGTGCTGGAAGATTACCCTTAAGAATTGCAAATAATTCCCTCAATGTGCCCAGATAAGGGATCTTTTCCTCCCACTGCCAAGTGATGCACAGCCATGCAAATTTTATGGCATTGTTTCCAAGATGAGCTTGTAAGCCAAGAAGATAACGAGACACCATTTAAAGGGCTACTTAGGCACCCAGACCCGTTATCTCACTCAGAGAAACTGCAATATTTTTATTGCAGAGTTAAGACTGCTTCTAGTCTAGAGGTGCTTCCTGGTGCTTCACAGAGTTTAACTCCTTGAAACACATTCTCATGCTGTCCAGCTTCTTGAGAAACCTCTTGAGTCAATGCTTTTCTATGGGGAAGGCCTAATGCACATGTGGAACCTGCCGCACAGTTGCTTTAGTTTCCCCCCATCAGTTGACGTTAGAGGAGAAGGAGGCCCACTCAACTTTGAAAGACCTAAGTGATGGAATCAAGTAAGTGTTTAAAGGGTTATTTAACCCTTTTATGGCTGAGTGGGACCAGGAGGGGCGTGAAGGTAGAGGGACACTTCAGTGTTAGGAATACAGTTTTATGTTCCTGATACTATAGTGTTCCTTTAAGACAACCACCTCACAGTTGGGTTTAAAAAGTCAAGCCAAGAATCCAGCTATAAAGTATAAAAGAATGTCTCCAATACCTCACCACCTACCTGCATTGCCACCACATATGAAAGTATGTCCCTACTGCAAAGAGGGGAATGTTCCAGACAAATATGGCTTAATCTCACTTGAAGTACCACCAGGAAAACACACTTGTAGCCATTTTCATTAGCAGCCCATATAATAAGTTATAACAACTCTCACAATCTAATTCCCAAGATTTGTCATCTAGCTTTGTCTTGACCTATACCCCATTCCCAGAGCATTTCAAATACAGTTTTACCAGTGCTCAAGGTAACTTGAAGCTTTTTACATATTGTTTTACATCCCTTAGAGTATAGGGCATTTGAGATTTAAATGCAGCATTGTGCATAAATCTCACCAGTAATTGTTATCATTATTATTATTTATAAGGAGCCAATAAATTCCACAGTGCTGTACAATCTATTAATATAATGTCATTTAGCATACCTGATGATAACATGACTTCTCTGCAGACACCCAGGAATGTGTGATTGGGTTGTTAAACCTTCAGTCTAAAATGGGTAGTAAAACTTTGCATACACCAAATGAACTTGCTTCTTCCTATCTTCTTCTTAGTCACCATATGTTATCCAACTTTGTATCCTTGGATAACAGCTGCTCAAGCTGTGTGACATCTCCAGGTCTGGGTGTAGCCACTGGACAGTTAAAGGGACTCCACTACCCAAATAAAACATAAATAAATAAATTAGAAAGTAACTTTCTGGATCAATAGTCTGCTTGAAAGCCAGGAGGTGTACAAAGGTTAATTTAAAAAGGTGTCAGTTTCTATTGTAATCTGCCCATTTTGTAAAATGAAAGCGAGGACACATTCTTCACCCATGAAGCATTTCAGCAAGCTAAAGTGCTTTAGGTGTCCAGAGTGTCCCTTTGAGCCTTACAGTTGACCTAGATCAACAACAACTGACCAGGAATTGACTCAGAAGCCTCACATATACCTTTTTTTAAATGAATATAGGCACATACTCTTACAACCAACATTTTACATATATTTCATGAGGGCTTTTGAGATTTCAGGAAGGCTTTTGACACTGTTGCACTTAGAAGGCTCGTCAATAGCCTTCAAAACAATCTTTAAGTTTGGATTCCAATATTTTTGAATGGGTATGACAGTGGCTGAGTGACAGGCAACATAGGGTTGTAGTCAATGGAGTATATTTGAAGCAAGGTAAGCAAGCTAGTTACCAGTTGGGTACCTCAGGGATCTGTACCTGGACCATTCTCTAATATTTTTATTAGTGATATTGGAGAAGGTCTTGATAGTCTTGATGTGTCTTTTTGCTGATGATACAAATATATGTTACAGGGTTGATGTTCCAGGAGGGATAAGCCAAATGGCAAATGATTTTGGTAAACTAGAAAAATGGTCAGAGCTGTGGCAACTGACATTTAATGTGAATAAGTGCAAGATAATGCATCTTAGAAAAACACAAGGGCAGAGTATACACTATTTGATAGAGTCCTAACCTCAACATCTGAGGAAATGGATTTATGAGTAATTTTGGCAGATGACTTAAAGGTAGGAAGACAATGTAATAGAGCAGCAGTAAATGTTAGCAGCAAGCTTGGTTGTATAGGGAGAGGTGATAGCGTAATTGTTAAAGATTCATATAATATTGTGATATTGGCTGAGCAGACATTTGAGATATAAATCTGGCTTTGCACACATTTCCTATAGCTGTAAAAACTGTTCTATAAAACCTAATATCATTAATTAACCCCACCATTGCTATGAGTTAGAACAGAGAAGCACACTCTAACCTGTAGCACTAACAAGGCTCCACTTTAATAATTACACTAAATAAACTATAGTATTGCGTGTCCCTAGGACCCATGTTGACCAGATGCATCCCAAACACTTCAATCTCATCCCCCACCCAGTATTACTGGTTATTACTGAGACCCCTCTAATTTTCATGGTGGTTGGGGTTTCTAAGCTATTTTTAGGCAAACTGGAATAATGTCATAGTAGTTTAGAGGGATGATGTTGCAAAAAGCAATACAATGGTTTATGCATTTTCCTTTTAAGTTAAGAGAACTACAAGATAATCAATGGGTTTATAATATGTCATTCATCAAATGTTTTTGCACTTGGGCCTATTTTTTTTTTATTATTATTTTAGGCTATCCACCATGAGAGCAATAACATTGCCTAAGTAACCAGGCCAGTCTATTGTGCCGATCAGCATCACAAAGTAATACAATGGTTAAGTTCTCTCAATTATCTGTGACATTTACCCAGCTGCACACAATTGTGACTTTCAACATACTTTTACTTATGTTACTTGCAGCCAGTTAAGCCACATATTAAATGTTAACTTTGTTCTGCTTTGTGTATAAAGTTTTGCAAATTTGAACTTCCTCACGACCAGCACGAAAAGCGGAAATTCGCACCGATAAATAAACAAGCAAATTTCATTCCTTGTTTTATGTATGAAATCGATTAAACCCTTCACTAAATGGCTTACAAATTTGCATCTCATATTTCTGTCACCCAGTGAAAAGATTACAGAAACTGCAAAGGCCCATGTTGTATACAATACCAAATTACAAAAGGTTGTAAAAACTAATGTTTTGTTTAATGTTTTGAACAAGACCATATGCCTTTAGTGACCTTGAGTAAGATATTTTAATTTAAAACATATCGAGCTTCTAAAGGTTCGAAAAGAAAACAAAACCTTTGTGGATCAGAAAACCCTAACCCCAGTGTTTATAACAGAGTAATGTGTTTTAATATCGTTTCCATTTGTTTTGCCTTCCCTGGCAAGGGGGTAGGTGTTAGCACATTGCATGTATAAAAATAAGGTTGAAAACACATCTTCTCTACTTCACATGTGAGAACTTTTTATTTCTCTTTTTTTTTTCACCTTAAACAAATCTCTATTCAGGGAACTGTTTAAGTAATCTACTAGGTATAAGTCATGTAAAGACCTGCAAAGCTCTCAGTTGTTCATTTGTCTATTATATGAATGGCTGTTGACCTTGCGATTCCATGGACATGTTTTACTCTGCATTCCATGCACTATTTAAAAAGAAGAATTGAGCAGTTTAAGTGGATACTGTCATCTAAGTCAACAAGTATTAACACTTGAAACTAACACATGGGTAAATATCACAAGGTAATAAAGCCTTATTTAAGTACAGGCAAATAAAAGGTAACGGCTTGGTGCAGAATGGCACAGAGTGTGCCAGGTAGTTCAAAAAAACTATTTTGGAGTTTGGTCGGCAGGGGACTGGTCAGGACACCAGATGCAATAGGTTGACTGGAATATTAGTGGTTGTAATTGTAAATTTTTATAATTCTAAATGATGGGTTTCTATTTGTGCTTTTTTTTGTATTTGTATGTGATTTTGTTATAAATAAACACGTTTTTAAAAGGACATATGGATCTCCTTTTATATGCTGTCTATGTCATTGATCTCTGAACTGCATTTTTTAGTTATAAGCAAAACTGTCTTGGAGATTTTTGCCAGTTTGGTTAGTTGGGATTAAATGGACACTCGGGACCCCTAAAGCACTTTAGTTTGCTGAAACTCAGTGTGTCCTCTTGGATCAGAACTCTGTTTTTCATTTTATAAAAAGTGCAGATTTCAGTAGCATTGAAAAGTCTTAACCCCCTCCTCCCCCCACCACCTCCACTCCCTCCCCACCTCTACAGCTATCAATCAGACAACTAGTCCTGTAACTTTCTGTTTTGGTTAGCTCACCAGAGCTATCCTCAAGAGGCTGACAGTTGTCCAGAGGGAAGGACTTGGCTTGTAAAGGCTGTAGATAATAGAACTGCTGCTTTTGCAAGCTGTTTTTAGATATATCCCCAATGAAAAAAAAAACACATAATTGAATGCATTTACAGTATTTTTTATTTATTTCCTATTATTCTTTTAGTTGATTTTTTTGTACTCGGGCAGCGGAGTGTCCCTTTAAATTTGAAATTCGATCTAAATTCACGAAAACTCTTGCTTCAGTAACTAACCCTGAAGAATGATCTCCATTTTCATAATAATATATATATGCTGGTGAATCTGTTTTGTATGCTGTATAGCATGCATTTCTCATGCAAAAGTCATGGACATTGTGAGTACAGATTCCTTAGAGTGCAAAGCAAAAATTAATTCCTCACAGTTTATAATATAAAAGGCACTTATATTTCACAGACATTGAACTTGTGTCTGCATTGCATGTAATTTACATGTATAAACTGCTTGCAGATGTAAAGTCAGCCATACATCTGCACAAACATGAAAAAGCAAGCAAAACACAAAAATAGTGTTTGGTACAATAGGATATAAATCAGGCTACATATTCAGCCCTTTTGAAAGTTACCAGATATGAGATCACTACACTGTTACAAAAAAAAATGCTCTTTTACAATCGACTTGTTCCTTCACACTAGGAATAGATAAAGAACTCCGGGCTAGAACTTAAACAGGATCACTCCAGTTGTTACAAATCCATCCTTAATATACACATTATAATGTTTGGCACAGGACTTGCTTGCAGTAAAAAAAAAAAAAAAATTTAAAAAATTATATGATACTTGGTTGTAAATTGTGGTTTTTAGCCAAATAAATTTTATCCATAAATGAATTGATTCGTCCGAATAAACGGCCTTTTAATCAACACTAAAGCAAATTGTTTCTTCCATTCATTTGCCAGGTGGATCCACCTGTTCAGGTGTGGATTAAAAGACTTTTGATGCGGACGAATTGTTTCATTTATGGACAAAACACATTTTTACACGTCTAGTTTTTTCCCACAATACATTCATCACCTGGTTTGTATGGCTAAGAAACAGAAGGAATTGTCTTATATCATATGCTTTGAATGACAGACTCAAATTGCTTAATTGGCTGAAGATTGTCCTATTTAACAGTTCGAGATAAACAGGCAATTCCCGGAGAGTTAAACAGAAAGCTGCACAGACCAAGTCATACTAATAAAGTCCTAGTGAAAGTATCTGCTGAGTCCTGTAAGTGGAGTTGATTGGTTGCCTAAAGGCACTGTAAAAAACGAATTCAATGTTGCAAAGAGGGATCAATATCTATGCTGCTGTCACCTTCAAAGACTTCTCTACGCCCCATACCTTCTTGTTCTTTGGTCTCATAAAGACTCAGAAACGCCTCCAACCCTCAGACTGACTGAATTACGGACGTTTACACTTTCTAAGTGTAATTGTGTACATAGACCTTGCTATTTAGTGTCAAATGTTTTTTTAAAAAAGCTTTCCATATGAGCACTCTTGTAATCTTTGAAAACTACGTAAGTTTCAGTGTCATGTTTGCGCTGCTAAAAGATATTTTATATTTCACCTTTAATTGAGAGCCTTTATGTAAAAGGTTTACAAATGTATATTACAATCAGGGCTGTCCCTAAATTGTCTGGTGCCCTTTCAAAAAAATCTGTTGTCTCTGCAATAACAAAGTATGCATTCATAGATGTGTGAGCAGTGTGGGTTTGCAGGAGGTGGTTGGAAGTGGGTTTGTTCTGTGGTGTGACAGAATGATGGAGACTTGAAGGTGGTTTAGCTTGATGAAGAGTGAGGCTGAGCAAGTGCAAAGTGGTTATGACTGCCAGATCTCCTTGGTGATGTTTATGAATTCTGCACATCAGACAGGGATTGAAAGTGCTTCCTGGCAGTATGTAAAATTCGCACTTTTCCATGAAGTAAATTATTTAATCACATTCTTCCTTTGATGTAGGATTTGCCAGACCACCAACTTTTGCAGGAATATTTCTACGTTCTCAAAAAGCACTACCTGGCTACACATGACATTAATAAGCACAAATATTTCTCTTTGTTTCAATTACTATAATACCATAGTTCTGGTGATCTTTGGCAGTTGTAACTAATAATTCTCAACTGCTCCTACCAGACTCCATCACAAGATAAAAAAAAAACAATTAAACTTTGTGGGCAAATTGTGAGCCTGTTGAATGAGCCATATGGACACAATTTAATTGTCTCAGTGGGTGACTGGCAGACATGCAAAAATAAAAAGGCAAATATCCAGGTGAAATCCAAGGAATTCCAAGTTATTTGATTAATATTTATGACACATTTATATCAACGTATATATAGTTTGGTTGTTTTGATGTTTTGACTCAACCATGTTTATCCTCCTAGAACTAAAAGGAACGATACCATGTGTAAAGGGAGGCACTGTGGCATTCTCAGAACCATTTATTGTCCAGTGCTCATACTCCTAACAGGGTTATACACCAAAGTGAGAATCCAAAGTATATTTCAAATTTAAAGACAAAGTAGCCTAAAAAGAACAAAATCTATGAAACAGTTATGCTTGAAAGCTTTTTGCTACTTTGGTCTTAAAATTAAAATTCACTTTGAATTCTCACTTTAGTGAATAACTCGAAAATGTAAAAGCTGCTCTAAAGCACTGATCATTTTGTTCCTTTAATCCACTGGGTAGTGAAAAGGTTAACCAGTTCAACGCTGCATGCAAGTCAGGATCTGCATGTTTGTATGTAAGCAAGTTTCTCGGTCAGTGTGACTGTCTTGGTTAACATTTAAATGCTGCAGTATTTTACGTGTATCCAGACATTTAAGGATTCAATAGCAATGACTGTCATAGCAGGTACCGTGTTCAAAGAGCGTCTAGGATCAAGACATGTGCATTCCTAGTCCCAATAACTTGTCCAGTAATTGGTATATTGATTGCTAATGTCATCATGTTTTAGAATGTATAAACCCTTCACTATATCACACAGCCGCCAACAGTCCAAGAAGTCATTGTTTATTCATTGGAGTTCCCATACTGGCCTGGGTAGGATTGAGCTTGAGGGCTTGCTGATAAAGATCAGCAGATGATTGGGTGAACACATTCTTAACATGTCTGACCCATGACATCCCAAGGGCAGCAGCCAGCCTGTCATTACAGGCACAATGCACCTCTTTCTTTCCACTTATCTAAACCCAGATGACTTTGAAATTTTTATTAACTCATTAATGACTGAACATGTCATTAGAGGCACCAGGGAAAGAAAGAAATTTGAGTGGATGATGTATCACAGCTATAAATGCATAAGTCATATATATTGTTTGGTAGTGTGGGTCGGGGAGGGGGGGGGGGTTGTTTTTCGTTGTTGTTTTTTGCATTTTGCAGTTCTTACTTTTAACTTTTTTTTTATTGTATACAAACCAGCACTGCTGCAACACCTGGAAAAGGTTTCAAGTGCAAGGAAAAGTACACATTTTTACAACAATCATGTTCCTATTCCTTAAAGGGACACTATAGGCACCAACACAACTTTAGCTTAATGAATCAAATTTAGTGTACAGATCATGCTACTGCAGTCTCACTGCTCCATTCTCTGTCATTTAGGAGTTAAATCACTTTTGTTTCTGTTTATGCAGCCCTAGTAACTCCTCCCTGGCTGTAACTTACACAGCCTGCATGAAGAAAAAATGGTTCGTTTTCAATCGGATATTTACTTGCTTTAGAAGTTTTATTTCCTGTTCTGTAAATTGAACTTTAATTGCACACAAAGGGCTCCTGCATGATCTAACAGGCTATGGAGCAGGAGATAAGAAATTCTAAATTAAACAGAATGTGCAATAAAAAAGTTTAAACATTAGATGTCTCTTTACAGGAAGTGTTTAGGAAGGCTGTGCAAGTCATTTCCAGGGAGATGTGGCTACGGCTGCATAAGCAAAGTGATTAAACTCCTGGCAGAGAATTGAGCAGTGAGACTGCAGGGGCATGATCTATACACTAAAACTGCTTCATTAAGATAAAGTTGTTTTAGTGCCTATAGTGTCCCTTTAATTAACCCCATTTAATATCATGCTTACATACTACTAGAACAAGGTAAATGAACTTTAATGAGAATGTATTAACATAATATTGGGGCTGTCATAGACACAATTTTTTCACTGTTTGCACAAAATGAGATAATGCTCTATAAACATCCATTTGAAAGTGGAAACAAGTTCCTGAGCATTAATCATCCAATTTACAGAAGCCATATATGCATCATGATTATTATTTATCATTATTTTATTATTTATATAGCGCCAGCAAACTCCGTAGCGCTGTACAATGGGATAGCATAGAGATGTTGAACTGTGACACCCTAAGGCATGATCTCGCAGATAATCATGGTAGTTGCAATAAACAGACATACAGGTGCTGATATTTGAGATGTTCGAGTGGTTAAAGTCTTGCCCTTATAATAAAATCTATAGAAATAGGTATGGATAGGATATCACAAAGTGTCAGTGCATTCAAATTGGGGTACTGTTACCTTAAGAAACAGCAAATTCTCATACAAAATAAAACACAGGTGGCAGAAAGCACATAAATAAAATCTAGTATAACATTAAAATATAGTAGACATTCACTGACAGAGGCAAAGCACAATAACAAACTGCACTTTTGCCCCAAGGGCGAGAAGCCTCCAGGTAGTCCCCCAACACAATCTGGTTTCCTAAGTCCTCAATGAAGAAGAAACTGTAAAACCTAAGTGGAGTTCCGGGCAGCACCACTGAAAGAGCTACTTGTGACCAATAGTGGAGTGTACTGGAGGACTATCAGGGGGCTTCTGGCCCTTTGGCAAAAACACAGTTTTTGGTATTGGGCTTTACCTTTGTGAGTGAATGTGTATTATATTTTAATGTCATTTTATATTATTAAAATAGTACACTATATGTGCTTTCTGTATATAACAGTACCCTGATAGTTTATGCACGGACACTTTATGGTGATTGTATTATTCATATTAATTGCACAACTTGGCAGAACATTTGTATATTTATGTACTTTACTTAAGATTGCACTTAATATATATTTATTTAAATCTAAAGCAAAGATAGCGTAGGCACTCACTATAGAATACAATGGGTGGTAGTGGTAAATCGACAGGGATTGGTTAAATAATGTCAATAAAAATTCCTTTACATTACATATTTATTTAAATATATACAAATTCTACTTTTATTATGTGGATAAAATGTTTAATACAGGCATTTGCTATATTTATTTTCACACCAATTTTCATCAAATTAACATTCTGGACCATTTTATGTGATAAGTAATTCTGATGTAAGAACAAACAGTAAATTGTAAAACTTAAAATTCTCTTTGCAGCCTAACACATAGAATCATATGGATAGTGTTAATTGCTTTCCAAATACCCAGGTTAGACTTAAAGTATGACTTACTTTATTTCCACAGGCATCCAATAATCTAATCAAAAGCACATTCTTTGTATGTTTCCATATTCTACCACATATATTCACTATTTAAGAAAATATGTGCCATTGCGGACTCCACCGCAAAATTATACTTTACACTAGTCTTCAATTATTTAAGATATATTCAACAACCCATTTCTTTGAGATGACTTATCAACTAACCACCAGTTGACTCCTCTTCGTGATGCATTTCCCCTTTGTCTTCAGAAAGCACAAATTATTTTTCTCCTCTTTAATGTAAACAAATTGATTATAAATATACAGTTAACACATTCATTTTTTATTTAGATTTGATTATAAGTTACCTTTCATGTGGTTTTCAAACTTGTCCCACTTATCATTTCTTGATTGTGTAAGTCCATCTTGTCTTGTTGGACTTATGCGTATGTCTATTACACCCATTTCGGAGTACATTGGCAATGGCACACTATAAATGATGATGCTAATGATGATGATGATAATAATAATATGTTCTTTTATGTCAAAATGTTAATCTTCTTATCCTTTTCTTCATCTTGTTGAAGATTTTGGGTTCAACATTCTTTGTTTGCTTCCATATATTTGTCAATGCTTCTATTCTTTCATTGATCTTTCCTTCTTTTCTTCTTTGTTTTCCCTCTTCTTTAATTAGGTTTTCTTGTTATCTATTTTATTTTTCCATATGTTTTGTTTCTCTCCCCTCAAACTTTCTTTCACCCTTTATAATTTTCCTTTGCTCTCCTGTTATTCTACTCTTACATTGTAAGTGACTTTCCTCTTTCTTCTTTCCTACTGTCCCACTACCTTTCCTCTATACCTCTCTGTTGTTGCTTCACCTCCACACAGAAACTCTTCATTTCTTCACCCTCATTTATTTTTTCTTCTTGGCCTTCAAATTGAATCCTTCCATCTCACTCTCATTTTTCCTTTCCTACTTACTTCTATCTTTGTTTCACCTTATCTTATGTTATTTCTCCCTTGTTCAACCACTCAGTCAGTCCAGTCTCTACTATGCCATGAAATATACCACATTTCTTTCTTTTCTTTCCTCTTCAAACATTTTCTTTCTTGTTCAAATGTGGGTATCTATTTGGCATAGATACTTAATTACAAAATCCTCTGTGGAGCATTAAATAAATAAAATATTTTTTACAAAATTTAAAATATTTAAAAAAAAAATGTAAACATGTGCTCTAATAAATATTGTCTCATAGTCCTTACAAAAACATCTCAGAAAATGCATTTTTCTATTTAAAATTACTACTATAATGTAAAATGTTTTAAATATTTTTCCCCCATGTCCCATGATGCTGCTTAAGGCCTTGTTGCCATTTTTCATCTTAATGACCAGTAGATGAAGTACTCTCAAATCCCCTACAGATTCTGTTGACAAGACTTGACATGGGTCATTATAAATTACATGTTTATAGGTACCAGTCATAGGATAATGGCACTCATCTCACATACAGCAAGCACTAGGTCCCTAATAAGCCTTCATTGCATATTCATTGCCGAAGTGTCACTACCCTATTCATGCATTTTAGCAGGGGTTGGGGCATCTTCCCTTCTCATCTCAAGCCAGGTAAGCATTTTTGTGTCATGTTGCTGCAATTAAAGTGTAACGTAAGATGGATTGTTTGAGGAGAGTTTCATATACAAATGAGATTGTAACTCTCTCTGGGGAATCACATCCCTTGTCTTTGGTCCTGAGTTAAAATCAAATGTGAAGACATCTACTTGTGGAACAATTATCAGTATGTTCTCCATTTAATTTGCAGGTAGTTTCGTTTTGTTTTGGGTACCCACTTAAATTTTACAGAGAAGGTGAAATGAGTATCTAGCTTAAACTGGAGGTTATGCATAAAGAATAAATATGGATTCATAAACTAAAATTGGCCAATCGCTATGGAATCCAATATGTTGCAATGATAGCTTCAATTTTACTTTTTTATTTACTTGTGTTTGACTTTGTGCGTTATTATTGATGCTTAATAATATATAACTTATCCATGTGTAGCACGTTTAGTCTGCAATGTGGCTCAAGCAAAAACACTCCTGGGTAATAAGGAGGACACACAATAATTTTTAAATGGTTTTAGAGTGTTGTGTAATTTCAGTTTTACCCTGCTGATGCTCAGATTGGAAATATACCATCCCTTAGTTCTTCAACATAACATCAAACCTATACATAATTAGCAATAGCATAGTAGTTACATCCCCAGACTGTTCATACAATATTCGCGCACACCATTATTTCTAAGTGACTTTGGTTCTGCTTTACTGGTCTGTATATGATTGCTGTTGACTGTAATCATTTGTATTTGGGGTTCTGGATGTGATTATTATTCTTTCTGGTTCCCTAACAGTTTCTCATCTAATGGATTAGATTTCCACTCTGCCTTGATCTTGGATTTGTAATACAGTTGGGCTTGAACTCTGTCAGATTTGTCCCAATTCTGCCTGATTACATTTTCTTTATTTTTAGATATAAAAAATACACGACCCACAAGCCTCGGAACTTCAGTGACGAGTGACTGTATTGCACTTGTTTTTTAATACCATATTTTAATTCCTGTATAACAGACTACTACCAGTTAAGGTATTACATTAGCCTATAACTGGATGCTATCATCTCCACTTAAAAATGCCTATACACGGTACATACCCAAACCAGTACCAGAGATAAGAAATGCATTTAAGGAAATGTCTGGTTAATTGTATGTATTTGTTGACTGTATTAAATCTCTTTATTTACAGGCCTATTGCATCGTCAGTTCCGGCACACCACAACCGAATTGCTCTTTTATACTATCCTACGCTTATACTGGATCGTTATTCCTTACACGGCTATGTGCCCCTAACACAAATATATAGTTGATTTGTCTTTTTCTACTCATAATATAGCCCTTTAAAATCATAAAAATGCATCATTTTACTCACCCACAATCACCCTTTTGTATGTCCAATCTGTATCTTGTATTACTTTGGTAGTTACAAATCAAAATGGTTATTCCTTATACAGCTATGTGCCCCTAACACAAGTATTAAGGACGTTTGGCCTGTAATTGTGGGAGGGGCTTACTATTATACTCACCTGACGCCATACCGTTCGAGGTCAGCGTTTGAATCACCCTCACACCACTCCACATTCTCAACACTTTTTCCTTTCTTTTTCTCTTTTCCTTTCTTTTCTTACTCCTTAGTGGGCCCTCTTTATTTACAGGTCTACCACATCGTCGGTTCCGGCACACCACAACCGACTTGCTCTTTTATACTATCCTACGCTTATACTGGATCGTTACTCCTTATACGGCTATGTGCCCCTAACACAAATATATAGTTGATTTGTCTTTTTCTACTCATAATATAGCCCTTTAAAATCGTAAAAATGCATCATTTTACTCACCCACAATCAGCCTTTTGTATGTCCAATCTGTATCTTGTATTACTTTTGTAGTTACAAATCAAAATGGCAGCAACTCTTGGTATTCACTAGTAAGAGGAAGTTTTCTGTCTATGAATAATCTCAGTACTATTTAATCTTCCATGTGTCTCATGGTTACATTTAGGGAAAAATTAACAAGTATTGCTGAACTGTTTTACAATTATAAATCTCTTCCCCATCAACACTATGTATACTGCTGTTAAGATCTATTTTGCAATGCACAATGAGATGTAGTCCATAAGTAAGTATACTAAATATACTCCATGAATTCTTGCAGTACTTATTGCGTGTGTACATTGTGCCCACACAAAAATATTTTTACATTCTTGCGGCATTCGTGGAACTTACATTCCCAGAAATGCAAAGTACTAATTAACATGGAATTTGAGCAGTGTTACTTATATGTTTTTGTCACATCTACTGTATGTGACACAAATCAGATTACTAGGGATACCACACAATTTTTATCATTTTATCCCTTTAAATTTCTTTATAATGCGAAAGAATAACTAAAAAAATTAAAGTGCGTTCCCCCTGAATAGCAATCTGTACATAACAAGAAATTGCTGTAATATGCTCTCTTTATATGCTAGTTATGTTTAAAATGTAATTTTAATAAACATAGTTTATTTATAGTCACCAGAACAACTACAGCTTATTGAATTTGTTCTGGTGAGTAGAATCACTACCTTCAGGCTTTTTGCTGTAAACACTGTCTTTTCAGAGAAAAAGCAAAGTTTACATTACAGCATAGTGATAACTTCACTGGCCACTCCTCAGATGGCTGTAAGAGATCCTTCCTGGGTCATGGCTGCCTAAAATGCATCCAAACAAACATTCAGTATCTCCTCCGTTTGCATACAGACACTGAACTTTCCTCATAGAGATTCATTGATTCAATTCATCTCTATGAGGAGACGCTGATTGGCCAGGGCTGTGTTTGAATTGTGCTGGCTCTGCCCCTGATCTGCCTCTTTCTCAGTCTCAGCCAATCCTATGGGGAAGCATTGTGATTGGATCAGGCCACCACTTCTGATGATGTCAGCAGACTGCTTGTTTTTCTAAGTCAAACAGCATGCAGAGCTACAGCTTCAGGCTTGAATACAGTAATTTTGCTATATTTATGGAGGCATGAGGCATGATCATTTAATTAAGTAAAAATCTGACTTAGAAAGACAAGTTGGCTGCATTTCATAAAATTTAACCCATTCCCTCGCAACACTGTATTTACTCAACTAACTTTTATTTTTATTTGCAAAGTAATGTTACATAACATTTATCCCATAAAGACCCATTCCCTTTGCACCAGCAATGGCTTTCACTCTGCAAAGTTGCATTAAGCAAACTGTTGCTGAACATTTTCTAGATAATTATACACAGTAATTATACTCAGCAATTTATGATTCTCTGCAGATCAGCTTGCTGTATAACCTATCAGAATTTATAAGGTTAAGGTTAACATGTAACTAATTGTCAGGTTGTAAAACTCCCAGTATATAGTCATTTGTCCAGTTCTGTTGGAAGAATAAAGACAAGGTTTTGACATTGTTGAAAAATACATACTTCAATATGGCATTGACAAGAATGAAAATTACATATTCTATTAAAAAAAAAAAAAAAAAGAAACAATACTCTTTTTAATATTTAGGTGATGCAGTCACCCTAAAAGTAAAAAAAATATAATTTAACAGTCAATAGAGAATTGAGATGGGATGTTTGTTGGCGAATTCTTATTAGGCATTTTTTCTCCCAGGTTCAGGTGATTTAAAGAGAATGTATTCCTAACACTATAGAGCCCTCTGCCGCCCTTCCTTCACGTCTCGTCCCCTCACCCGTGATCAGTAAAGGGTTAAAAAAACACTAATCACATACCTGATTCCAGCTCCGATGTCCCAACATCATCCGAGGGAGAGGTGGGGAGGGGGGGCAAATGCGTATACGTGATCACATTAGGTCCTCCCCACAGGAAAGCACTGGATCAATGCTTTCCTATGGGGATTTGACTGATGCTGGACGTCCTCATGCAGAGCGTGAGGATGTCCAGCCTCATTTAGAAGACCTAGAGTCCAGCAAACGCTAGGAAGCACCTCTAGTGGCTGTCTTGTAGACAGCCACTGGAGGATGTCTTAGTGCTGCATTGTAAACTTTGCAGTTTCTCTAAATGTGCCATGTTTTACATTGCAGGAATAAGGGGGACAGGGGCAGTTCACCCAGACCACTTGAATAAGCTTATGTGATCTGGGTGTCTATAGTGTCACTTTGAACAAAAAGGGACTCAGCAAGGGACAACGTGGGAGAACTCTGGAATTCACCTTAGTACTACCCAATATCAAACAAGTTTTAGCCACCGGCAACAATAGCCAAAACATTGTGTTTAGTAAATAAACCCCTCTGCATGGAAAGGAAAATTACAAATCACCAGATCCATCAGTTTACAAAGCCATCAGAGTTTACAAACAACCTAAGTATTTTCAACCTATGTATTTACTTTATAGAACTGCGATGAAAGATGTCAGATTACCTTGTCAGGATTTGCCGTCTATTATGAGTTCTAGGTTTTTTCTTTACATTTACAGCTTGTTCGGCATAATAGTTTGCTGCTAACTGCATTTAAAGCAGTGAGATAAACAGGCAAGCTGCTCAAGAGAACTCAGCAGACTTGGATTCCACTACATTCCAACAGCAATGCTTGAGTAAAGCTGATTTATGGCGAAATTGCTGGAGGTTTTTTTTGGGTTTTTTTTGTTGATTTAAATGTTAGCTCAACCATGAGGTTTGCTGAGTAGCTCTCCACACAGGAGGGAAAATTTAAACTCAATTAATAATATTAAGATATAGTTTTTACAAAGTTTCATCCTGAGGCAAGCTATAAACTTAATCTTATCAAGACTTACAAAATAACCTAATCACCAGCATTTAAAAACCATTAAAAAAAAATCGTAAATGCTCTATATGGTTTACATAGCCCATCTGTAAATCATTAGAGACATTCACCCAGTTTAGATGTTGAAAAAGCATATTGAATTCAGATAAAAAGATAGAAATAAAGTACCTACAAAGTACTACAAAGGAGACTAATGTATTTTCAACACCAATAAACATATTACACTTAGTATGTTTTACAACAATGGAAGTATTAAGAATGAATGCGCCATTTTACCTTATGTAGTTAAACAATCTGCTGTCGCTTTAAATCTTCATTTCATAGTGAGACATTCTTTCTATATGTCGCTAGAAAATAAATAAGTACAAAAGATTTTTTTTTTTGTATGGAACTGAAATGGAGCATAAAATACACATTTTACAGGAACACACACATAAAACCGACTTATTACAAGACATGAGGCTGTTACATGGAAGAAATTAGAAGTTTCGCAGAGGAAGCTACAGAATCCAAAATCTGGAAACAATTAGAGCAAATTCATGACTTGTTAGCAAACATTCCACAATGTGTTTTTTTGTTGTTTTTTTTCATTCGTAGGTTGCCGTCAGTGTGGAGTTGTTCCAGTGTCTCAACATAATGTAATGTTTGAATCTCTTGTAAACTGTAAGTTGCGCTATGGGGTAGGTTGCAAAACAATTAGCATTGATGCTTTATCAGCTACTGTTAAAAAAATGTTTTACTGCGAAGACAGTTATGCTAAATATTTTGTCTCTTTAAACAGAAGCCTGCTGCCAATTTATCGTAACCCTGCAATCAGAAGGAGTGTGTGATCAAATGACATAGTTTGTGATTTTATTATCAGCAAAGTTTTGTTTCATTACCTCTCATTAAGAATTCTTATTTGGCATTAAATCTGGTATAATTTGGTCTTATTAGATTTGATAGTTTGTCATTAAAGGGACACTTTAAATACCATAACCACAACAGCTAGGAACACTAGCCTTACAAGTAGACAAGGCCTTTGAAAAAAGAAAAAAGATCTTCTGAAGTTGGCTTGAAGTGAGACTACTTATATATCACTTAGGAACTTAACGTATTAGTGGGAAAATTGTCTCATTTGTTCATGGGAAGAAAATGTTTGGACCAATACAGAATATGTACAGGAATGTTGGACTGTGTCATCTTGGAAGATGTAAAAGAATAAAGAATTGGAGTTTTTACCATTTTTACCATTTTTATTAGACTAACAAACTCCACAAAAACAGAAGAGGCCCTGTTAGCATCTTTTTCCTTTTCTTCACTCCATGGGCGATGGTGCGGAGAGTGAATAGTGTCCAGGCGATGCCCAGTCTGTGGGGCCCTGTTATAAAAATACATGTGATCCTCCAATAAGGGTCCAGAAGATGCTTATTACCCTAGACCCTGTAATAAAATATACATAGCTTCTTCTAAAGGCCCAGGAGATGCTTAGTTTTCTGGCTTTACAAAAAAAAAAAAAACACATATGATTCCCGATAAGCATCCAGGAGATGTCTAGTATCCTGAGCCCACACAGTGACCAACCCCTCAAGTGGCTATCGGTTCTCAACTCCCTAGCTGCCAACCAAAATATGTCCCTACCTATTCCCCCTCAGTCTTCTTATTCAATTTTCTTTTATTGCCCCCAAAATATAAAAATACCCCCCAAAAAACAATAAAATAGACCCAAATTGAAAAAACTTCAAAGTAAAAAAATAACCCATATAAGCCTATTTAATGCTTAGCAAAAACTGATCATTCAAGATGAGAATGCTGCTTATTTAGACTTACCCAGACTGTGAATGCTCAGTCAGCAAACTGTGATTGGTTGGCTCAGGCCAACCAATTTAGTCCTGTAATCGACAAGTCATATGCTTACCTAAATTTGCAATACGGTCTCTGTGATGCTTATTGTTTAGCAAGTGTCTGAACATACTGCATTGTGGGATGCCTCACTGAATATTGTGTTGTGTTTCAGTTATTTCTCTGCCATCCAAAATCTGTTCAGGTTCTGTGCATGGCACATCCATGCAGAGCAGGCAGGATTATACTAGGGGTTGAACTTTTATGGGTAAGGTGTTTATGGGACAAAAATTGTTTTTTATTTTAATTGTCTTGTATTTATTTCTGTTTTGTATTTTTAACTGATTATCTATAGAATTAAAAAGGAGGGGTGTTGGGGATGGAGCCAACAAGACGGACGCATGCAACCTGAGCGAGACAGAACTAACACAGCATAATGAACACCACAATTAGTGGAAATCACTGAAAAAGACCCTAAATTGAACATGGGCAGAAAGGCAAAGAAACAAAAACCAGACAAATCCTGGTTGGGCATGACTATAGGGGAAATGTTCAGACAAGCGCAGGGAGCATGCGGACCCAAGATGGCCGCCGACCTCGGAGAACTTACTGACTCCTCGGAGGACCCATTCCTAGATGACAGCAGCATGGGACCTCCCCGGCCGCTACATCCACGGTCGGTCCTACAGACCTCAGCACCGGTGACGGAGGCAACCCTCAAGGCAATGCTGGGGGACCTCCAAAAGACCATACAGACCGACGTAGCACTTCTTAGCACAGATCTAAAGGGCACGGTGAATCGCCTGAGCAGGGTATAAACCTCTGCAGAAGCTGCGACCCACTCCATAGCGGAGCTCCAAAAAGAAGTGACCGCACTGAAAAAACAACAAGGCATAACAGAACAGCGCTTCACAATACTGGAAGACACGAGACGGCACAACAATCTCAAGATACAGGGTGTACCAGAAGAAGTGCCGACCGAGGAACTGCCACACTTGCTGAGAAGGCTGCTGGGGGCCCTACTAACACCCAAATGGACCAAAAACGTAATACCAGAGGGGATCTTCCGTATACCCAAGCCCCGAAAAGAGCTACAGCAGCCCGAGACCTAGTATTGAAATTCTGCAGCGGAGCCGACAAAACGGCGGTAATGGCGGCACTCAAAGGGGTATCCACATACTCTTTTGAAAATATGGCCCTCACCTTTTATGCGTATCTCACGGGAGACACTCTCCAGTGGGGAAGAACTATGGGGCCCTTTATCACCCTACTCCGAGATCACGGCATACGTTACAGGTGGCGTCCGCCACGAACGTTACAAATACAACAAGGGAACTCAGTTTTTACCGTGCAGAACTTGCCAGAAGCAGCAGCACTCCTGCAGACCCTGGGCATACCGGAGGACGCACTCCATCAAGCTGAAAACAGGGATCGGGCCCCCTTGACCAGCAGATGGAATCCAGCCAACATCACCCCATTTGTACCACTAGGTACCCGGTTAGATACCTACGCTGCAATCACCACTTGAATAGTTAGACATTACCTGGACGCTCCGAATTATTATCATTTTTATCTTCTTTCGAACCCCACGTCATCCCTACCGAGAACAGACTGACTCTCAAGAGACCCCAAGTTCCTATTCGGACATGACTTCCAGCATCTAGCTAAGTAGTTGGTTGCGACATATTGCCGAGAGGACTCTTACTGCCAGGCGGCGAACCTCGAGACCGGACGTGGGCTGAGCGCCTGGGGGGGCCTGGCTACATATGTCCTACATCAGCTTTGCACTTCACCGGGATGCCTGTTGCTCCTACCTGCATGGTTGTCATGCCTGATCCCTGATTGCTGAGGACTTTTACCTGCAGATGAGCAAATATTTCATTGTTTTCCTTTTATCGATATCCTTTTTTTTTTCTTTTCTTGTGTCCTATCTCATTTATGCAGTTTAGCACAAAGTACAATGCCAAAATATGTGTAGCTTGCTGACTCCAATGCCCAGCATATTATTGATCAGGAGAGTATATTGCCTTAGTCCTACCATTAGAAATGACAACCCAGTTCTGCTAAATGTGATTACCCTCACGACCTGCACACGATAATCCTGATCTAAACTAGATAAACGTGTTGCAGGTCAGACTTTACTTATGATAGTTAATTCATTTAAGTTAATCATTTCAGTTATATTATTTTACTTCGCCTAGTCCACACACCAGTCTCGTAAATTACTTCTGTTGGTGGGTATAATTAGTTTCAGCCTACAAAGTGTGCAAGTTACCATGGCAAACACTACCAAGCACCACACACACTGATTTTATCGCCCTACTTGCTACTCAGCCACATATCACATAGAACACACCATAACTACACTGGTAACAGGTATGAGCCCTGGCTATATAACCACACCGTCTCCCTCCAGATGGTAACTCTGAGGCACCTATCGCATGCACCCGCCTAACCCAAGCCAACACCTTAATCTAACCTTACCTGGACTACACTTCTTTATTAAAAAAGGTCGATATGCGATTGTTCTTCCTCATTAAAATAAAATGTGCACTGTTCCCCATGTCACATAATTGTTATAACCCATTTCATGTTATGTATGTACTAGCTGCTGTGACGGCGCAATCTTGTTTGCATAACCTATGCATGAATAAAATTAAGAATAAAAAAAAAAAAAGGAGGGGTGTTATCTCCAGCCTGGAGTGTATTATTATTTGAGTTCATTTTAGACTGGCATTGTACATTCTTATAGTGAGTGTAAAGGGCTTTAATGTACAATAACATACTAAAGCTGCTAGTACAATTTATGGATTTTTCACACTATTCCTAAAGGAATTAAATATATTTCTGAAATATAACTTATCGTGCAGTATTATAAGAATGCCACAGTTCTGACAATCAGCAGATACATTCCATTCATTTCTGTGCTAATTGTTCCACTATGGCCAACATTAGCTAAAGTTTAGCCTTGTTTTATGCCATTTAATTACACATATTCTTCTTCAAGGTCTAAAATTACCTAAACTGAAGGTGAAAACACCAGGAATGGACCATTGTATTAAAGGACTGCAAATGAAATAGAAATGTTCTAAACTGACTTCGTGAACCTTGGCCAAGCAAATTCTGAGTTCTCTGCCAAAGGGTTAGTTCGGGGTGCATACATGGAACTACTGCCAGTGCCATACAATCAAATTGGAACAGGCCGTGTATACAGACAAATGCATGATACACACAAAAACAGAACAGTAAAGAATATGTTTCACTGAATAGTAAGTTGTGATAAGGACAGGTAACATGTTTGAAAAAAAAAAAAAAAAACATCCAAGTTTAATTTTTCTAGCTCAGCTAATTTGGCCAGTGGGTTAGAGAAATTAAGCTTAGTAAGTAAATTTTAAAAGTTCTGAAATAAATGTACCTTGAAAAAATGTCCAGTTGTCTTCTTCTTCTACATTGTTTTTCATCTCAGAAAGTGCTCATCTGAACATTCTATGAAATAATGGAAAAGTTATCAGCGAGTGTGTAACAATTCTAGAACAGTATGTGGGCCAAATAAAAATAAAATAATAGTCACAGACAATGAAGATGCCTGTAAGGAACATGGATTGCTTGTACACTCTATGAGATTTCACTGTAAGTAACTTGTGTCATTTATGTAGTGTGGAAAGGGTCAATGATGATACAACCACACCAGCAGACCTGTAGTGACTTGGTACAGCCAAATATTAAAGGGACATTATAGCCACTATGAGAATTGCATCTCGTTGATTTGGCTATAGTGTCTGAAGTTCCCAAGTGTTCTTTCACTGAGTAATAAACCATTTCCAAGCAGCTTAATGCCTAATATGTCTGCCCACAGCTCGGACCTCGCTCTCGGTATCTCTAAGGAAATGATTACACACTTCATTAGCCATACCAATTCATACCAGCAATGGGTGTCTGTGATTGTCTGAAAGTGGTCAGCTGCCATTCTCAACCAATCACAGCTACGCACTGTGGCTCAGACGAATGCTTCCACATTAGCCTAAGCAGCAGAGAGGAGATGCATTTCTGGGAACTCTCGTTTAGCAATAAACTATTAGAAACGGTTTATCACCGAATGAAAGGTCAGTGCCTGGGGACTCCAGACACTGCAACTACTACTGCAACTACTTAAGTAAGAAGATGTAGCAGTTATAGTACTACAGTGTCCCTTTAGCTTAACCAAACAGGGTGCCTATGTTATAGCTCCCAAATGTCACTATTTAGGAGGCTAAGTCCATATTTTAGCCCCTATATGCCTCTTTCCTATGCTCTTTTCTAGGAGCTCCTTATTGTTACAGTGTCTCAGTGTATAACAGAGCTCCACAACAATAAATCTTACAGTAATGTATCTTTAAACTACAATAAATGGATTTAGAAAATCAGTCTGTGTAAATAAGATGCATTGTTCTTGTTCTAAATTACATTTTAGTCGCAAAAATTGTTACAATGTTTTTCTCCACCCTATGTATGTCTTAATAAGGGTCAACTATTTTGTAGAGATAGAAATACCGCTCTATTGGATTGAAAATGTTGCTTTCTAATTGAAAAAAGCAGAAAGGTGAGTTGCTAGCATAGGGCATGCCTAAGGGGTTTGCCTTAATGTTGGCAGTGGAGCTTGCACTTTAATGGCCGTTGCAGTGGTACTAAATATGTTATTTAAGTGTACACAGTAATTAGGAATACTACTCGGGAACTATGCTTTAGTATTACTTATGTATTTGGGCTGATGACAATATCTGATGCTGCTATCCAGGAGTAGTAGGGATTTGAATGCAGGGCTAATTTCTACAAGCATTTTTAAACAAGACTATAGATTCATAAATATATGGAAAGAGGAAAGTGATAAGAAAATGTATACACAAGAAAAAAACCCAACAATAAATAATAGTAAAAAGCATAATTAAATATGACAATTTTATTGGCATGAAGACTGGTTTACAAGAACTTAGGTTATGTTTAAAGTTAAGCTAATTAAACCTTTTCGTGGTAATGTTTATCAGCATTCTTTACTACTCTTTAAATGCAGAATTATAACACACTAGCCGTATACAGCATGACAGAGTGGTGATTATTAATCCAGTGTGTACATGTTAACTAAATGCATAGTTCCGCTGAGCCGGCGCACATAGGGAACAGTTTCATACACACACTGTACATATATCCAGATGTTACTGTATAGATCCAGGTGTTCTATTTTTTTGTGTGACATTGTAGTTAGAAAATATTTAAATAAGAGTCTTTAACAGGGAAAATCAATAAGATGTGAACTAAAAAAAAATCACAGCTCCCTTCTCTCTCTCAGGGACTCAAGCGAGGGCCCACCCCCAAACTGACAATCCAGATCAAACTACACCAACAAGCCATTAAATCATACATGACCAAAGAAAGTTCTTCAGTGGTCAAGGCAACTCTTTTATGAAAAGTCAAATAGAGCAGATACCCTCCTCTCCCGTAAGCTTCGACACAGGACACAAACCAGACATATAGACAAAATCGCCTCACCCAACAGACATATCTGTGACACCCCTGATCCCTATATGACCATAACCCAGACTCACGCCAGTACTAAACACAATTCCAATCCGCAATTGAGTCATAACCCCCAAAATATCCCTCTACCTTCATTAAAAGATGAAGCCTTAGAGAGGCTTTCTACCCTAATCACAGAAGAAGAAGTAGCTAACGCAATGAAGACCCTGAAACCCAATAAATGCTTGGGCCTGAATGGCTTCTCCAGTCTCTACTACAAAACATTCTCCACCACCCTAATCCCCCAACTCACCACTCTCTGCAATTTAATCTTGAAGGCAAACCCCCTCCTGTCGGAAATGCTCAGGACAAACATCTGCCTTATCCCCAAACAAAACACACCTGGACCCATGTCGCTTCTGAATGTTGACACTAAACTATTCACAAAATTTTTAGCCAACCGAATCCACACCTTCCTCCCAAAACTTATACACCCCGATCAGGTAGGCTTCATCCCTACACGCCAAGAATGTGACAATACCAGACGCACACTTGACCTAATATGGGTAGCCCAACACAGAAAGATACCAACACTCTTCTATCAATGGATGCCGAAAAGGCATTTGATTGCCTGCTCTGGCCTTTTCTCTTCCCTGTCCATCGAAAATTCCACTTCCCAGAACCCTTTATTATGGCTCTAAAAACTCTCTATGATCACCCAACAGCTACCTTTCTCATACCAAACACAAAAGCACCAGAATTCACCATCCAAAACAGGACACGCCAGGGCTGCCCACCGTCCCCCTTCTATTTGCCCTATCCCTGGAACCCCTACTCCAGAGCATTTGAACCACCCCAACAATCAAAGGACTCAAAGTCAGGAATGATGAATATAAAACCGCAGCTTACGCTGACGATATTCTTTTAACCCTCACAGATCCATGCCACTGCCTGCCCCCTCTATTAGAGCTCTTAGAAGAGTACGCCACCTTCTCGGGATACAAACTATATCTAGACAAGATGGAAGCCCTCCCTATAGGCATCCCAAAACAGCCCCTTAATCACCTCTACCAAACCTACCCCTTCAAATACAACACACAGAGTATCTTGGAACATATCTCCCAACTGACCTCACCAACACATATAAACTAAACTACACACCACTGCTCCATCAAGCGCACGCAGACCTACAGAGATGGCACCAAATGTCCATATCCTGGATAGGTAAAATAGCCACTATAAAGATGAATTTCCTCTCCTCGTTCCTCTGCCTGTTCCAAGCCCCTCCTATCTCTATCTCGAAGCAAGATTTTAAACCGTTTAAGATAAAAATAGACAACTTTATCTGGGCAGGTAAAAAAAAATGAGAATTAACAGGTCCACTATGTACATAACCATTAGAGTAGGAGGTTTAGGCCTTCCAAATTTTTACCACTTCTTCCAGGATGCCCAACTGGCGCAAATCCAGAACCTCCATGCACAAGCAGGCATGAAACTATGGGTAGACTTAGAACATGTTCTCTTGGGCAGAGAACTCCCCTCACTCCTCCTCTGGCTCCCTAAAAAATACAGGCCACACACTCCTTTAATAACCCCAGCCCTAACCACATCCTTCCAAACATGGAACAGGATAATCTCACAATACCCTCTAGTAAATGTACCATCATCACTCACACCACGCCTGAGAAATAAACAATTGCTCCCAGGCATGACACCCAAAAACTTTGCGCATTTTGTAGATAACGGGCTGCTACGACTCCTCCACTTCATTAGTATCCAACAACTCTTACCATTCGCAGACCTACCAAGAAAACTACTACTTATCACTTTCGACCAGTTCCGATACCTACAATTGCGCAGTTTCATAAACGAACCAAGCATTACGACCATGGCTAAGGCCACGCTTACACACTTTGAAAAGGCATGTCTACACGCCCCTGTTCAAAAAGGACAGATTTCATCGATATACTCCCTCCTTAACTCAACTTCCCTGGAAGATGTTCCCTCTTATACAGCGGCTTGGGAAATAGACATAGGCCCACCAGATGACCCCTCTGACTGGGGCGGACATCTGGGAAGTCACAGTTTCACTCACTATATGCGTAAACCACAAGGAACAAGCATATGCACCGGTGGTACCTCACATATCTCAGGTTAAAGCAAATGGGGCGTTCGGACACAGACGTCTACTGGAAAGGTTGCGGAACCAAGGGCACAAATATTCAACTGTGGTGGAAATGCCCTTCGATTGCCCAGCTTTGGTTCAGCGTCTCTGACCTCGCTTAAAGCATCCTCCATACAGACTTGCCCATGGACCCTTGGATCTGGTTACTCTCCAAACCCCATGCCACTCTTACCAGAGCATAGAACAAACTGGTGGCGAGGATTGCACTCGCCACCAGACATACGATTTCTGAACAATGGAGTAACAACAACAAACCTTCCCTCGTAGTGGTAGTCCATAAGACTGATGAGACTATGGAACTGGATAAGCTATCAGCCATGTTTCACGAAACAACAAAACATTTCCACAAAATCTGGGACCCCTGGATCCTGGAGTTCTAAAGTGACATGGGGGGAGGTCAGGGGCGTGCAGCCGCCCCCCGGGGTGGAGCCCCCCCACTATCCTCCATAACCTCCCATCCCCTCTTCTATTCTCCCTCCTGCACTCACTATAATCTTATTAACCCCTTCCTTTTTTATCTATCTATGCCGTAGCACAACCCAACACTACACAACACACACAGGGAGTCTGCCCAACAAAGGCAACAACCACATATATATATCTACCAGTGATCAGATTCTTCCTGACACACTATACATATACAAACATAGTTAGAAATCCCAACTAAAGTGCCACCTCTTACGACATGAGGCAATAAGAGGATAACTACGGCCACGGAAATGGAACGTTGAACCGTACAATGCTTACAACTATCTGAGTTGTGATGTCAAAGACCATAATTATCCCCTCCATCTATCTGCAACTTCTACTCTTAGCAAACCATTTACTTTATTTACTCCTTAATGTCAAGGGACTCACCGAAGCCACACTGACTTGTAGAGGCATCCAGTCTATCTATATGTACATGACTTCAATTATACCCTCAATAAGCACTACTGTTTGTACTGTCCACACCTATGCTATGAGATATATTCACAAATGATAGGCAATGCTTGTTGGATACCACCTGATATGTACCCATTTCCCTTTCTTTCTTCTGTAATCCCTGATTCCAGTACAACAATTACCTAAAAAAACTATAAATAAAGAAAAAAAAATTTTAAGTATATTTAAACTTATCTCAAAGTTCAATAAACAGTCACACTTGAAATCATTTATATAGAAATTTTACACCCACTTCCAAGCTAAAAGCATTGCAGCTTCTCCATACGTTAAGGCAGAAAACCACAAAAATTGTGATAAAACAGTGAAGTTAAACATAAAATAAAATCACAGCTCAGCTATTTTTTGAAATTATATATTTTTGTATACATTTAAAATATCATTCAAATGGCGTGTTTCAAATGTCCCAGTTAAATATCGTGATGCTCTAATGATGGTATATTCGTATGGCTAACGTCATTAAATCTCAGCACAAAAAGAAAATCCCAGTTATAAAAAGTGCTCCTAAAACAAGGTTAGGTTTAGGGGGGTTAGGATTAGAGTCGAAATAAGTTATTGATGAGAATGCTTAAAGGGACAGTGTAGACTGTAATCATTTACTTTGAGATAAAACTCTCCTATCTATTATCCCATTTCCCAGCTTTGTGAATGCATTCCTGCTTTCCTTACAAGCTATGGCTCAAAGTTCCATGAGCAGCTCTATTCTTTAGGAATGGCAGGAAGGTATACATGGCACTTTGGCATTTTAAAGTGTCATGATTTGTAATGATCTGCTGCTTACAGATAAACAGGGAGTGTAACACCAAGGCTATCAGCATCAATGAAAGTTATCCATTAATTAACATCCCACTTGTGTTTACTTCATGCTAATTTCCACAGGAGTAAGTCATTTACTACAATCTATTACTGATTAAGGTAGTATTTTCCTAAATTCCATTTTGCAGGACTGATGGGAGCCCTTACTAATCTCTAAGTGATTGATGGCTGCACTGTAGGCAAGATGTGGTAGCTCTATTAGAAAGTGTAATTTATAAATTAAACCACCCATTCCTTTACACCATACAGCACAGCTGTGGAACTATTTTCAGAGCAACATCTGCTAAAACAAATGTAAGGCGAACACAGAAGAATGGCTGAGTAGGGTCAATAACTGGTGAAAAGTCTTATCTTTAACCCAAATATCAGTCAATATGATAAGCGGCCTCAATTCCTGGAATATAAAGTTTGGATATAAACTGTTTATTCTCAGCACAAATTACTTGATCAGCAAACCTCTAAGTGATATTTAATATTGGCATGTTCCAGCTTAAGGGGTTATTCCAACCATTATAACCATTACAGCCTGCTGTAGTCATCTTACCTGGTCCTGCTGGGCACTGGGTTTCCTCTACAGACAGGTTTCGGACATCTGGACTTGTAGAGCTGCGAAGTCTAAACACTCTCAGCCAATCAATGAGTGTATGTGCATTGAAATTTGCATAGACCTGTTATTAGCAAACCTGGAACCTTTTGATGCTGCCAGAGGTGGAGTCACTTAGTCAGTCTCAGGCCCCAATCTAGATTTCTGTAAAATGACATAATTACCTATCTTTCTAATTCCTGTTACATTTATTTTTAGTCCTTTCTCTTCTGAGGATTTTACCATTGATTACATTTACAAAGTAGGACAAATGAGTAATATGGATACTAGGATATAAATATGTATTTGCAATCTGAAAGATTTTTTTTATTCATTAAAGAAAAAAGGAGGACCCGTTTGTTTTGTTGGTAAAATAAGTTGCCCTCCTGTACCTCGTTTCTATACATCGAAAAATATAGATTTCTATTTAAGACAGCAAAAAAGAGGCAAACGATAAAATTGTTGGAAAGAGCACAAATAGGAAAAATGGGGCGCTAATGAAGGAAAATATTGGCTCAAGCAAAAATCCAGTGTGAACACACTTGGGCCACCTTTTATATATAACCATCAAAGCTGTTATAGAGGTGAGAATGTTCTTTTAAAGAGAAGGCATGTTCTCACCTCTCACCTCCAAAGAAGGAAAACAAGCCCAGAGATGGGCTGACAACATGTACACATTATAAAATTAGGCATCCAGTGGCTATAACCCTTATAGGAAAGAATATATTCATAAATAGACTTGTGAATTCAGTTATGTGCATCTTCCTTTTATTGAATTTTAAGCCCCACCCAATGTGCATAGGAAGGTCCAGGTCCACCCAGTATTTTTCATGAACACGGGGCCTTTACTAGTGACTGGGCAGTAATAGCTACCAGATCCTAGTTCAGGCATAGGCAACCTTCGGCACTCTAGATGTTTTGGACTACACCTCCCATGATGCTTTGCCAGCACTATGGGTGTAAAAGCATTATGGGGGATATAGTCCACAACATCTGGGGTGCCGACGGTTGCCTACCCCTGTCCTAGTTGTTGATCACAGTGAGCAGGCGCTGGCTGTAAGATGGCAGTTTGGGTAATAAGGGAGGTTCTATACTTCCCTTATTCTAATATAGGGGTCTTATTGAGCCCCTATAGGCATTTATTGCTTTATTTTTAGAGAGTCTAATCTAGCCAGCTCGGGCCAGCCACCACATAATTAACGTTTGCCCTGCCAAAGGATTTTGTCACATGGACAAAAAACAAAAATACTTTGGCAAAACTAAAATGTTATATTGGACAAATCAATTCAGGCAATCTGATTTTTTTTGCACAAGTCTACTAATAAAGTACAAAAATAGACAACTATTATTGTTATTAAATCTTGTAGCAAAGCAAATTTTATAACTACACAAATATATTCACACTTACAATTATTTAACATATTGGCTGACCACAAAAATTACACAGAAACATTTTCTGCCAACACACTGATACGTAAAAGCAATTTCTGTGTGTTTATACTCACTATCTATAAAAATGGCAACTGGCATTTAGTATGTTCGTTTTTCGTGGTTAATTCACAAATAAGAAAACTTAGATAAATTGTCCATTTGTGATATTTGTAAAAAATATTTTTTTGTGGCTGTTTAGTACATGTCATCCTTATAATCTTTTATTTTAATTAATAATTAAGATCTCGTTCAAGTGGAACTGTCATTTCTCTGGAAATTACAACTCTGGAAAATTATCTATTATAACTTGCGTTAGCTTTTTTATTAAAGGACCACTATAGTGCCAGGAAAACATACTCATTTTCCTGGCACTATAGTGCCCTGAGGGTCCCCCCACCCTCAGGGACCCCCTCCCGTCCGGCTCTGGAAGGGGAAAGGGTTAAAAACTTACCTTTTTCCAGCGCTGGGCGCAGAGCTCTCCTCCTTCTCTCCGCCTCCGTTCCTCCTCCTGGGCTGAATGCGCATGCGCGGCAAGAGCTGCGCGCGCATTCAGCCTGTCGCATAGGAAAGCATTTACAATGCTTTCCTATGGATGCTGGCGTGCTCTCACTGTGAAAATCACAGTGAGAAGCACGCAAGCGCCTCTAGTGGCTGTCAATGAGACAGCCGCTAGAGGGAATGGGGGAAGGCTCAACCCATTCATAAACATAGCAGTTTCTCTGAAACTGCTATGTTTATTAAAAAATGGGTTAACCCTAGAAGGACCTGGCACCCAGTCCACTTCATTAAGCTGAAGTGGTCTGGGTGCCTAGAGTGGTCCTTTAAAGGATATCATAATCCCGTTCAGTTCAGGCACTGCCAAGGCACACAATGCAAATGAGGATAAACATTGTTTTGAATTTTCCTCTTCCACTATGATCAATGGGGAAAAATTACAACATTCATGAAGCTGGAAGCACCTAGCTCTAAGAATATTGATAACACTGGATAATGACAGTTCCCTTTTAAGTCGAAATAATATATATATATATATATATATTTAAGTAATAGTTTTAGTTCAGAGTGGCTACAAAATCAACTGTTTCTGTAGTTCTGTTTATTTTCTTGTTGGCTTTGATAATCCCAACTGTGTTTATTGTACTGGGAAATTCTAACTGACAGTCTGACTGATAACTGTTGAATTTACTGAGTTTAGTTCAGCAGGTTGAAATCAGTGTATGTTTATAAGATCTCATCTTGATAAATAGTGCTAACGAAACAAGTAAAGAACATTCAAGGTGGGAAAACAGATATTTTCCTAATAAGCTTTTGATAAATGTAGTCCTGGGGAAATTCACTTTTAGGCAGCTGTGAGCTCAGTTTATCTAATCATTCACAGATAATAACGGACACTATATAAAGATACAGATACAGACCTGGAGATCTTATTTGATCTGAAAATGGAAATTCTAACCTTTTAAGTATCTTTGAACTGTTCTTGTTTTCTCACTATCTGAAACACAGATCAATATGAACTTCTTGTGCTCAAGAATTCATTTCACAGATTAAAAATAGGAACGGGTAAAATAAAGGTCTTCTAAAAGTAGTAAGACTGTGGCCGACAAAATATAAACCAGTTAAAGGAAAATTGTGTTTAAAACTACACTGGCCACAATTCTTAACATAACATAATAATTTAAAAAATGCATTTTTGTTTTTATTTTTTTTATTGCTTTGTGTAATCAGCTGTCTTATACTTCTGCTTTTAAATGGGTTGGAACAATGCCCATAATTTTTAATATTATGTTTACTTACACTGTATTTCACAAAACATATATTTGTGAGGTGTACAAAATAAAATTAAATGTAGACATTCACATCTTTATTCTGCAACTGAGAACCTCCATCTTAGCTCCCAAATAGTCACTGCTATAAACTAGCCTTGTGTACAGAGAAATAATTAGGTTCGGCCGTATCGATTCCTCCAAATAAAAAATCTTGTTTGGGTGGTCTGAAATTCGTGCATGTGATGATTCGATTTTACGAATATTGTCCATGAAATCAATTTGGAAAACCTATTCGGATGAACCCAAAGGGCACTAAAATTGGCCAGTTAGTGTATTGTAAATATAAATATTAAGTATTAAGTAATGGCAGTAGGAGCAGTAAAAATCTATATTTATATATTATATGTTTATTAAATTTATAATATATGTTTATAAATATTTTGTTTACTGCTCCTCCTTTTTCCCTCTATTGTCACTTCTCATTTGGTCTGGAAATCAAATGAACATTTAGTGGCTGTTCCCTATCAATCAATCATCTTTTTTTCTCATCGTCATCTTTTTTTCTGCCACAGGCGAAACTCTTAATTACAAATCCATTGTCTGTTTTCTTTGTTTTGTGACATGTCCATATGGCCAGGGCTGGCGCTTCTTTAGACGAGGGGTTCCCAACCCAGTCCTCAAGTACCCCATAACAGTCCAGGCTTTAGGGATTATCCTGTTGTGTCTAAAGTGTTTTTTTTTCCTCTAAAAACACCTTAGACATAACCGGATAATCCCTAAATCCTTGACTGGTAGGAGGTACTTGTGGATTGGTTTGGGAACCACTGCTTTAGACCAAAAAGGAGGCCATCATGGGTGCTTTTTAAGGGGGGGAGCCTGCATCAGCTTTACTGCATGTATAGCCCCTCTTTATGGAGGCTGCCCCAATACATATAAGGTACTACTCTGGACTGAAAGGAAGGGCAGACATGACTGCTGCCCAGAAGTAAGGGGGTTGGCACAAAGGGACAACATTGTTGCAAGTTGGAGGGGAATAAAACGGAGGACTGGGGGAGGGGACTCACAAGTCATCCAGAAGGAGTGATGGGGACACTGACTCTTTCCCGCCTTCCCTCCCTGTGTTTCTTGCCAACATGTTGTTGGTTTTCTTGTGTCTGTTCGTGGTTCTGTTTTTGTTTTCTTGTTGTCACAGCTCTGGTGGTGCTCCTGGCCAGCGAAATGGAAAGTGAAGTGAAACGATGAGTCGGCTTGGGGAGTTGCAGCCTGCCGAGGACTTATATGAACTCTGGATAAGGAAGTGGTATTTGTCTGTTGGGGGAAGTTACTCAACAGTTTATAGTCGGATGGAATGCTGGTCCATTAAAAGTTGTAAACTTAATAAAGCTGTGGCCATCGCTCTTACCCATATTTCTGGTCTCATGTGTTTTTGTTGGGGGCAACAGGGGGGAGAGGATTGGTTAGCAGTCATGTGAGTCCACAGGCGATGGCACCAAGTGCCAAGCATTTACCCAAGTCCACAAAGTACTTTGCTTAGAGCCTGCCCTGCCCCTTCTCATAGGAAAACAATGGATCAAATGCTTTCCTATGAGCTGCAACATCATATGACCATGTTTTACTCAATTGGTGCCGTGGAAGCGCCTCTAGTGGTCAGTATCACAGTCACTAAAGGCATGTTTAACCCTTCAAGGTAAACATTGCCACTTCTGCAAAACAGCAATGTTTTACCTTATGGGGTTTAACCTACAGGGCCACTGCAAACAGACCACTTCAGTGACATGAATTGGACTCCGTAACTTTAGATGTCCTTTAAATTGTAGAGAGTATTATACATGTATATTTATATACGTGTATTATATTAATATTTATATGTTCTATATACATATATAAGCATAATATAATTGAATTTATACACAAAAAATTACCATAAGACATTAATACACAAGGATAAAACAGACGTACTATTCTCAGCCTATCAACGGCCAGTGATAGTCTGAGAGTGTCAGCTTATGTTCCCAGCCTTTCACTGACTGCCTTGCTAAACTATCTTTATACTGTTATTGTCATGGTGCTTGGAGTGTTTCTTAATTGAAATGCGCAAAAGGAAAATAAGAATTAGTGGACATTCAAAATGGATTCAGAGTGAATTTCAAATTCAAGGTCAAAATAGCCAAATTAAAAATAAAAAAAAGTAGCCAATTCAGCTGTTTCCAGTTTGACCTTAAATACAAAATTCTAAGTTCTTGAATTGGTGGATCATATGGGTGGGACAATGTGATGTCACACCATGAGTGGAATGTACAGTGTGTGGTTTGTGTGATGTCCCACCCTGAGTGGAGTGCAGAGTGCGAGGTTTGTGTGATGTCACACCCTGAACGGAGTGTACAGTGTGTGGTTTGTGTGATGTTACACCTTGAGCAGAGTGTACAGTGTGTGGTTTGTGTGATGTCACACCATGAGCGGAGCGTACAGTGTATTTTTTGTGTGATGTCACACCATGAGCGGAGTGTACAGTGTATGGTTTGTGTGATGTCACATCTTGAGCGGAGTGTACGGTGTGTGGTTTGAGTGATGTCACTCCACAAGCGGAATGTACGGTGTGTAGTTAGTGTGATGTCACACCATGAGCAGAGTGTACAGTGTGTGGTTTGTGTGATGTCAAACCACGAGCAGAGTGTACAGTGTGTGGTTAGTGTGATGTCACGCCATGAGCAGAGTGTACGGTGTGTGGTTTGTGTGATGTCACTCCACGAGCGGAATATACGGTGTGTAGTTTGTATGATGTCACACCATGAGCAGAGTGTACAGTGTGTGGTTTGTGTGATGTCACTCCCTGAGCGGAGTGTACGGTGTGTGGTTTGTGTGATGTCATGCCACGAGCGGAGTGTACGGTGTGTGGTTTGTGTGATGTCATACCACAAGCGGAGTGTACAGTGTGTGGTTTGTGTGATGTCACGCCATGAGCGGAGTGTACAGTGTGTGGTTTGTGTGATGTCACTCCACACGCGGAGTGTACGGTGTGTGGTTTATGTGATGTTATACAATGAGTGGAGCGTATAGGCTGCAAACAAATTTTTTTAATCATTAAACCTCTTTCCACCTGGCAGTTAGCATAGAAAAAGCATACAGAGAAAAGGAGTATTGAAGCAATGTTTTTATTTATCCTCTCCTGTGCAATATTTAGCAAAGCAGATTTCCCCCTTTAAACTAGCACTTCATGAGGGCATATAGAGAATATATATATTCAACTCATATTCCACTATCCTGGCTTACAAGTTAGTCACCACTGCAAGCCTGGAGAGTCCATGGCACACTAACCAATGGATGAATTTCTGCTCACCAGGGCTGAATTGTAAATCACCAATGATTAGTAGTGAGTGGAAATTTCTACCCCTAGTTTAGAGTATACTTATGCTAAGAGACCTGTGAACTACCTTGGCACGCAACCTGGCAGCTTAGCATTATAAATTCTAGTGGACTGAAGAAGTCTGGCATACTACCAGGATGTCGACACTGTTTTTGGTAGATGATCCCTGATACAATACTCCTATTTTGACTTTCTCCGACAAAGGTCATTATGTTGCTACATGTTGAAACATGGTCATAACATATATATTTATAAGCATTAGAAAAGTACATGAAGTGATTAAAGACATACTGGATACTGACCTCCCTTTCCCGATGCTCCTTCATCACACTACAATACGTCTCTCGAGATGCCACTCACCAAACAAATTCTAAATGCTGCCAAACAATTGATCCCGGCTATATGGCATTACGCTGATGTGCCCACTCTCCAACAGTGGATGGCAAAAGTAGAATAGATCCATGAAATATAAATGCTCGCAGACTCCTTGAGGGGTAATTCGGAGTGCTGCCTGCAGACGTGGACTTTGTGCATCGACTTCCTGTCTCGTTGACAGACAGAGTAGTTAATCCAAGTGTGCAATTTAGAAGCAGAAATGGCGTGAAGCAAACAGGGAGAAATAATTTACATGCACCATGTTAATGCAAACAGGTTACCATTCTAATGCCTCTTCAGCCCTGGTGAGTGCATGGGGGGCACTCTCTTCCACAGGAATGGAACAGGGAGTCTCAGGTGGTGGCTTATCCGCCATCCTTCCATCCCATTTTCGCCTTCTTGTTTCTTTTTTCTCTTTCTTCCTTCCTCTCCTCTCTCTCTTCTTCCACCTTTTCTCTTCCTCCTATATAGTCTCCCACCTCTATTTTTCCTACTCCTGTTAATGTTGGGATTTCTTGCTCTTACATTAGGGACGGGAATGCCCTCTCAACGCCAGTTATTATCAAGGTCTAGTTGGACGATGGGCACAAGAGGCATAGTCGGAATAGTGACTGATATGCAACCGTAATGATAACTGACACTATTTACTCGTTTTAAAGTCTTAAAAACTGGATATACACCAGATGATGTCTTAAGCAGTTTCCACCCCTTTTATTGCATAGGCTGCCCTATGATATCCCCCACCTCCCCCTCTTCCCTACCTCCTAGTACGGAACAGAACCAACGTAAACCACAAAGAGTTTCTGGAGTTGCAATTATATATATACATATAGGTCTGCTATAAGGCTTGTTTCCCTGAGCACACTAGGTGGTCCGCACTGCGTTACAGCAGGACAATAGGATCATTTTTATAATACAAACCCACCACAATGTTAATGTCAGAGTTTCCCTTAGACTGGTTAAAATCAGTTATAGTCTTATTTTGTACTTACTGGCCAGCCTAGAGTAACCAATGATTACGTGCACCACAGACAGTCCCAAATTCCCCTAATGAGCAACATCACTGGTACACAGCTAGACCCTTCATGGCCAAGTTTCGAGGGGATACACCTAAATTGATGCCTAGCAATAAATAAAAGTAAAGCCCTCAGCTCCTGGACTAAGTTATATTGAGATGCAATGTATGAATATCAGTTAACACTAATAGATGTTTTGTCTGATATCTTTATTGCTATTTGCTCGTGTGACCTCTCATGCTTGAGAGCTAAGCATAAATAAAGAATAAAAAAACAAAAAACTGGATATGAAGTCTAATTTACCACCATCCGTTTTTAAAACATATATCTTTATTAAGGATTTTGACTACTGTCTCTTCTGCCTAAATCTTTCATTGAGAGCTACAATGACCCCCAAATGTTTTCCACTAATGCAATTTGATGCTAGAGTTTACACCTTGTCCTTTATTTAATGAAACACATAGTGTGCCCTTTATTACAAAGACTGTATTGAACGTGTTTATTTGGCAATATTATTATCTGTAAATATATTTGTTCTCTGTGCAGCGTTGGTTTGATTTGTGCAGTACAAAGGTTAACCTTTTATCTGCCAAAGGAACGTACTATATGCTATTGCACAGTAACGTGGTGGCCTTCTCAGCTCCTTAGAATCCTTGCAGTGCTCCCAACACAAGCTTAGATAGTTTAATTATACCTTGTCCGTATTACACATTTCTCCAGTTTACAATTGTCACAACTTAGCATCTTAGACTTTTGAAAGCAGAACTAAGTCCTATAATTTCAAGCTGTCTTATATGCATCATATGTGCATTATTTGGCAATGTCTTAGACAGCTGTTAGCCATTAAACGCTGTGTCCTCTAGTTAAATGCTCATTGTAAATAATAAATTCCTGTTTTCCAGGGTCTGCGTGATGTTACTTGGCATATGTTTTCCAGTTTAGCATTTGTTTCCTTTTTCCATGTAAAGATACGACGCTTTGTGATTTTTATGGAGGATCAAACTTAATCTTCAAAGATAAGCGAATGAAATAACTTGCTGAGAAATGTTAACTATAATTTATAGCATATACCTTAATGAATTATTGTGAGTTAATAAACAGATTCTCACATATCCAAACCATATATCTGGGATTTACTGCAATCCTCCTTTTGTTGGGGGAGGGAGGTTGCACATATTGCTTTGGACCGATCAAGGTTTACAGTAACTTTAACCATAGAAAGCGCTTCAATTACAATATCAGCCTTTGAACCTCTAAAGATTTCCAAATATAAACATATCCTAATATAAAATAGTTTAGGATAAAGAACTTTGCCAGGTTCTGTAGGGAAGTATTTGAATTTAAAAATGTCATCAGACCCCATAGAATGGCTTAGGTATTAAATGGTTGTTTTTTTTCCATCTATGTAGTTTTCCCCATGTATATTTTTATTTATTTATTTATGCATTTATAATGCACCAACATATTCCACAGCTCTGTGCAATTTGTAAAAAGACAATACAATATAAACAGACCAATACAGAAGGTACAGGCCCTTCCCTGAGTTTACAATCTAAAAGTGATTAATCCTGGGTCACTGGGACCTAACCTCCGGTAGGTATAGAATTATTGGTAATTAAGTTACAGCAAGTGTTTACTCAGATTACAAGGGGGTCATAAAAGTCATGCTTATTTTGGTAACAAGAAGGGTTGTCAATAGGTGCCTTGGTGACCAGGCTTTGTCACCTGAGATGGAAAAAAAAAACTAATGGAGGGTGGTTTGGGGTGATCTTGTGTTACTGTACTTTTGGGGGTATGGAATTGCTCTGTTTGTTTGTAATTGTGACCTTTGTCATCGACATACTACTACATAAAATAATGAATTGATTGAAAGTAAAATAGGTCTACTGAATGGAAATGAAGCCAATAAAGTAAATGATTAAACATAATTAAACGATAACTAAAGCAAATAAAAAAAGTTATTTTATTCCCATTGGAGAGTGGAGGTGTGAGGATTAATTTAACATGCCCTCCCACCTTTTCACTACTTTTTACTAAGTCTCACAACTACCATAGTACAAAGAAATGTCAACAGCAAAACTCCAAATTCTGTTCCTAAAGTACCAATTGTGGGTCAAGGACAAATACTTTGTATTCTGGTACCAAATTTCCCCGAATAAAAAATCCTTCCAAATTTCCCTTGGTAACTACAAAATTGACTATTGCAGGTCAAGTTCATTAATATTCCCCAAACTTTGCTATTCTTAAGAATATTAGCACCATAACGAGCAACAAATGTTTGCTAAACTGAAATATATTGGCCTGACCAGCTGATTTCAAATTTGAATTAAAGACACATAGGTGGTGTAGGACAGGGTGTACAGAATATTTCTATAAGGTAAGAAGGGGTTTTATTATTCGTGTCTCCAAAAAGACAAAAAGAGTGTAAGCTCCTTGAATAATTGAAACAAGTGCTAGAGAGGACACTATCCATAGTGCTTTACCAATTAAGCAATAGCAATACAGGTAAGATAGCAGACAGATGGATATTTAATTAAACTCATTGATACAAAATGAATAACATGGTCAGTAACAAGGCAGTAAAATATGTAATACCTTTTCTGTTGATTTTTCTGGGGAAGGGTTGGGGTTTGTTTGTTTTTGGGTTTTTTAAAGTTAAATGTTTTGGGGCCATGCTTTAACTATAATATTTTATTATTTGTTTCTCAGGAGGAAATTTAAGTAAATTAGGCCCTGTACATTAAAATACATCTATTACAGTTCATGCTGTAATTGAACATTATTTTTGACAAACTGAAAATCAGACAAGCTGTTTTCAACTTCTAGATAAAAACCTAGAAGGTTTACATCATTGGTGTAGGGCTAACAGTTATTTTTTAATTTTTTTTTTTAAAGTATCAGAGTTAGTATGCTAGAATACTTTTGACAAGTTAATAGGGGTCTTACGGATACTATGCCTTCGTTTTTGATTGAGCATAGCTTAAAAAATGCATTTAGAGTGTAAGCTCCATGTATTATAGAAACAAGTGCTGGAGGGAGGGAACACTATCCAACGTGCTTTACAAATTAAGCAAAAAGAGCATACATGGATTTACAGACAGAGGAACATATTTAACACACTAGTAGGCTCAGGAACAAGGCAGTCATGTCCGTAAGCCCAGTTTGTTAGATAAACTTAACTTTCTATGTAAATATTTCTAAAGGCTTTCCTATATAGTAAAGGAAACATTTAGTCAAAAAATAATCATCGTTAATTCAGGACTATATGTTCCCTTATATCTTTGTGATCACCGTCCAACCCCCATTGCTCAGTAAAATAAAGATTTCTTACTTCATTTCCAATGCCGTGACTCCTCCACATGTAGCCTCCAGCTCCTCCTCCGGTGATGTCAGCATCTAAGCTGACATCATCCACGATCTCCTCCAATCTATTTTATTTTTAAACTAGGCATGGGTGGACAAACCCCGCGCTCTACCAATCAAATGCAGCAGCATTTGATGCCCAGGCCAAGTTTCACTCAGTTCTGGAGAAGGAAGCGCCTCTAGTAGCAGTCAGGAAGAAAGCCACTAGAGGAGTATTTAACACTGTAATGTAAAGCAGTTTCTATTAAACTGCAATGGTTTATATTGCAGGGTTAAAATTACAGGCCAACTCCACCCAGATCACTGAATTAAGTGGTCTGGGTGACTTTAGTGGTCCGGTAAAGTTGTTTTTAAAGTAAAAAAGAAAACAAAATAAATAATCTTCTTTTCTGAAAAATATGTAAATGATTGAAATTCTCTGATGTGATATCTTCAGACAGACAGATGTTTAATTTATCTATGGCAAAGATGCTTATAATTACAGAAACTGTGAATAGAAAGAAGCGAATGTAGTGCCACTTCTACTGTACGGTTTAAAAGGACAGTAGGACCAAGCACTTCTACAATGATGCATGTATAAATCAAAAAATCCAAGCCATCACTTTAGGGCCATGTATCTAACATTAGGTTTTTGTACAAAATAAAAGGATACATAGGTTCGCAGCTGAATCTAACTGTTATAGGGGCTGTTATAAAGTATGAGCATCAAGATTTTTTCTTATAGGAGGCAGTTCATGCACTAAACTTATAAGATTACTAAACGTAGAATAGTGAGTACTTGAAAAGTTTTTTGGGGCAAAATGCTTCTCGAAACGTAAAATCACTGTGCAGCTAAGTTGATCATAACTTTCTTCACTGCTCCCGGTGATAAAGTTTTTTCTGACTTTCCAAATAGTGCCTTAGAGGCCTATCAGTAAGTCATCCCACTTTGGCAGAAGTCCTCGTCATGCTAAAAAGAGAGGGCCAACAATCTATGCTTGTATCTTTTAAAAATGATATCCCTTTAGCAGTAATACTCTCAAGAAAGCAGTAGTTTACAAAATAAGTAACATATTACTGTTATTACACTATACTCACCATGTTCTATCTTAGTGTATATAGAGAGAAATTCCCAGACGTTTCAGTCCTGATATACGTATAGATACTAATATAACTTTTATCACCAGTATATGTAAATTTTCGCTGCTCTCACTATAGATATTGTAGTGCATGGATATACAAAAAGGTAACTTTTGATAGAACTGTATCTTTTTTTAGTATTAGGCACTAGGATCAGGCATAGGCAACCTTCAACACTCCAGATGTTTTGGACTACACCTCCCATGATGCTTTGCCAGCATTATGGTGTAAGAACACTATAGAGGATGTAGTCCACAACATCTGGAGTGCCAAAGGTTGCCTATGCCTCTACTAGGTTAATGTTACCAAAATGATTGACAAATTAACAGGTTTTGCATTTTACTGGATTTACTTACAGTTGATTGAACCTCATAGTGTATGTAGAGTTTCAGGGTAGTTCTTCATCACATGCTTTAATCCATTCAGTGATGGATTCAGACAACATACTCAGCAATAAAACTATATAAAGAATGAATATTAGTACACACAAATTGTAAAGGTGCACAAATACATATATAGTTATATGTTGTTCCGTTTCTATAAGTGCATACACACACACAAACAGACACATACACACATTAATATAATCATGCAATCCATATAATGAGTGTAAAAAGACATAGCTAAGAAGGATCTTCTATAAATATGTTGTGAAAAAGTTACTCTGTAATTGTAATTAAATGTTTATTCTTTTTCGTATTCCTGCCCTTCTCTTTCCGCTCTACATCTTATTCTATAAGTATAGATTATCCAATTTCTTGTTTTTAATACTCATATTGAGCCCATGAAGAAAGTTCTGCATGCCAATCTGTCAGGATTACTGTTTGATCCAGCACGTAGAACTGTACAGCACGGATGACAAATAGGTAACGTATTACCGGTCCTTAGAATGGCCGGATTTAACGTACAAAGAATAGTCAAAAATACTAGCCGAGGTCAGGGAACACAGAAAGGGACACAGCGATGAGGAAAGCCAGGAGTCAGGATACCAGAATATAGAGAAGTCAATAAACAAAGCCAAAGTCAAAAACCAGGTAGAAAACTATAAACAGGAACGCGCTCTCAGACAACCACAAGGGAAACCACGACAGGGCACTGAGCAGGCTGAGAACTGGGCCTAAATACCCCTCCTTTAGTTCTGATAGGCTGTAACCGGCCTTTGACCCCAAAGTCAGTTACCAGGTTTCATTTGCATAATTACTGCTCAGCATTAACCCTTCTGTGGATTAGGTTGCTCAATGGACATGCAACTTTTAAGCCTGTTTCATTTGTGCTCAGCATTAACCCTTCTGTGGATTAGGTTGCTGCTCGGCACAACTTTTCCTGTGTGGACAGTAAATGTCATTAACCACATTTCTATAAGCGGATGAATATGTGACATTACCCCCCACCTGAAGAACGCCCACCGGGCGGACAGGACCAGGCTTGAGAGGAAATTTAGCGTGAAAAGCGCGGATCTTACGGCCCGCATGCAGGTCAGGAGCCGAAACCCAAGAACGATCAGCAGGACCGTAACCTTTCCAAACAACCAAGTACTGTAAAGTGCCCCGAGAAAACCTAGAATCCACGATAGAAGATACCTCATACTCTTCCTGACCACCCACCACCACCGGAGGGGGAGGAACACAAGGAACAGTATATCTATTGCAGACAAGAGGTTTGAGTAAGGACACATGAAAAGTGTTGGGAATCCCTAAAGATGCAGGAAGAGCCAGAGAGTAAGACACTGGATTGATCCTACGAAGCACTCTATAGGGACCAAGGAATCTGGGGGCAAACTTCATGCTAGGGACCTTAAGCTTGATGTTGCGAGATGACAACCAAACCCGGTCCCCCACTTGGTACACCGGGTTGGCACTCCTACGCTTATCAGCAAAATGTTTGAAGCGTTCAGCAGCAGCCCCTAGAGCAGTTTGAACCTTAACCCAGGTATCCCGAATGGAGGCCAGACGCTCATCCAGAGCAGGAATGGCAGTATCAGAAAATACCGCAGGGAGAACCGTAGGATGCCTACCATTATTGACAAAAAATGGACTGTGCCCAGAGGAGTCATGAACAGCATTGTTTCTAGCGAACTCGGCCCACGGGAGTAGTTCGGACCAATTGTCTTGTGTGCTATTAATAAAACAACGCAAATAAACTTCTAATGACTGGTTAGCCCTCTCAGCTGTACCATTGGTCTGTGGATGGTAGGAGGAGGAGAAGGAGAGATCAATCCCCAATTGTTTACTGAACGCCCTCCAGAACCTGGACACAAACTGAGAGCCCCTATCAGACACAATATTGTGGGGGATGCCATGCAAACGGACAATTTCACGTATGAAAATTAGGACCAAATCTTGCGAAGATGGCAACTTCTTGAGAGGAATGAAGTGAGCCATCTTAGAAAATCGGTCTACAACCATGAGAATAGTAGTGAACCCAGCAGAGCTAGGAAGCTCAACAATAAAGTCCATGGATAGGTGGGACCATGGAATCTCAGGAACAGGAAGAGGCTGCAACAGGCCACAAGGAAGTGCATGAGTCACCTTAGAAACTGCACACACAGAACATGCCTGCACATACTCCTTTACATCTTTCCTGAGTGAATCCCACCAAAATGATCTAGTGATCGCGGCAGTGGACTTATTGATGCCCGGGTGTCCAGCAGTTATATTGTCATGGAACACTTTCATGATATTAACCCTTTCACATAGGGGAACGAACAGTTTATCACACGGTTTACCACTGGGCGCCTGAGGCTGGGCCTCCAGTATGGTGCCAAGCAGTGGAGAAGACAGTGAGAGGACAGTAGTAGCAATAATACACTCTGCTGGAATAATAGGAGATGTCATCTGTTCCGGAGCTGACTCATTATCAAATTGCCTGGACAAGGCATCAGCCTTGGTATTTTTAGAACCAGGTCTATAAGTAATGAGAAAGTTAAAACGTGAAAGGAACAGTGACCATCTAGCCTGTCTGGAAGACAAACGTTTGGCATCCCCTATATATGCCAGATTTTTGTGGTCGGTTATGATCAACAGGGGGTCCTTGGAACCCTCCAAAAGATGTCGCCACTCCTTGAGGGCAAGAATAATGGCCAACAGTTCTCTATTGCCAATATCATAGTTGCGCTCAGCAGGAGACATCTTTCTGGAGAAGTAGCCACAAGGATGCAATGGTGTTCCCTGGCTTTCTCTCTGAGAGAGAACAGCCCCTACCCCTGTCTCGGATGCATCAACCTCCAATATAAAAGGTTTACTGGTGTCAGGATGTTTTAGTATGTCCGCAGAGGCAAATCTTTGTTTAAGAGTCTCAAAAGCATTCACAGCCTCTTTGGACCATACCGTGCTACTAACCCCTTTGCGAGTCATATTTGTGATTGGGGCTATTACAGAAGAAAATCCCTTGATGAATCTTCTGTAATAGTTGGCAAAACCAATAAACCTTTGAATGGCTTTTAAACCAGAGGGTAATGGCCAGTGTAGTACAGCCTCTAGTTTTTTAGGATCCATTTGAAATCCCGATGCAGAGATGTTGTAACCCAAAAAGTGGACTTCAGGCTGGTCAAATATGCACTTTTCTAATTTACAATAAAGTTTATTTTTCAACAACGTCTGCAGAACCTGTTTCACATGGGAGTGGTGAGTTTGAAGATCAGGGGAATACACCAAAATATCGTCCAAATAAACCAAGACAAATGAGTAAATGAATTCCCTGAGTACATCATTTATAAAGTCTTGGAATACGGCCGGGGCGTTGCATAACCCAAATGGCATTACCAGATATTCATAGTGTCCACTACGGGTATTAAATGCCGTCTTCCACTCATGATTCTCTTTAATTCTAACCAAATTGTAAGCGCTCCTAAGGTCAAGCTTAGTAAATACTTTAGCTCCCTGAAGTCTATCGAACAATTCGGAAATGAGTGGAATAGGGTATGCATTTTTTACAGTGATTTTATTAAGTGCCCTGTAGTCTATGCAAGGGCGTAACTCACCACCCTTTTTCTCAACAAAAAAGAATCCTGCACCAGCTGGTGAGGATGACTTTCTTATGTGCCCTTTGCTCAAGGATTCTTTGATGTATTCCTCCATTATTTTACTCTCCTGGGGAGATAAGGCATAAACTGCCCCCTTAGGTGGCATAGCGCCTGGAAACAGGTTAATGGCACAGTCATATGCTCTGTGGGGAGGCAATACATCGGATTGAGCCTTGTTAAACACCTCCTGAAGTTCTCGGTATTGTATGGGAACTCCAGGAGTTTGGGGAGTGGTAGTGGGAAGGTCAATAGTATCCAATCTCTTTAGTACTGGTTTTATACATCTCCCCATACACTCTTTACCCCATTCTAATATCTCCCCATTAGCCCAGTCAATATAGGGATTGTGCTTACTCAGCCACGGAAACCCTAATATGATAGGACATGATGGAGAAGTAATAACCTGAAACGTCATCTCCTCCCTATGGGAGGCCCCAATGGAGATCGTAATAGGGACAGTTTCGTGGGTTATAAGCGGTTGTGTGAGTGGTCTACCATCAATAGCCTCTACAGCTAGCGGCGTAGGTCTCTCCCTGACCGGTATCTCATTACCCCTAATAAACTGGACATCAATAAAATTTCCAGCAGCACCTGAGTCCATTAGGGCACTGCAAGAAAACTTCTTGTTATCAATGGAAATAGATACCTCAAGGAGGAATCTACTTTTGTTTTTGTTAGAGGACAACTCCATCACACCTAAGATCTGTCCCCTTAAGGATCTTAGGTGCGGAAGTTTTCCGGACGCACTGGACAATTAGTTATCATATGTCCCTTTCTACCGCAATATAGGCATAACCCCTCCCTTCTCCTATACTGTTTTTCGGCCTCTGACAGTCTAGTGACCCCCAACTGCATAGGTTCGGGTTCGGACTGTACAGGGAGGTTAGACAAAACAGGTTTAGAGAATTGAGGTGCTAGGGACATAGCCGTACGTCTGGTCTTGCTTCTGGTGACTTCTCTGAGTCTTAACCTATTATCAATATGCATGACAAACGTAATAAATTCGTTAAGACTCTTAGGTAATTCTTTAGCGGCTATCTCATCTAGTATAGTCTCTGAGAGACCCTTTTTGAATGCTGAGATTAACCCATTGTTAGTCCAGTCTACCTCGGAAGCTAAGGTACGGAATTCAATAGCATAATCCGAGATAGACCGGTTACCTTGTCTGATGTGCATTAGGGCAGTGGAGGCGTCATCCTCTCTACCCAATGGCTCAAACGTGAGCTTGAATTCGGCAAGGAATTCCTGGTAATTATGAGCTATGCTCCGATTACTCTCCCACAATGGATTAGCCCAGGCAAGGGCCTTGCCCTTTAATTGATTCATTAGATAACCAATTCTTGCTCTGTCCGTGGGGAATGACCCTGGTGAGGCCTCAAAATGGTACTCCACCTGATTAAGAAAACCCCTGCATTCCTGGATATTGCCATCAAACTGTAGGGATGGTGATAAGGAGATGCAAGGAGTCCTATTAACAGTGGGTGGAGGTACACAGGGTAGAGGTGCTATAGGAGGAGACGCTGCAGGCTGCAGATGCTCCGTTCTAGCGAGAAGCGTACTTAAAGCCTGAGTGAATTGATCCATGCGGTGATCATTCTCCTCTAATTTCCTCTCGCAAGCAGCTATGTGCTGACACAGTTCTACAGGATCTATGGCCATGTCGTAATGTCAGGATTACTGTTTGATCCAGCACGTAGAACTGTACAGCACGGATGACAAATAAGTAACGTATTACCGGTCCTTAGAATGGCCGGATTTAACGTACAAAGAATAGTCAAAAATACTAGCCGAGGTCAGGGAACACAGAAAGGGACACAGCGATGAGGAAAGCCAGGAGTCAGGATACCAGAATATAGAGAAGTCAATAAACAAAGCCAAAGTCAAAAACCAGGTAGAAAACTATAAACAGGAACGCGCTCTCAGACAACCACAAGGGAAACCACGACAGGGCACTGAGCAGGCTGAGAACTGGGCCTAAATACCCCTCCTTTAGTTCTGATAGGCTGTAACCGGCCTTTGACCCCAAAGTCAGTTACCAGGTTTCATTTGCATAATTGCTGCTCAGCATTAACCCTTCTGTGGATTAGGTTGCTGCTCGGCACAACTTTTCCTGTGTGGACAGTAAATGTCATTAATCACTTTTCTCTAAGCGGATGAATACATGACACCAGGTTTCATTTGCACAATTACTGCTCAGCATTAACCCTTCTGTGGATTAGGTTGCTGCTCGGCACAACTTTTCCTGTGTGGACAGTAAATGTCATTAACCACATTTCTATAAGCGGATGAATATGTGACACAATCATATTAAGCATTTATTTTACTTTCAGCTAATTTTCTCTGAATATTTTAAGTTTCTCTCTGAAAGAAAAATATAATTTCATACACTAATGAGCTAGATCATGACAGGAGATATTTAGGACTCTCAAATGATATATAACAAAATAAACATTTTCCCACCACTCCAGGAAGTAATTGATGCCTATTGTACATTTTAGAGCAACTGGTTCCTATAAGTAGTGAATTATGAACACAGCAAGGATTTCTGGGAGTTTTATATGCTAAAATCTAAAAGCTGAACACCTCACAGAGACCTAAGTTGTGACATCAGTACAAAAATGAATCACTGCTGGAGAAAAGGGTAATAGTAACCTTGCAGGGCAAGGCTAAGTAATACTAATTATTTATTAAGACAATAAATAAATAAATTGAGAAAAAACTGGCATAATTAGCTGTAAACTAACCTAAATATTGCACCACATGTGTTGCTGCCTAAAGTAACCCTTTGAGGTTGTGCAATACCTGCAGACAGTCTACAGTAGTTCAAGAGTCCTTGCGGGTCTAGGGGTAGAATTACTTTGCACCATCATTATTGAAAGGTTGCAAAGCAGCTTCATCTTATTAAAGTGCTTATAGTGTCTGGAGTCCCCTGCACCATCCTTCCATTCAGCGTTAAGCCGTTTTTAATGTTTTAATGCTGAATGAGAATCCCCTGTAGCTCATACCCCCTCTGCTGCTTGCACTTATGAGGAAGAATTAGCCTAAGCAGCAATGGGTGACCGTGATTGACAGAGAGTGTCAGTGGACTGCATTCAGTCTGTCACGGTGCCCCCATTGCTGGTATGAACTGGTATAGCTAGAAGGAAGTGTGTAATCTCTGCCATAGCAATGTCTCAAATGGGAGCCAGGCTACGTGTGCTCTTGGACCTTTATTTAATGTTAATCTGCTCAAAAATGGGTTGACACTGAATGATAGAACAATGCCAGGGGACTCCAGGCACTATAACTCATTCAATGAGATAAAATGTTTATTTAGCACGACCCTGCAGGCTTTTCAGACACTATAGTCTCATGTTTGTATTTCTGATGCTATAGTGTTCCTTTAAAGATATTTTTTAGAAATATATCTCAAACAACTTGCCATTTAACTTGTGCTATTGTTATATTAGGGCAAGGATGGAACTACAGCCGGTGCACTCTGGACCATGCAGTAAGTATTGCTAAACAGAAGTAAGGCCCTTTAACAGTGTGCCCCTTTAGTTTCAACGATGCTGGGAGGTAGCAAGGGCTGGTCACTTCCTCCCAGTTACACATATGTTTGTATTTGTTGGAGTGTGTTTGTGTCAGTAAGTTTATCTATTTGTGTCATTGTGTTTATATGTGTGTGTCAGTGTGTGTATCTGTTTGTCTCAGTGTATTTATATGTGTTTATCTGTGTGTCAGTGTGTGTATGTCAGTGTGTGTATGCATCAGTATATATCTGTGAATACATCCCAGCAATCAAACTCCAACATTACATGCTAACACACCCTTGCAATCAAACACAAACATTAAATAAAACACACCCCTGTATTAAAATGCCCAAATCATATACAAACACACCCCTGTATTAACACGCAGACATTGCTTAGAAATGGCAAGGTACATACAAATACACCCCTACATGCACACACACATACTTAATACAAAAAAATACATTTAAACGCACAAACACTGCTCACAAATACAAGACTGCAAGAATAGGCAAATGGTAGAACCCCAGTTGGCATTGCATTGTGGGAGTTGTACGACAGATGGGAATCTACTTTTTAGCCACCCTTGCACTATAGGGGGCCCAAAATCGTTTCTTGCACCAGGACTCTCACTACATTAGTTCCGCCACTGTGTTATGGATACACCTAGTCCACTTCCAAGCATTATGTTTCTATTATAAATTACAAAATGTTTTACTAAGATATTTGAGAATTTACAATTAGCTATAAAGCAAATGTCAGATGTGTTGGGGAGACTTTAAACTACATTTGAAGAGCTTGGCAGATAAACAGAGGGTTAATTACCGCTAACAGGAATAGAGGGGGTATTTTAGGGAAACAGTTCAGAGAGTGCAGAAAACAGAATTGTCTATATTAAAGGAAGGTGGCTGTCTTAAAAGAAACACTATAGCATTAGGAACACAAACATGTATTCCTAACTTTATAGTGTTCCGGTACCTATTTAGGTATGTCCAATACCAAAAGGTATGTTTTAATTACCTTTCTAACCTTGCCAGGCTGGTCTCCCCGTGGCCACTCCACATTCCTGGCTGAGAACATCAAGACTGATGATCTCAGTCATTTCAATGTTTCTACGTAGCTGGATTTTTCTACATTACACGGTTAAAACTAAAAAGATACTGTACCCAGACCACTACATTGAGATGATGTTGTCAAGGTGCCGTTAGTTGTCCTTTAAATATCTTCTACTATTTTAACAAAAACAGTTGAATGTATTGGTAAATATTATACTATATATGCCTTGCGATCAACTCGATACATAAACACGATTACATGACGTTATTGTTGTAGCTACTATTTTATTGAATTATAAAAAGTTATACTTACCATAGGTGCATCCTTACATCTGGCTTAACAGAAAGCATTAGTTGGTAACGTTTCCACTTACACTGTCAAACACCCTAAAACAGAAAGTGAATAAAAGTTTTTCAGAGGCAAATATAAAAATATAATCTGCAAATCCATCAAGACTTTTCGGTAAATAATAAATAAATCGGTTGAAGTTCAGGAACAAAAGTGATCACTTACAGGATTATTCACTAAAGTGAGAATTGTGGGGAATTGCAAGAGAATTTTAAATATAAGGCCAAAGTAGCCGAACTGAAAGCATAGCTGGCTAGGAGAATTATTCCGATTTGGCTATTTTGACCTTAAATTTACTTTGAATTTCCTTCAGTTCTTACTTTAGTCAATAACCCTGTATATGTACAAAACACCCACTGGTAAAACGGTGCAGCATACCATAACAACTGAAAAGTATTTTATATATTTACAATATGTAAAAATCAAAATCAAGCATGTATATGAAATTGCAGATGCCTACATAGAAAATAGCTTTTGCTGAAATATTTCCACCTGGGGCCTACAGGTCCTAGATTTCAAGTGGTCCTCCGACAGGCTCACCTAAATCAACTGTTAGGTCTATCTTAAGGCAAAAAACGTATGGAAAAAATAAAAATTTCTTCCCACCTGTAGGCTTGCAAGTGTGCCTAAAATATAAAGAAAATAAGATAAAATCAGTAAGTATACAGAAAATTTAGTGGGAAAATACAGCATAGTGAACTACGTACAGAAAACATGAACATCAATATTTAACTCCTACTGCATATGGTATTGTAACTTATTGTATGTTGTCTGTGAGCATTCTCTGAGGATGTTAATAAAGCAGCAACCACAGAGAACAACAGAGAGGCACTTTTTAAATGTGTACTGTATTTAAAATAAACATAACTGAATGATAAGAGCCTTTAACTGCATCACATTCTAGTAGTAGGAAGACTGTATACTAGAGGTAGGTTTCATAATTACTTCATGAAGGACGAGTTGCATGGTGAGTTCTTACCAACCAGGTCACAGCTTCACTTTTTTATTTATTTATTTGTTTTTATTTTATTTTTTGCGTCATACAGTTATTCTCCTAATTGTTTATATGGACTGTTTTGCTTTGTTTTCGAACTTGTTCTTTTTTCACGTTTTTGTTTCCTAAATAGAGTCACAGTTTAAAATCCTGGGCTTATCTTCCTGGATGCAATATCAACTATTAATTTGACTGCCTCTGCTTTGTGGCTAAACCAGTAGCTGTGGTCAACTAAATGCCTACCAAGAATGATGTTACATGTAGTGAATTGAGGGGGAAAGAATGATGGTTTCTTCATCGGAATCTAATTAACACTTTGTGGACTAGTGCTGGTCATGGTCATCATAACAAACTGCAGGGTTATCCACTAAAGAGGTCACATTACCAATTCAAAGTGAATTTCAAATTTTTGGGCCAAAAATGTTCTTCACATCAGATATGTTTTCATAAAAGCTGTTTTGGCCTAACCGTGTTCTAATCAGTAATGCTCTACCCATTTAATAATAAACAGTGTCTGTAAAACAAGCTGACAGTAAACTTGCTATGTTGGTAATTTTAAAGGAACACTACAGAGTCATGAATGCCAACACGTATTCTTGACACTATATAGTCCTGAAGTAAAAATGTGATTTTACTCACCTTTTCTTTTTTGCCGTGCTGGTCTCACAAGGGATTGACCAAGTATTGCAAATCAAGTCAAGTTGAGTTGGTCTGAATAAATAGTAACAATTACCCAAATTGTTCATGTTATAGAATATAAATATTACCACTTTAAATACATCATTTACATAGTTACAGAGTTACATAGCTGAAAAGACACTTGCGTCCATTAAGTTCAGCCTTCCTCACATATGTTTTTGCTGTTGATCCAAAAGAAGGCAAAACATATTCCATCCATGAGGTTTATCCACTACATATTAAATTGCAATTTGAAAAATAAAAATAAATTGCAAAATCTAAGCTAATATTGCCAAGCCATTAGGAAAAATACCCAGTTTGTTTTCGCTTATATTTTGCAAGTCAATCTGTGACATTATTCACTGTCTAACCTGTATTATAATAATTATTTTCTTAAAAATAGTCCATTTATGCTTGTTCTACATTAGTGGTGTAAGGGAAACCTTTTCAGAGGCTGCTTGTATATTAACATTGTTTTGTGTACAGTATGGTGGATGTAAACTATCGGATGAAATATTTGTGTCTTATAGCAGCTATCTAACCATACACATCTTAACAATTTGATAAATACAGTGCAAATCTTGGTTCGTTTAATATTAAGAACAAAAAAGGTAAACAAGTAACTAATGTCCTAAAATATCTTGTCTTCATTTTCAGATATTGTATACTATAAATATCTAATGTGCAGCTTCGAAAACAGAATAATAAGGCCTCAATTATATATATGATATATTTAGATTGTATTGTGTATCCCTTTAAATTGTTTCTAACCCCTTGGATGCTGGAAAGATACATTGTGTGGTGTGTTTTTTTAGATTTTTTTTAGTTACACAGATTATCACTATTTTGAAATGTGACTTGCACAATTGAGGGGAAATTCTGTTTGCAAGGTCATTTTACACAAACTATAGGTAACATTAATCTTTTCTGGCACAGAGCTGTAGGTTTGACTTAAAGCATCTGTCCATACTCAGATCTTAACCCTTTGTGTTTGCTCTGCTTGAAGAGCAATCATTTTTCACTTCAAACCAAAGTTACAGTTTAATCCGTCACACTGAGATAACTCTGAGACAAATGACATTAGTCTGAAAGATGCCTGCATGTTAAACCAAACAGCACTGAACTGTAGCATTTTTTGGTTGAGATTCTAATTTTCATTACATTTTCTGAGTGTTTAAACTTTATCTCAAGCCCAATCTGGAGGTAAAAAAAGGGGGGGTGTAGTGGGATGAAAGACTTTCCCATAATTCATTGTAGCTCCTCCCTTATTATCAGCTGGGTCAGAATATTATCTATTGTGATAAGGAATGATGTATTGAAGTATAAGCAGTGTCACAAAGCTTGCAGACAAACAATCCATCATTCGTTTACAGTCATTTTACCCATTCATAGACATGAGTCTTTGGAATACTTTGTAAGAACACAGTACAGAGAGAGGTTCCTCCTGCCTTATACAATAGTGCTAGTGGGACATTGAAACAAAGGAGTATATTTATGAAGTGGTGGGAAAGGTTGTTTAAACATCCCCCTGAAGCAGACCTCATGTTTGATGTTGCCATGTGGAGTCCATGTGTCCAAGAAATGGTTCTACTAAATTATATATCTTTAGTTTGATTTTTACAGAATTATGAATTTTTGTTTGTTTGTTTGTTTACGTTGTTTCGAGGTTACATTTTTTTCTAAACTGGAGAATTGTTCCAAAGTGGTTAATTTAATTAGCATTACTTTTGCATCTGTTTGTTAAGTGAATACATGTTAGTGCACACATTGCAGTTAAGTTTATTTGTTTTGTAGCCTTTAAACTTCATGATTCCTGGAAATACAATGTCATTTGTGTCTGTCTATTTCAGACGATTTGACAGACCGTGTATTTTAACATGGAAAGTGGTTTTGAATTTACCTGAGAGATAAAAAAATTTAATAACTCGCTTAAACTTTTTCTAAGCTTTGGGCTAAGTCCATCGAGAGGTTTTGCACAGTATTAAATATACATGATCTTGTACAATTAAACATTTTTATGTCTGCTTTTTCAGACATACATTATTGTTATTATTGGCATTTATAGAGCGCCAACTTATTTTGCAACGCTTTACAATATTATAAAGGGGGAATTTAACAATAAATGAGACAATCACAAAATGTTACAGGAACAATAGGCTGATGAGGACCCTGCTCAAACGAGCTTACAATACATCACTTACTAGTCCTTCAAACAGCGGAACACGATATTCAGACCTGTTCCCTGCATTGTTTTTATTTGCCCTTTACTAAATGTTCTGTAATTTTTTGCAAACTACTTGAAAGTGTGTATACAAAGAACTGAAAAATTATTTTAAAAATTTAATATTTTCTCATGTGAATCATTAACACCTTCACTACAACTGTTTTTTATTTTAGAATATTAAAATAGAACTTACAAAGACAGGAAAATTAAATAGAGCATAAATGGAAGATTGAACCGCAGTTGTGTGCATAGATTACTGTTCTGTACATAATTTTACATTTTTATTTAATTATTAATCGTTTACAGAAATATTGGAGGAACCACATATTTTACAAACAATATGGCAGGCGTCTTTTTCCTTGCAATATTTCAGCGTCTGAAATGCCTTTTTTGTCGCAAAGAGCCCACTCGTCTGTACTCACCTCCTGATTCTTCAATGGCATAAATAAAGTTCCTATTTCACACTTGCTTATTATATTGGGGGAGTGGAGGGCCCTGCCATATCCATTTATTTTGCAGATACTTACTGGGAAAGATTGACATTAAGTGAGTTTTTATGGGCTAAACTTCATTTTGTTTTTTAAAAATAAAAATAAAACGTGTGCATTCAATTTTTGTTAGTGAACTGGTTGACTACTAGCTTTAGATATTTTCCATTTGAACCTTTTTTTGGCTAACATTTTGCAGTCAAGATTTGCAAGTTATATCAATGTCCGTTGTTCTTGAGTGTAATGGAGTTTATTTACTCACTGAAGTTGCTGATTGTAGGCACAGGTTGTGTGAATGTGGGATTCGGAATGTGGATCACAGGGGAAACGTATTAAATTGACTTTCAAACCAACGTAACAACTACAGGATGTTGTAGCGATTAAGGTACCAGGAGTCCCCAATCACTTTCTCGCAGTAAGTGGCAAACTATTTAGAAATAGCTTAATACTAACCGAGGACATTCATACGTCAACATAATCATATCAACTCAGAATTTATACTTTAGTTAGGACATTATTCATTGACTGAAACCTGTAAGCAACTTGACAATTTGCCACCAGTAGTGCTAGCGGACTCCTGCAGTGAGCTGTAGTGGTTATGGTGCTTAGAGTATTCTTTTAAGTACAGTGAAAGTAAAGTGTGGAGTAGTAGTGCACTAAAGGTTAAAAAAAGCATAACGTGAAACCTAATGTGATGCATCAAGATCCATACAAATCTTACATTTTTTGCATGAATGGCATGTTCTGGGGAATCTGTGTAAATGACTTTTATAGAAAAATTGAATTGCCATGTAGAGTATATTCTCAATTATTTATTTCTTATATAAAATCAGAAATCTATCATTTCGTATGCAGCTGTGTAATTAGAATGCTAGCTTGACTATTGCTTACATTTCAATGTACTTTTTGAAACCGATCGCCTAACAAAAAAATGTTATCCAAAGGTAAAAACACTGTGGGATGAATTTTGTATTAGTTGGAGAAGATAGATTTATAGCATAGAGTTACATACTTTAGAGGTGTACTTTAGACACATTTGTTACTCTATTCATAAGAATCATACAGAAGCTTTGGATTTGGAGACTTAAGATGCTCAGAATAGTCCCCATTGATGTAAAATAGAGAATTAACTGCAAATATGGCAAAATCAGAGGTTTGTGATTTGATATAATCATCCTTGTGCCTGTGTGAGCTATTTAGAAGGTATAACGAAGCAGTAGTATGGACATCTTATGAAAAACACAACAAACCTAAAGATGACCATCTCCACAATGTAAAATAGCCTTATTTTCAATAGGTAATTAGAACCAGCACATATTGTGTAGCTTGATTTAATTAAAATAGAATGCTTCGCTTCTGTCTGTTAAATTAAGTTTCCTAAAACCCATAAGTGAATGCAACTAGTGTCGCTGAATGTGTCTGAGCAGTATCAGTAATATGTACATAAATATTTCTATAGAGAAACATTCTTTAACCATATTATTCTCAAAAGCAACATCTTTCAAAGCATATGCCATGAGCAAGTACACCGCAAGCACCATCACTGATTGTGTCCATAGCGTAATTTATCATGTAAGGGAGTCTCCTGTGTCGCACGCAGTTGTTTCCAATTGCATTAATTTGCAATAAATAAATAAATAAATACTGCAGCGATAAGCCTTCTACTTTGAATTCACATGTCAGAGAAATGAGATGCCGTGTGCCACACAGTCACCATTCACACTAACTAACTCTATGACATTCTGGACCATGGCTGTGCACAAGGGGGGTTTTACATGTCCTCCTACTGTTCAGCTCCATTCATGGAACTGTGACCAGAGCAGTATTCAGCAATTCCATTCATTTTATCTAATAAATGGGACTGCTGCCAGGGACTGAACATACATATTCCTTTATCCTTTGCTGGACAGTGATTTATTGAAATATTTCAGACCAATGGACAAGAATAAAAGGCTACTGGTCTGGTCTGGGCAGAACCTGCTACTGATCAGGAACCTTGAAGGTGAGCATCTTTTTTTTTTATTATTATTTATTTATTTATTTATTTTGTAATGCTGGGTCTCAGTTTTAAAGATCCTCACTATGCTCCCTCCCCACTCTGGAGAAATCTTAGAAACAAACCGCCTCTTCATGGATGGTCTCTATATAAGTGATCCCATCCTCCTTTGTCTAAGAACTCCCTTTCCTGTTCCAGAGGGAATAGCGGGAGATCTACTAGGATAGGAGGAGTGAAAAGTTACTCATGTTATAGGTATACAAGTTACTCATGTCATATGTGTACATGCAATTTTGTACATGCTCTCTAGGCATGTAATATTCATGTATTCTTCAAAGTCAAACAAATAATATGATATATTAATATATTTTCTATAGCTTATTCACAAACAAGCTAGAACAACATATAACATTTTGTCAAAAGATTTTTCTTATTTTTTTCACTCATGTCACTGTGCATTTTTACAAAATATTAATTTATGCTAGATTATAGGGAATAACGTCATTTAATCAAAATATTGTGATGGCCAAATTGGTAGGACATGTATAGTGGAGATGTTACTTTTATGTTTCCTCATTCTGTAAAACATTAACTGTTATAAAAAGCAATGAAAGATCACAAATTAAATAAATACCGATATTCACACAGCCACCACATTCATTATTATCTTTGACTATCTTGGTTAAGGAGGGAGGTATTTTCAGGAAGGTATATATTTTAAAGCAACACTATAGTCACCCAGACCACTTCAGCTCAATGAAGTGGTCTGGGTGCCAGGTCCCTCAGGTTTTAACCCTTCAGATGCAAACATAGCAGTTTCAGAGAAACTAGAGGCACATCTGCGATGCTTGAGGCATATTATGCCTTCATCACGCAGAGTGTCCATAGGAAAGCATTGAGAAATGCTTTCCTATGGACACTTTGAAAGCGCATGGGCAATGCCGTGCATCCGCATTCGGCTCCACTGACGTCAGACGGGGGAGCTGACGTCAGTGGGGGAGGAGAGGTCACCAGCACCGAGGGAGCCCAGCGCTGGAATAAGGTAAGTGGCTGAAGGGGTTTTAACCCCTTCAGCACCACGGGAGGGGGACCCTGAGGGCACCATTAGGGCACTTTGCCCTGACACTGGGGCCAGGTCAGCTTTAGCTTAAAGGGATACTATAGTTACCAAAACAACTGTAGCCTAATGAAACAATTTCTGTGTATAGATTATGCCTCTGATGTTTCACTGTTCAATTCACTGCCATGGTTTCATTTTCAATCAGATGTAACTTACTTTAAAAGTTTTTATCTCCTGCTCTGTAAATTGGACTTTAATTACACACTGGAGGTTCCTGCAGAGTCTAGCAAGCTATTAAAAGAGCAGGAGATGACTTTACAGGAAGGGTTTAGGATGGCTGTGTAAGTCACATGCAGGAAGGTGTGAATAGGACTGCATAAAGAAAGTGATTTAACTCCTAAATGGCAGAGAACTGAGCAGTGAGACTACAGGGGCATGAGCTATACACCAAAACTGCTTCATTAAGCTAAAGTTGTCTTTGTGCCTACAGTGTCCCTTTAATAAACTGGTTTTGGAGTACATATCATGCTACTGCAGTCTAGTTGCTCAAGTATCTGCTATTTAGGAGTTAAATCACTTTTGTTTATGTTTATGCAGCCCTAGCCACACCTCCCTTGGCCATGACTCACAAAACCTCTGTGTAGTAAATGGTTTCACTTTCAATCAGCATGGTGTGTTTACATTAGAAGTTCTTATCTTCTGCTCTGTTAATTGAACTTTAATCACACACATGAGGCTGTCGAGGGCTCTAGCATTCTATTAGCACAGCAGGAGACAAGAAATTCTAAATTAAAACAGCTCTGTAACCTTCTGGGGTCTTTCAAAGACCCCCTATGATGACATCGCTACTTGGTGTGTGGTGACCTGGGGGTGCAAGGGAAGGTAGGTTTTACTTACCTGAAGCTGTCTTTACGACTAGTGCCATGTCCATCCAGGGGAGCCTCTTTATATCCTTGTGTTTTATCTGCCAGGAGCCCAGTGCTGTACTCTCACACATGCAGACAGAGACATTTTAATCACACAATGCACTTAAAGAAATTTTAAAAATGTAGATTCTTTTTTTCAGGAAGTGTGAAGGTAAGTTGTGTGAGTGTCGTCAGTAGTGGTGTGGCGAGGGATGCATAAACAAATTAATTTACCTCCAAAATGGTAGAGAATTGAGCAGAGAAACTGCAAGGGCATGATTTACAAACCAAAATTACTTAATTAAGCTAATGTTTTGGTGCTTAGAATGTACCTTTAACATATTAACACAGCACACTTAAAAACATTCAAAAGCATATGGCTCTAGTTTTATCTTGTATAAAAAAACAGGTAATAAGAATTTTATTGAATTAACAACTTTGACTTTAAAGCTATGTTTTGTTTTCAGCCAATCAGAGCATGTGTAGACTTTAAATCATGGTCAGTGACTACAATTTTCACTGGAAATAGTCCACTTTCATGAATTTCTATAAGCACTACAAAGAACCATAACAAATAAAATTGTACACTTTGCATAACTTTTACATACACTAGTTACGCTTCTCTAAATCTGATATTAAATAAATTCATTTTACAAATGTCCGCAAGTCTTCCTCTTCAAATACTGAATAGGTATACATTTTAAATTAGCGTGATTTAAAATGTAATGGCACTATAATCTTGTTTTGAAACACAGACAGTTAATAATAATCTTCTAACCATCTTGATATCATATGTTTAGATCCATATTTCAATACTCTCCATGTAATGTTGCTTAATCTGCCAATTGGTTACACAGTCCCCAGTGGCCTCCTTCTGTACAAATCCAGAGCTGTGTAGTAGAGTTAGCACTTCTCAAGTTCCAAAATCTTGGCTAATATGCAATATATGCATGCCCATCTTAAAAATAATGTGTGTTCAACAAAGTGATAACTCGTGTAGAATGTCCTGGCATTGCATATTCCAGAACTTGGAGAGTTAAAATACCAAGCAGTCAAATTAAGCATTTCAGCAAAGATGCTAAAAAATATTAATACCATAATTAATGGTATTAATATGGGCATGTCAAATAAAGGTTGACCCTGTTATCTTGAGATTTTGTCTAAATATACTTACTTTATGAAACTTACCATACGTTTGGTATACATTTTTCAAACACTGTGGAAGAATTTAATTCCAGATAATAGCGGGATTTTAAAATACAGGCTTTAACAGGGATTACCCTGGCAAAATTATTGAGTAACTGTTTCAGTCTCATCTATTTTCTTCTCATTCCTCCTTCAGGAATTGCCAGGACTAGTATTACAGGTTAAAATGGGATTAGATTCTATCAAGTTCAACTTTTTATTTGTTTTATAACTTTTACTGATCCAAAAGAAAGTAATAATTAACTAATTTTGAAGAAAGTTAAACATGTGTGCAGATTTTAAAATTATTGTAAGTGTGCTCTTCAGCTCAATTTACTGTTGGTGCGGTTGGTGAAATTTCATTTTTGCTATTCGAATTAGATGACCTCTTGTCCTTTGTACATTCCTACTAAGGAATTCCAGAGATCAGTTTGTATTGACCCTATATTATTTCTCCCAGAACATATCTGTTTCCACGATAGAGAGAACTAAATTAATGGGGAACAATACTGCCTGAATTGGCATCACAGCAACAAAACAATATGAATGACTTGTATATTGCCCCAGTCAAAACAATTAATGGAGCAATGAATTGGAAGACCTGTACTCCAAAAATAGCAGAAGTTTTGTCATGCAATAGTCTATTCACTAGCCAGTGAGTGGTGATGAGGTGATAGGAAACTTCCCAAATTTAGACCAAATAGCAGTATTTAGTTGATCTAGGTGGGACATGCTCCCACTACTCACTGTTTAAACCTTTTGCAATGTATAAGTTGATTTATGAATTTGAAGTAATTGCCTGACAAATAACAATTATGTTACTTGAGTAGGTAGAAGCTATGTGTGGGACATTTACAAAATAATGACACATTCTAAGTGAGTCAAAATGGTCCCCTACATGCACAGACACATGGAACACAACAAGAAGAATTAATGATACGTGTCTTTGCCTGACAACACAGGCACACATATGTGTAACAAAACAAAAATTGCCTTATTTTAAATAATACCTATTGTGTTAAATTTACATCTAACAATTACTGCACTTAAGAAAACTAGCAAGAAATGTCCTCATCATCCCCTATTACATTTTGAACAAAATATTTATCAAACCAAGTATTGTTTTTTTAAGCCATGTGGAATTTTAGATTGCAGATAAGTGCTGGGACTTGATGTAGTGTCTAATGATAGGAAAAGGGGAGGATAACTGAATGTTCATCAGTAATTCATCTGGTGCTGTGAGGAATGTAGAGCAAAGAGCTTTAGCCAACTCTGACACCTCCTATTAATCTTCTTCAGACACTTTTCAGTAGGTGTCTCCATCTGCTTCTAGCATCTACATCATGACACCACCACCATACCAAGACACCTTCATTCCATCGGCCCATTGGTATATCTAAGTGGAAACAATTTTTTCCTTGAATAATCAATATCATTTAAAGTATGTTTTCTTTATTTTGTCCTGCATCTGATTATCCTATCTCTTTTTATTTACTTGTCTTTACTTCTAACTATTTTTTTTATTTTTAAAAGTTAGGGGTAATTTATTTGTATGTTTTATTTGGCTGATGAATTTGTTTTCATCTTATGATTTGTAAGTTTTATTTTAATATTTTTTTATTTTAGTTTAGTTTTGTTTGTTTTTAATTTATAAAGTCTGTATTGTTACAATGTTTAGATTTTTTTTCTTAAGTGGCTGTTTTCTACATAAACTGCTTTAAAAGCTGGTTTAAATATTAATGCTTGTGTTATTTATTTTACGTCTTTTGCCTTATTTTTTTTTATGACATTAGTAATTTTGATTAAATATTTTTTTAATATTTAATAAGGCTGATTTCCTTAACAAATTTGCATGTCTGAAGTTTGTTACAGGCCTGTTTTACACAGTCAGATGTCAACTCTCCCAGAGTAACCTCTACCTCACATACCTGTCTCTTGCTCTCTCCTAAAGGGCAGCACTCTACTCTCTCCTCCAGCTCTGCTTCACTCCCACCGTATTTGATTGCTATTTCCTGTCCTAATGTGTTTTATACCCCACCTCCTATAGGCTGTAAGCTCGTTTGAGCAGGGTCCTCTTCAACCTATCGTTCCTGTAAGTTTTCTTCTAATTGTCCTATTTATAGTTAAATCCCCCCTCTCGTAATATTGTAAAGCGCTACGGAATCTGTTGGCGCTATATAAATGGCAATAATAATAATAATAATAATATTACCTGGTTACTGGGTTAAGCAAACTTATTTTCCACCTTAAAATGTCCCAAAAAATATCAGTGCCTCTGCATGGATGCATTTACAGCCTTGACACCAAGAACAGAGAATCAAATCCTTACAAACAACAATGGCTGTGTTTCCTGTGTGTTCAAATCTGTTTCCAGAAGCCATACATCAATTGCTAGTTTAGTTCAGTGTTAAATGTCACAGCTTTTCCCTGATTCTCTGTAGCAGATGCCAAACCTACAAATAATCTGTAGCCATTCCTGAGCAGAGAACATAGCACCCACCCCATGAAAGTATTGATCCCAGACTATAGAGTTTTAATTTTTATGGAACTTACTTCCAATTCATTATGTCACTTGTAGACCTAGCAAGGTTATGAATGTCCCTTTTTTAGGCAGAATACAAATGAAGTCCTTATATGCCAGAAGTAATCTCTGCTGAATGACTTACCCTACATGTATTTATGGAATAGGTGCTGGATGTAATATCATTTTTATTTGGTGGGAAGAAAACAGAAAAGTACAATCGCTCTGTTACATTTCACATAACTTGTCTGTTGCTGTTATCGTCTGACCAAAGTGCTGGGGTAAAAAAGATAGGGTTTTTTTTTTTTTTCCAGGGTAGTAAAGAGATAGAAAAAAAAAAAGAACTGGCATTCATCCTAAAGAGAAATCATTGAAACAAATTAATCCTATGCCGTTTAAATTGACATGGTAATCCATCATGAGAAGACAAACTCTGAAAGCAATCTCGGATCTGTAGCATTCTTTCACTGGCCCTGGGGCACCCAGACAGATAGTGAGAGGCAGGCAGAATATCTCCATGCAAACTTACCACCACTTGGAAACATTGTAACAGCTGACATTGCTTTTCTAAACACACACTGTCATCTTACTGACTGGGGAACTGAAAGTGTAAAACACACCACACATACACAAATATACTGTATCAACACATACATCACATACATACCAATTATTCTAACATATATCAAGTCTAATTAGAGAAACATATTCGCCTATATGTACATTTTAAGAATGGCTGAAGGAATGGTTGTAAATATCTGTATTACAGTGACTGTGTGTGTGTTTCTGTTTGTTTGTGTAAGAACGTGTATTTGGTGTGTGTGTGCACATATGATGTATATATATATATGTGTGTATATCTCTCTATCTGTCTGTCCGTCTTTGTCTGTCCGTCTGTCTGTCGATCAATATTGCAAGTGCATCCTTACATATACGTATTTTATTTGCAAAGATGTGTACACATAAAAGACACGACATGTATACGAGACCTGTGAATTGATGTATTATTTGAATTCATTTTATTTTGTGTTCCTAAGACGTGGCCCTGGCGTTTAGCCCGGCTAGAGGATATTAGAAAGCACGGTTGGTGCCTTTCAGGGCTAGTGGGATATAATAACATAATGGGTTAACCTGGCTGCCTGGTAATAGCGACTTTACCAAGTTTACACACCAAGTGGATTTTATAGGACATGAAATCATAAAATCGTAATACAAGCCACAGTTTGTTACACTGCATCTATTGGAATAACACCAGCTTCGAGTTAATAGAAATGTGTACGTCCTCATGTGTAACTTTAAGTCCCCCCCTTTACCTTGGTTGATATTATTAAATCAAAATCAGTGCTACGATATTAACCCCTTCGGAACCAGAGACATATCAGAAACGTCTGGGTAACAAAGGATTTCCCTGATCCTGGTCTTGAATCGGTTAATGGAGAAATACACTTTGAATCTGTTTAATTCCCGAGGACATTAAGTAGTCAAATGAAGATTATTCGTATTATCTAATATATAAAGGAAACCACTGTAAATGAATCTGAATATGGGTTGTAAAATATCGTGCTGAAAATGAGATTTAGATTTCTGCTTTGATCTCTGATCTAATGCACCTGTGCCCACCTATCAGACACTACAGATTCTGCAAAAACAGAGAATACACGCGATTAACCCTTTAACTGCTGCCTTTCTTTAGCAGAAATGTTGTTATAGATTGGAGCACACATCATGTGTGAGAAATACACTCCTACCATGAATCTCAAACGCATGAATGTGGGTTTATGTGGGGGGGAAAAGTGTAAATAGTCAATAACACATTCTAGAAAATTGATCAATATCACTGATGAGATGTTTGAAGTGTTTGCGAAAATTGCACATTTACTGGTTATGATTTAACAATGAGATGCCAGATCTGTCTAAATATATGTCCTGCGTGTGTGTGTTTTGCTATTACACGTTTATAATAGAAAAAAAACACTATTTTCTAAAGACATGAAACTATTGTATTGTAGGCCATTCCCTCTGCACTGTCCTGTATTGTATTGTATTTCCATATAGGAAGAGAGAGAGAGAGGGGGGGGGGAGGGGGGGAGAGAGAGAGAGAGAGAGAGAGAGAGAGAGAGAGAGAGAGAGAGAGAGAGAGAGAGAGAGTGTGTGTGTGTGTGTGTGTGTGTGTGTGTGTGTGTGTGTGTGTGTGTGTGTGTGTGTGTGTGTGTGTGTGTGTGTGTGTGTGTGTGTGTGTGTGTGTGTGTGTGTGTGTGTGTGTGTGTGTGTGTGTGTGTCAAATACTCTGTGACATGAGCTAGGCCCTCACAGGTTAATAATACAGATCATCTTGACGCAATACTCATCGTTTGGTAATGATTGCACTAATTTTTGGGGTCTAGGGATTGACTGAATGCCCATGAGGGGTTATGGAACATCAATTAACATTTGGCCTTATAGGGTTAGTCTTGCATATCTTAACACTGGGAACTCGGATGGTTTATTGTTTCGAAAGTAAGAACATTCTTTATATTGCTCTTTCAGCCATTTGTGTCTTTTTTGAAAAATAATATAGAAATATTGGCAAACAAATATATATATATATCTCATAACATGACTATGATAAACAGACAGACAGACAGACCTATCGATAGATAGATAGATAGATATCCTTTGCTTATAAGTCCATACCCCCATGTCCTATGTTACATAAATAAGATGGGGGCTTTATAAGTAAATTGAAAAGCAATGTTCTCAATGGAAGGAGTGAATATGGAGATTATTTGCAGATGTTTGTAACCTCAAAGTTTGTTTACAGTATTATAAGGACCGCTTTGCTGCTCTGTCCCCTAACCTGCATCAGGTGTTTCCCCACCCATCCACAGAGTGACACAGGTTACATGAACTGATCACTTACTCTGTCCTGTTATATGATACCTGCCTCACTTAACCCCTTAAGGACACATGACATGTGTGACATGTCATGATTCCCTTTTATTCCAGATGTTTGGTCCTTAAGGGGTTAAACCTAGGGATGATAAGTATATCGTGCTGCTCGCTAAGACATCTTTCTTTTGTAACAACATGCACCCACCAGCCTTTCTCTACACTGGAGTCTACATATCAGCCTCATCATGAGGGGTTAATGCAAATAAAATAAAATTTCCGAATGCCAAACTATTGTAATGACTACATAGAACAAAAAAAGAAGAGCTTTGCCCTCACTGTTGGAATGTGGGCGATGACACATATTCTCAAAGCAGGATCAGGTGTAGGAAGCATTGTGCAGGTTAATTAACCCTTCTGCTCCCAGGGCGGTCCATTCTCCTGCAGCAGAGGAAGATTACAGCCCAAGAGCTTGTCACTGTCTGCACTTTCTCTTTAATATAAAGGATTAAAATGATTGCGTGCATTTCATTACGGTTTACAGGGATCTGGCAAACCGTTTAATTCAGCAAGTTAACCCTTTAGGTTTAAGCAGACTGGGAGGCAAAGCAATAGAAGGGGTTAATCGGTCTCAATAGCTGTGAGAAAGACAATAGCGACTGGAAAAACCTATCTAAATGGTGGGCTGGGGGGGGGGGTTATACATATATTTATCACCCCTATTAAAATGTGATCACCCATATGCTGAACCGACCTGATGACGAATTGTGTGAAGCTGTAGTTAACACTTTAATGACTTGGTCGCTTATCCACTTTCCAAAGGGTTAAGTCTTTTCTGTAGATCAATATGTTATGTTTATTGTTTGGGAGTTGAAGGCTGTTTTTTTTGCTTGTTTTTTTATATATTTTTATTTAAGTGACATACTATAGGACATGTGTAAAATATGTTCAAGATGTCCAGTATGTTTAAAATTCCGAGGAAAATATTGTGTAAAACATTGATATGGTTTCTGGGTCCATTTGTTTCTATCTTTTTTAAATAAAATAAAGCTTTTTCTGCATTTCTTTTGATTTTCTTTGGCTTTCAAACTAAATCCATGAAGGCTGTGTCTCTTCTTCTAGAAGCACAGTAACTGCTGGTTCTCCTAATCACTGACTATCGATTTCCCTAACTCTTCTCATCCAACTAAAGACACATTTTAAAACACTCCAACCCAGAGTGTGTTTTGTGCTTTATATACACTAATAAAATGATTTACCCTTCTCTCTCTGCTTTCTACACAGGGGAAGATCGTTCACGTCCAGCTATTTGTGTGATCAGTAAATATTTAGTGTTAGGGACATCTCAAGCTTCTCATCTGATCAATACATTTCCCAACAGGAGGTGTATTGTCAGGGACACAGTTTACTGATGGACCTATGATCTCTCTGTCTCCCAGTGTCTGTCTCTCTGTCTCTTTCTCACACATTACTGCATATACCTGTATATTTCACTTAGCCTAAACCACCCTCATTAAACACATATGTTCCAGATCTTTATTATAAATAATTCGCCTGAATATTTTTCCATAAAATTATTTTCTATCACCCTGTTCTAATTATCTATCCCCTTGTCCTAATTTGTATCAGCATTCTATAATCTTTATTATATTTATTTTTACATAAATACTTTTAAGATTCTACTTCTATATATAAAGTAATCCTTCCTATTTTGCAACAAATTTACACATATATTCATTTTATTTTATTTTTATTTTCATGTATTAATTCAAATTAGAAAAATGCATGTACTAACATAGATGAACCTAAAATTAAAAAAAAAGGTTCTCTGCAGAAACAATATATATACTGATGGTTCCAAATAAAAAAAATGCCTATGCACTAACTCATTCATATATGTCTATATGAGAGCCTGTATATACATTGAAACACATATTCACATATGTTTGAATTGTTACAATTATGAATTGATGGAATAATATTTTTATTTTAAATTATTTTTTTCTTTAAAGTTTTAGAGAAAAAAATGTATAAGCCAGGTAATGTTACGTCTCAAGTGTCAAAGAAAAGACAATTTAAAAACAGTTTAGAAATATTATATTAAACCCAAAATATTGCTACAAGCACCTGGTCATCTCCCTGATTCGGTCTAATTGTTTTTTCCTCATTCATGTCTTGAATGGAATGCAAACGCTCAGGCTAATTATCAGCATCATTCCTGCCACTCTTAGTGAAGACTCTCCCTTTATAGGTGTATGGACCTAATTGCCTCCTTCGTCTGTCTTTATGATGGGTGCTGGCTCATTGGTAAAAAAAAATAAAAAAAATTTGAACAAAAAAAAAAAGCCTGAATTTATTGTATTTAGCAAGAATACAGACAGAAAATGTTGCACAAGTTTTTTGGTTGAAAGAGCACATATAAGGCCATTGAGAGGCATTGATCCGAGAAGACACAGAGAACAAGCGAAATCGATTTGAAGCGACCCTCTCGGTCCCTTTTCATACCATTCAGAGACCCCCATTCCTTATAAGACAAAAGGAGTGCTTTGGGAATGCCAAGACAGGGAATCCAGTCTCTCAAGCAAAATCCATTGCTAATCTAGATATGAAAACTAGTTTTATCCCCCAAAAAAAATAAACACTCTTTGCTGGAGCTTGTTGGAAGAAGAGATTGGTAATTATGGAGCTATGCTTAGACAGACTGCCTTCAATCTTCCAATAGTCAGGCTCTATGGGGCTAAACCAAGGCTCACCCTTGACCCCCAGGTTCAGAGTAAAAGTTATCAATACAATGTGGGCCAAAGTTTAAAAAATCTCAGCTAGTCAACGCCCCTCTCGTATAAATGAAAGCCCATGTGCTTGTGGGAGGACACACAGGGCACAATTTCAAGGGAATCTAAAAAAAAAAAAAACATCTCTATCTGATCTTCAAACATCACATAATTATCTGGCATTACAGCTCTGAATTACCTTGGAGTTTTTCATAAGCTGGCTCTAGGTTCTGCTTTTACATCGTACAGTAAGAAATCCTTTATCTTGTCTGTATGTTTATTGTGATCAATTTTGATTCAATAACAACAGCCTGTAGATTTTTAAACTGCAGCATCTGTCTGTCACTAATACCCTCCCCTAATTAATATAAACCCAGTTATAGCAGTTTAAAAATAACACAGGATACTCAGTTCTTCTTGGGCTTTCCCAGCAGTGAGGTTTTTAATATAATATTCTGTATGGTCTGATTAGACTGCCATCAATGGGAACTTTATAATTTAGCATTTTTGTGGTATTAGCAGTTAGTTAAAAGAGCTATGGCTTGTGTTCCTTGCTCACAGCTATTTCCCTTATAGTCTATAATTACAGTGTCTTCCTACTTGTAGTCTTGTTTGAGGTAAGAAACCATTTGTAATTTCCATTAGCCAGTAAATATGTAATTAGTATGCAGTGCTGTGTTTAACTTAATTCTTGTTAAACCAATGACAAGTGACAGTGAAGGAGTATTTGTTGCATTCGTCAATTCTGACACACATCTTACCATAACAATTTTTTAAAAAGAAAGATTCTGTGTTCCATCTTTAAAAAAAAATTTAAGTATTTTAAACTGTCTTGGACTGCCAGGCTTTTATTATCCATTACATTTCTCATATGATAATTTCCCCATTCATTTATTTTGTGTGTGGAGGGAAGGGGGTGGGGGGGGGGTATAAAATTAATATTACATGTGTCAAATGAAAATGTACGGTGCTTGAAATGTATTAGTAGAAAAAAAAGCCTAGCAATTATTTATGAAAAAAAAAATAGTAGAAGCAAATTGATCAGTTAGATGGATCAGTTTTTTTTTTTTAATGAGGTTTTAGGTATGTATATGAAGAAGGCTATTTGAATTTCTCAGTGTTCTAAATAAATATTTATTAAACTAAACAATAACAAAAGTAAGTTATTTATTTGTTTAAGTTTATCTGTTCCAAAAACACTTTGTAAGGCCATTTAGCAAGGTATGGTTTGTTTGTTTTTAAAGTATGTTTGTGATAAAACCCTGATCTAGTGTCAGATGATGTGTAGTACAAATACTTTCTTAGATCTTAAACCCCACTAAGTTAGAGGGTTAGTATTGTTAACTGGGCGAGAGTTTTAAGATCCCTGTTTCCCTGCCCCAAATCTAGAAGGTGTAGCAATAAACACTCTCTTCCTTCTAAGGAATGAGATGAGAGGATATCACTGTAGGCTGTTTTTACCTTGGGTACTGGGTATTCTTTAAGGCGAGGCTCACTCACATTCCTGACAAGCTGTGCTGTAGCTCCCTGAGTCCCACTATATTTAAAGTTATAGTGTCAAGTTTTTGCAAGGGCTGAAAGCCAAATAGTACTCTCTCTCCCTTCAAGCAGAGGATACCCCATTCACCTTTCTCCCCTTCACCCCTCCAGGCTTTTTGCTTACTTTCAATCAGTTTTTTTCCAGTCGCTTAAAATAAACACAGAAAAGGGACACATTCTGTTCTCTTTGCAAGGAAATCTCCCATAACGTCTTAAAAGGAGTCCTTTCACCTGCCACTCTGAAAAGGGGATTTGCACTTTTATAGAGAAGATGCAAGCCATCTGGGACGCAGAACAAGGAAAATACGTATTTGGTATGTGTATTTTAATAATACAATGTATCTTGCAATATTTCCTTCGCTTAGATTGCCTCTTTAACTAGCTCCTAGCCTGATGCATTCACTCACACTGACTGTGCTTTTTTTAAGCTTCCTTGAGTTCTGTTGCGTTGTTTATATATACAATTTTCTTAATCACATTTGCAACTAGGCATAGAAATGTGCGATTCAAGGGGGTAAGAGGCTGCTGTTATTAGGATTGGCAGTCTGGTTATAAAGTCCCTGTACTGCATCGTACCCACGGTAGAATTGGCAGCCTCGCTGCTAATGCCAAAAACATTGCAGTTTGGTCAATTTAGTGACTATTCGGTCAGATACATAGAAATATATACAAGGTGCTGCAGCCTCTTGGCTGGATTTGGGTCAGAATTCGAAGCCAGGGTTCTGCAGCTTTGGAGACATGCATTATAGGCAGTGAATTGCAATGTACTTACCGCTGACTTGTCCTGTTATGGGGTCTCTGAGCTCAGATGGATGGCTAGTATCTGTTCTATAGTGCAGAGAAATGATCTCCTCAGCCCCTCACTGCTCTGCACTGAATGACTCCACAGCAGCAGCCTCTGTATATCAGCTCAGTGCTGGCTCTGTTGATGCACATAGCACAAAGTTTAGGTGCACTCCGGTGATGTCCAAACCAATTAATTTTAAATCCTTTGGAGTTAATCTGATTAATATGTACATAAGTTTCTTTCTTGCGTGCATACGTGAGCCAGAAGTCGTTTCCCTTTAAGATCCCATATTTTCATCGTAGGTTCAGTTTTTAGGCAGATGAAAGGCATACACTAGGGGGCAGACAGATACTGTACTTGCTCCAATCTTAAGCATTTTTTCCCCTCACAGCATATGCTCTGATTTAGCACTGTACATTTTTCAGAGGACCCAACTCTGACAGCCCCTGGTGATTTTCAAAGTACCACAAGCCAGTGGTTAAAAATTGCATTGACTTGGAAGTTCAGAGGAACACAATAGGAGCCACTTTCACTATTCACAGGGCTTTAGTGTGGCAGAAGATGTGCACACAGATACAAACACACAGAGAGAGATACACACTCAGAAACAGATAAACATGAATACACACATAGACACAAAAAGTTACCTACACACACCAACACAAGGACACACACAATAAAACACTTTTAGACACAGAAAAACACACATGTATACATGTAAATACACATAAACACATTCAAAGAAATGAAACACACATCCAAAAAAATATACACAAATGCACTGCAGCACAAAGGAACAAAACATACACACACATTGCAGCAGACATATTTACATGCACATACACATATGCACAATTACTTACAACAAAAAATACCAACACAAAATACACAAAGACATATTTAAAGAAAATTCCAAATGCAAAAATAGCTTTAGACAGTCAAATACGTATACAAAGATACAAAGTATTACGCTATAACACAAAAGCACAACAGCATACAAACAAAGACTCCTGCAAACACACAGATAAAAACTTTCACACACGCAGACACACACTTTCACAGACACACTATACACTCTTCCTTCCCCCACACACATAAATAACCCATCCATCCACACCTGCCACCCTCCCATCCACGTGCACACTCACATTCACTTACACACACACACACAAACACACAAACTCACAAACACACAATGCTTTATGGGAATAGATTTTTTTTTTTTGTATATTTGAATTCACTGTTCGCTAGTTGCTTTCCCAAGAGTGAATTATCCTGCAAACAATTAATATGGTTAATATTATCATCATATTGAAATTCACATTACGCATAATTTGAAATGTTGTTTCACCTGATTTCAAGATAGATATTCATTGATATATAGTATTGTACTACAGTAGTGAGTATATCGCAATTTATTGTATCCTCACGCTGACAATCTGATATTAGTGCGGGGGATGTGCAATATTTGATACACTGTTGAGAGTGTTTTGTAAGGCTCAGGACAATGATATATCTGATAAGATTCTGTCATTTACTGTCTGGCCTTTTTTACATGATTTCATCTAGAATAAAGTGCCAATCTTTTGGATATGTCATTTTCAGCTGTAGGTTTCATTCACAAAAAATATAAATATTCGCCTAAGGACAGTGACCTATAATGGGACCAGCAAGGCCAATAATATGATATTAAAGGAATTCTAGCTGGCGTAATTTGATTTCACTACCTGACAGTGAAGTCGACATGTATCTCAAGTACTTAGAGTTATACACAACACATTATATAATATAATATAATATAATATAATATAATGTGGTTATAACATAATATAATATAAAATAATGTGTGTGTGTGTGTATAATATAATATAATATTGTCTATATACATATATATAGATAATATTATATCTGTCCATGTTTTCACTAGAGCCCTTGCCAGAAAATCAGATACATATTTATTGCCTTTCCAGAGGTATAAAGGAAATTGTAACACATACTTTTAGTATAAACTGAGTCAACAGGGAAAAAAATGATGTTATTTTACTTGTATCCAAAAATGTGATTTGTACAATACAGTTGGGATTGCTGCAAAGGGACAAGCCGTATGGCTATTTCACTATTACATTTCAGAAAAAAAATAAATGTATGGATACACATGCACTTGCATTAGTAACAATCATGTCTGTTTATACAAAGTGGATGTATATATTCTGTGGTATGTGTTAATGTATGTGCATGCATGCTATGAGATATTCTTGTGTGCGTATAATTGAGGTCTTGGTGGTGTTTAATCACCCACAAAAGCATATCAGAGGTAATATTTATTTTAACATAAATGAATATGGGATATAGTTGAAATAACCCCTGTGTAGGCAATGATATTCCACCCATGAAATTCTTAACATACACACATGTATACCTTATGCGAGGTCATGTTACACCATGATACATTTTGTTAGTTTATTGTGCCAATCTCAACATTCTATAAGGTACCTGAACATTCTATTAGCTTTTCCAACTGCATTTACCCCCAAAACACAGACATAATACATAGAAACTTGTGTACCATGATGATGACCTAGTTAAGAGTTAGTCACATTACAGGATGTGCTTTGATAGAAAAATAGCTTACATTTTGAAACATTATATCCATTCCGCAGATCCTGAGCTGCAAGTCTGTTACAGAAGGAAATCCGCTTAATAGCTGTAAAATTATAGATATAGCAGGATGATAATGTCACTGTGCCTTGCCTGGGCAATTAGCCTTAAACCAACAACCATCTGCAACCTTTACTGACATGGAGTGCTTCCCCTGAAGTAAATAATAGCCCCAGCCATTGGGTTTCTGATGGTCAAGTGATCAAACAGCACCGACCCTCATTCTTCAAGAGAGGGATATTGTCCATAGGAGCCTCTATCACCTCGCCTGCAAAAGCCATGTCTGGTACTTCACGTAGCCTTTCCCTCACCTCAGCAGAGCAACCTCTGTTTTTATTCGTGCTATCCTCCTATGAACCATAGCCCTGAGTGTATCTGGGTGTCTGAACCTGAAATGTCTGAATGCTTGCTCACATGGATAGAGATAGATAGATAGATAGATAGATAGATAGATAGATAGATAGATAGATAGATAGACAGTGTTATAAAAGTAAATGTAATGAAACATGGGTATTCTACCTTTTGCATATAAGTAACATATTAAGTTTTAATGTATATATGACAACTCAGATAGCTGTCCCCATGTTTCATATTCCATAAACATATTAGTTTCCTAGGCTCATGTCAGAAGATATAGATATATATAAATATCACATCTCTCTGTGTTTCTCTCCCTCTCTTTCTCAAGATTTCTACAAGTTAGGGTATGTGGTGTTATAAAGAGATAGGACAAAAAGTCAGACCCTCTAGAAGGTATTTGGTGAAATATTTCTCATTGTGACATGTAATGTTAAGCTTGTAATAATTCTTATTTTTAATGCCCTTCACACGTGCTGGGAAAGTAATATCCATCAGTGCTTATTAACCAATTGCAATTTGTTTTAGTGTGCAAAACAGCTACCTGTCAGCAGCCACGGTCCCATCATTCCTCCCCTTTATTTTTTTTAATTATTTGTACTACTTTTATTAATTTGTTTTTTAAAGTATTATTATTATAATTTGCTCTTACTTTCCCTTTGCAGTACTGTTGAAATGTGCTTCATATATATATTTATTTATTTTTTATCATCCATTTTTTTTAACTTGACACACCATTACTACCACAGGCTTATTGTGTCTGGTCTATAAGCAGCAGTGCTGATATGTGAGTGTATAGAGAGATGACAGTCTCTAGGACCGGGCAATGAAGAGTTGCAGGCACTCTGTACCACTAGGCTGGCCTGACCAATGGGGTGCAAGGGGAGGGCTGGGAGCCCTGACCAGTTAAACACAATCTCTTGCCTTATAAGGAGCGGCGTCGCCATGGTAACGTGTGCTAAGTTGCAGCAGTGGTGTCAAAGTTCACTATATAGAGAGCTCACTGAGCTGATCGGAGAGACACCACTCTGCCAGCCCTTTCCTACAAATCGCAATCACTTCCTACACCCCCCTCCTCTTTAGCATATTTGATCACTTTGATTCCCAGCTCCTGCCTTTTATTTGAGGGGTTTTTATTCTGCATGAAGGATATGTCCAGCAGTCTGTGATCTGCTTTCCCTGTTTTGTTGTTTTGTTTTTTTAATTGTTATTATATTTTTTTTGTTATTATTATTATTTGCTGCTGCTTCTTGCTGCTGGAGAAAGAGAGAGAGAGAGAGAGAGAGGAGCCTTTATTTTTATTTTTCCATGCACAGAGGAAGAAGGGATCTGAACAAGTTCTGCTGGAGCCTACCCTCCCCTCCTGACTGCCAGCGCTGGGAAAAGAAGAGCAGGTCTCCCCCCTGATAATCCTTAACCCTTCCCCTGACTCTGCCTGTCCATGGCTTTCCTGAATGGCTGACTGTGATCTTCCCAGGACCTGGCCCCCAGCACTAGACCTGCACCCCAGCTTCACAGAGACAACCCCAAGTGATCTCATACGCCAGACCAGCTCTCCAAGCTTTTTCCTTATCTGATTGTATTTGCTTTATTTTTTTCCTCTCTTTTTTTTTCCTTTTTCCCCCCCCCAACTAAAAATTCCTTGAGAACTACCTACCTACCTCTCCCCCCTCCCCCACCTACTCCTTCCCTTTTTTTTTTTCTTCTTCTTCTTCTATCTTTATTAAAACTGCCTGGTCTGGTCCCATATACCACCATAAGAAGAGAAAGGGGGACGAAGCAGCTTGAAAACGGTTCCCAATAGATATGGCAATGGTAGTGGGTGCGTGGCGAGACCCCCAGGACGATGTGCCAGGAACTCAACCTTCCCAAGCACCACCAGGGCAAGGACCCACAGGGGCACCACACACCCCACAGACTCCAGGGCAAGGGTTGCCCTCCTCTGCCCCAGCTCAATCCAACCCATCAAGCCAATCCAGCCAGAGCCAGGGAGACAAACAGCAACAGCAGCAGCACATTGAGTGTGTGGTGTGTGGGGACAAGTCTAGTGGAAAACACTATGGACAATTCACTTGTGAAGGCTGCAAAAGCTTCTTTAAGAGAAGTGTCAGGAGAAATCTGAGTTACACTTGTCGTGCCAACAGGAACTGCCCTATAGACCAGCACCACCGCAATCAGTGCCAGTACTGTCGCCTCAAAAAATGCCTCAAAGTTGGCATGAGACGGGAAGGTATTGGGATTTCATTAGTTTTTACACTCTTGCCTTTTGTTCATGTTTCCCAACGTTCTGTAAGAGAATGGTGTGTAACTTTCTCCTGCATGGACTGGATGGGGGCTGTGAGTTTGTATGTGTCTTTTTTATTTTTTATTTTTTTTATCATTGCTTACAAACTGTATAGAACAATAATAATCAGATACTCCATTGTTTATTTAGAAGAATTTATGTGCATGTTATTTATATACATCTATATATTGTTACAGATCGATAAAATAGATAAATAGATAGCACTAATACAGTTATGTCTAAAAAGAAAATAAATAGAGATAATCAGCAGTCCCTGCCTGTCAGTAAGGGTTAATGCTGAATTCAGGGGGTTTTTCCCCTTCCCTCTCTCCTAACAACCTCTCTCTCGCTGGAATAATCTCCCTGGCCTTTATGACCTAGAATGTCATCCTGCACAGGAGTTAAAACTGATTAAGATCAGAGGTCTGTATGGTATTGGCTCTCCAAACACCCACCCTCCATTAAAAACACAATTTAACTTCTAGGTTTACTTTAAATATAAATAGACCTTAGGTCTGCTTGTGTAATTTGTGTGTTTGTATGTGTTTTTAAGGCTACACTTTGTATGTGTGTGTGTGTGTGTGTGTGTGCGTGTATCTGTGTTTGTGTTTGCCTGTCCCCTTGTGAAAGTCAAAACCTTTGTGATATAAAATTAGACAAGGGCAGTGTGTTGTTAGTGAGCAAAGCAGCCCAGCCTGCTGTGTTATGTAGAGGAGAGGTTAGTACACTGCCTGGCTTTCTTTGTGTCCTCGCTGGGCTGTCTGTCCCTAGCAGTGTGTAAACTCTAACGCTCAGATCTTCTAAAATACATTGTAACCCCACACACAGCACCCCTTACACCTCACCCCCGTCAGCCCCTCTAACATTATCCGTGCTTTGTGCATCGTTTGCTAAATGCAAATCTAACCAAACAACAGCTAAGGCCTTGGATACTGCAAGCAGTTAGAGAGATCTCCCATACACAATATATCTTCTTTGTTGTTTTTTTTTATATTCTTCCCTGCTTTTCATTTAACCATTCTGTGAAGCGTGTGACTGCCCTTTGTATTTTGTTTTTGTTACAGTTGTTATTTTAAAGGCTAAGGCATTATGTTAAAAAAATATATATATAATTAAAATGAATCTGCAATATTATATGTGTAGATGGGGAAACAAGGCAGCATACGGCAATGCATGCACATATGGAGGAATAATTGAATCTGTTCGTGTTGAGAAAGTCAGCAGATTTTTTTTTATTAAGCAAGCATCTCAGTGATATTTAAGCAGTTGTACAATGAGTACTTTAGATTATGTGTTGTTTTAATTTAATCATAAAAAAGTCAGATCAGCCTCAGAAATGAAATGTCTCTCTCTGTGTCTCAGTGACTTACAAAAAGAAAATAATAAAAAAAAAATAATAAAAATGACTGTGTGTGTGAGTGTGTGTTGTAGCTTCTCATAGATACAATGTATCTCTCAGCCATTGCCAATTCAGATATTAATTGCTGTAGTTTCTTCTCTTTTTACTGCAGCCGTACAGAGGGGTAGAATGCCACCCACACAGCCTACACATGGTCAGTTTGCCTTGACAAATGGAGATCCTCTTAACTGTCATTCCTACCTATCCGGATATATATCCCTTCTTCTGAGAGCAGAACCTTACCCAACCTCCAGATTCGGCAGTCAATGTATGCAGCCCAACAATATCATGGGTATTGAGAACATTTGTGAACTGGCAGCAAGAATGCTCTTCAGTGCTGTGGAATGGGCAAGGAATATACCTTTCTTCCCAGATCTCCAAATCACAGACCAGGTGGCACTTCTCAGGCTGACCTGGAGTGAATTGTTTGTCCTCAACGCTGCCCAGTGTTCCATGCCCCTTCATGTGGCCCCTCTCTTGGCAGCGGCTGGGCTCCACGCATCCCCCATGTCTGCAGACAGAGTGGTAGCCTTCATGGACCACATACGAATCTTTCAAGAGCAAGTAGAGAAACTGAAGGCGTTACACGTTGACTCAGCAGAATACAGCTGTTTAAAAGCTATAGTACTCTTCACATCAGGTAAGAGGCATGAGGATGTGGTATTTTATTTTATTTTTATTTTTTTAAATATATTTATATATTTTTTTGATTTTTGTTCATTAGAATATACCCCCTTCCTCATATGGAAAGTCTAAATTATCCCCTTTGCTTCATGTTATGTATTATGTATAACATGCATGCATATACATATGTGTATAGGCATATACTTGTGTGTGAGTGTGAAGGCCCTCATTGCATATAAAAGTGAATGAAGCTAACATCATAAATAATTAAAATTTGCCCTGGAAACCCTAGCCTGCTAGAATGTGTGAGAGCAATTCTAAAGGACAATAGACAAGTTACCATGTGTAACCTTAATTTAAAAAATGCAGAATAATAAGAATATTAACACTAATAAAAAAATAATTATTATTATAATGTCCTATAAAATTGCATTATTTTTTCTAGTCTGTCATTTATTTTCCTTGTAGGATAGAAGGGCTGATAATTTACTGTTTCCTTAGTTTAAGTGTATAGCTAAAGGCAGACAGTTTGTTTACTTAACTCTATGGGCCCAAACCATTTAGATTCCAAATGTATTTGTGAATCGGACGAGTTCAGACAAGCAGTTTTGGATTTCACTGCTGAACTGGTGTAACTTTAGACAGAATGCAACGTTTAAGTGTAGAAATACCGAGACAATCCTAGCTTTAGCTTAGCCACTGCTGCTTGGAGAGTCTAAAAGCAGAAAGGAAAATAAAAGAGAAAAAAATAAATTAATTAAAAAAAATTAAACCAATGATCAATTCCTGTACAGGAAATAAAAATGAAAGTAATATTCCTCAACCCTAGTACTTGTGTGTAGTGTGGCAGTTATCAACCAATAATGAATGTGTTATGAAATCTAATTAGGATGTATTGCAGGTTAATCTGTGTGAATAATATATCTGACAATAATTAACTCTTCAGGCTAAACTATGTAAAACAAATTATACTTTGTAATGCATGTAGAATATCTGTACTGCGTGTTACACTCATACCACCCATTGGGTGTAATCCTTGCTTTACCCACAATATTTAGAATCGCCTTTTTGTTGTGTGTGTGAATTTTTGTGTATTTATTTTCAAACATTATTTTTTTTTTTAACTTTAGCGACGCAGTGGCTGCAGCTTTGCTGCAAATAATATTATTATATTATTTTTTTTAGAGTAATTGTATTGTTTTTATTTTCTATTGTAAAATCATTTAAAACTATACTTATTAACTTGGAGGAGGAATATAAATATATATATATATATTTTTATCACACCCTCTCACACTGAATTAAATATCGACCAACACTAATTAGTTTTATGGTATTTCCTAATAATAAACAATTTAAAGTTTGACGTAAAGTATAGCCAGTTAAAGACTAATTTCCACGTCCAAAAGTTACTCCGTTATTTTGTATCAATATATTAATTGCTGTCGTTAAAATAAAATGTAAGAAGGACAAGATAAAGCTGTAAACCACACGTACTAATACGTCAGGACTAGACATCTCCTTGTGATAGAATTACTTTACGTGTTTGCAATGTATTACTGTTAGTATTCCCTGTTGATATATTCGCTTACTTCTTAACCCTTCCCACGCCATGGTGCCAAACCTAATTTGGTAGATTTTGTTTTACATTTTTTGAAAGCTATTCTGGCAGTGCAGAGGTTAAAAGACTCTATGTAGACAAACACATAAAATGAGTTAAACAGAGGTGTTTTTTTTCCCTCCACATGATTCAAATAATCTGCATGCCTTTTTTAATGGCGTGTCTAACAATTTGCATGTGTTGCTCAGCTAAGACCCTTTCCAATCAGTCAATGGCGGTTTGGGTGACAATCTTGCAACCTCAGCTCTCAGGGCAAAGGGAGTTTCTGATTTAAACCCCATGCATTCTAGTATTTTTTTATTTGGGGGGGGAGTATTAAATTGTGCAGACCTTCTTTGGGTTCCCTGTGTATAGGGGCCTTCTTCAAATCTGCTTGAGTGCAGAGAGGGGCTAGAGTGAGAGAGGCAGATCACAGTTTGCTTGGCTGAATCTGAACAGCCTATACTGACAAGATGATCTTTTAAAGAGCCACTTAAAACAGTTTCACAGACCAAAGAAAAAAAACCATAGTCCTCTAACAAGAATATATTAGAGTCCTGTAGGCCATTTTTGTTGACTGGACTTCAGTGCTTTTAGGATGGACAAATGCTGAGCAATACAAGCATCTGATTATTCCTTCCCACGTTGAACCATAGCTAACTCTCAGTTCATTCCCCAAACTGCAGATCTATAGGCCCTGGCTTCTGTAGTTTAGGGAGGTTCCATTTAGAATCCAGAGAATAGGAAGACTGTCTTCAGTTTTAAGGCAGATCCTCCAGCTACAGTTGTATATTTTTTGTTGTTTTCTTTTTTTTTTGCAAGAAAAACCCCTCCTCCCACCCCCCCACCCAAAATAAAATTCCTGATCAGTTATTGATATTGTTTTTCACATTTTCTTGCAGATGCCTGTGGTCTTTCTGATGTTGCCCATGTTGAAAGTCTGCAGGAAAAGTCACAATGTGCTTTGGAAGAATATGTTAGAAGCCAGTACCCTAATCAACCAACAAGATTTGGAAAATTGTTACTCCGTCTGCCCTCTCTCCGCACAGTGTCCTCCTCTGTAATAGAGCAATTGTTTTTCGTCCGTTTGGTAGGTAAAACCCCAATAGAAACCCTAATTAGGGATATGTTGCTATCTGGGAGCAGTTTCAATTGGCCCTACATGTCTATACAATAAAATATATTTAAAAAAAAAAAAATATTGAAAGGGAAAGCAAGAATTGCAAAAATTAAATAATAAAAAAAAATAACTAAAAATAAATAAATAAAGACTTTGGGGTCTGGTTGCTATAATTCCTTCTGCTGAGGAGGGTTTAACTTGCTGTTACAAGTTTACTTAAAGAAGAGAGGGGAGATCTATTGGACTGTGAATTTAAAAGACTATCATCGAACTCTTTCAGAATGCATTTAAACGTGTCGTTAAGAACAACTTGCTACTTATCATTTTTTTTTTTGTAAAAAAAAAAAATTCCGAAAAAACAGGAAATTAGTCTTTTTTTGTAACCTTTTAAAATATCGCTAAAAGTGCATTTAAGGAGATGTGGAGAAAATTAGCAGAAAGAAGAAAGTAAGTTTCTTTTTTTTTCCCAAAATTATTAATTGTCCTGTGTCTATGTATCTATAGCTCTTTCATTTTTTATTTTATTTTTTTTTATTTTATTTTTTTGTATTTTTCTGGTTCCAAACCAGTTTACTTGTGGTTCTATAATATTTTTTATATATTCTTGGCTTAAAAAAAAACTGTGTATCCTTTAAAAAATATATATGTTCTGCAAGAATTAAAACAGTTTCCACCACGTATCATAGGAAAAAATGGAACTTAAAATATATATATTTAACTTGGAAACGCACTTATAAGTGATGACCCTAAATTAATTATTGAACTTGAGACCTCTAATTATTTACCCATTTGAACCACATAAGTTTCTTCACTACACAAAACAGATTTTGTTCTTGTAATATTCACAAATTAAATAAACTGTGGGTTGAAGTGAAAAGGGTTTCAGTGTCATAGACACTGCTGTTTAGATAAATCCATTTTTTGGCCATTTTTTTTCCATGCAGTATTCTCAAAATGTTCTGAAGCTCCTCTACCTGTTTGTATATTTGAAATCCCTTTGTATGATAATTGTTGATATTTCCCTTTTTTAAAGAAAAAAAATACAATTCAAATCAGCATGACACAGTTGGCACTTATAGATAATGTGATTGATTCCGTATCTAGAGTTTACAGTTTTGTGTTAAAACTGAAGGTTTTTGGTTATTTTTTAAGTGCAACTTTTTTTTTTCTGTATACTGTAAAAGTTACAATAACTGAACTGTTTGGTCAAGTCTTTGTGTGTAATATTCCAAGAAAATTGAAAGTATTCAGAAATTAAAATATTATTTGATATCTGAAATTTGTTTGGCTGTGACAAGTGTCTTTCACCCCCTTCCCAAACCCCCCCTAAAAAAAATAATACTAATGAGTATGATCATAATAGTACTCTTAATGTATGGATTAAAAAACATATAGCAGTACAGCAACAGCAGCTGCAGCAAATGAATAACCCATTCGGTTCCAGAGATGTTATTTGTCATTTTAATTTCTGGAATATAAAGGGTTAACTCAATTATTTACCTATTTACCTTTTTTCATTATGTTTGTTCAAAGGTGAAGCAGTGTATCTGAATGCTTGATTCGGCTCAGAATGCTTAAATACCTGGTTAGATGTTTGGTTTAAAAGGTGCTGTACAATATTGCTCACCATTCATAGTAACATAATCCCCTTTTTAATTAAAAATGGATTTCCAAGAAAAGGCCAGAACTCAGATGATCTGTATAACTATTTTAGCGAAATATATTGCTGTAAACTTTAAATATTTGCAGCATCTATTTTCTGATCGTATATTTAAATATATCTATATATATATAAAATACATGCACACTATTTTTTGACATTTCAAGTAAATACACACAGGCTATTTTTGGCAAGCCACTAATAGATTTCTAGTTTACAGATCATTTTTTTTTGAGTTTTCTGAAATGGACAATATTATTTTGTTGGTCCCTTTATAATATTGTTTAGGAGAGGTGTTTAAATGGGGAAAGTATGCTACAGAACCCTGCATCTGTTTCAACTACACGATTGAATATCAATTTTGATTTTACCATCAGATTGTACAAGAATGAACATAAGCTATCAACACATAAACCATTTGGCTTGTATTTGTGTTCTAATGTTATTATTGAAATTTTACATATCCCTGTACACATGGGTATAATATTTTGCAAGTGTGTCCTGGACACTGATTACACACAGCAGGTCTTTCAAAATGAAATCGTATAGAATATATATAAATATATATTTTCCTTTGGATTGGTCAGATATATATATATATATATATATTTGATTCCTTTCGTGAATTTAGGCATATCCCAGATGTTGGGTGTATGAAGCTTGTAATTGGTTTAAGACTTATCCCTTAGTCACACATTATTGTGGCTTTTTCCAAAACGGGCAACATTTTAAGTCAATTAAACGCTCATTTTAATTTACTCTAAATGCATGTCTGGACTAGAAAGTGAGGAATGAAAGGGATATAAAAAAATTATGCACTGGTGTGTATGAATATATATATATAAATATATATGCATGGGCATATATATATATATATATATATATATATATATATATATGTACACACACAAATAACAAATTATTCTACAAAATCCTGATGCCCACACAAACACACACATCACACACACATATTTATATCCCCCCATTTATATATAAATATAACACTTAAAGACTTTCATGCATTCATACAGGAATAGGAACTAGATGTGTGAGGGATAGTACAAATGCAGAGTATTGCTGACCTCTACATTCTGAATTTTCTATTGCAAGTCATTTGTGAGTATATGAAGTTTGTATTAAAAGCAAAAAAACCACACAGGATCTCTTCTTTGTTTTGTGTTAGCTTGATGTAAACATGTGTTGTAAATTGTCATTGGTATTAAATTATAATTTATGATTTTGAAAATCAAAAGCCAGTCCCTGTCTCATTATGTGTGCAGAGTGTAACAGTATCTTTGATTGGAATTTTGCTACAACCCTTTTTTTTTTTTTTTTGTGTTGTACTCACAGAGTAACTTCAATGTGTATGGTCGTTAAACAAAACCTGTGTATGCGTGTATACTGCTTAGAGAAGGATTTGTTTAAGGAGCAGAGTTAGATTTAACTATATCACGTTTAAAGTAAGTTTTCCTTTTCCTGCTGAGTTAGAACAAAAGCTCGAGCAAGCATTTGAAAGAAGGACAAAAAAAAGAGGGGGATGTGATTTAGGAGCAAGTTCTGTGAGATCTTAAACAACTGCTTGTCACAAGCAGTTAAACTGTGCTTGCATGGGGAAAGCTCTGAATGTCCACTCGGACACGCAAGGGTTAACTCGTACTAGTGGAAGTGGCAACACTTTTAAACGTGTTCAGTCCAGGCTGCTCTAATGCTGCTTAGTGTCTTAGTGCAAAATAAACAGTTTTTTTTCTGTTTGTTTGTTTAACATTAAAACCCCCAGTTGAGATCAAACAAGGATCATCAACAAAATCACGTTTGTGAAATAAAAATGAGACGATGTAATATATTCTAAAATAAACATATGTAGCAACTAGCAGTGAGTTTATGCTATTCTCAGTGCAGATCTGAATTATCATGCAATTTGCAGATCATCCCTTCTCAGTGATCCCACACAGTGTAGCTTCCTTAATGTTATTTGGTCTTAGGGCTTCTGTTTACGTTAAGTGGAATTTTCAGGGGGTGTTTTAGTGGGAACCCAAGCGTGTGAAAGTATGCCTTTAAGCTTGCTGGTGACTCTGTGCCCTCTAAGCTGAGCAAACATGGCGTCTCTCATTGCAATGTTAGGCTGCTCTAAAAGGCAGAGCTTCAGTAATACAAAACACATTGACAGAAGACAGGCAGGGGGACCTCTCCTCTAGGAGAATCAGCAGCAGACAGAGAAAGGTTCCATTCTGGAACTAGGCAGCAATAATATACTTACCGTATGTAATATTACACATATTATATAGTCATGCTATGTGGGACGCCTAGCTGAACCTATCTGTCAGTTCCTAATGCATGACAATTCTCAAAAAAGGCTGTCATTGCAATTCTTACGAGGCTGACTTTTGAAAGCAATTTGTAATCTAGCAAAATCCAATGAGAAGACTGACTTTGGGGTCTATGTACTAAATGACGCGTCGTGTTGACGTGAGAATGAAAATAAAAATCCCCAACTTTATATGAATTGAGGCCCCGTCACTATTTAGAAAATTAACCCCCTAAAATGGGATCAGGATACAAATAATAAAGAGGAAAGTCAGAATTAAGAAGGTGCAAGGGTTGGACTGCATCATATATTATCAGAATGTTTACAAAATGTAACCCATTCACTGCCGTACACAAAGTTAAGGAGGTAGGCCCTTTTAGACTTCTTGTAAAACTATAATATATAAGTGTGGTCAGAAAAGTAAAACATTTGAAAAATACTATCACCTCACAGCGCTTTTTTACCCAAACCTAATAATATAATAATTGTAACCTATTAAATTAGACAGGATAGGCTGCTCCACGTTAAAATGATTTCTAGGCCTTTATATCCTTTTCTCAAATCCACACTCATAAGGTTAAATTAATTAGGGATGCATCCACTAAACAGTGATCAGTGGTGAGCTGACAATCAACAAGCAAAATAAAGGTAAAAAAAAACTAAGATAAATAAAATATTACTATCAGCACTGCTTGCTTTCTCCCCTCCTCCCCCAGCATAAACTATTGGGACCTAAATTGTGACAATCTGTTGTTATCTCCCCATTTAGTCAATAATTCCCTTAGCAGTCCTATCATTTATCATAACTTCTAAATGTAAGTAGGTAATGAGATGTGCTTTAACTTAAATATAGTTGTTTGACAAGTGTTATTCTGAACAACCTCTTAAGAAGATGATGAATGAGCAGTAGAGGTATGTGCACATCCACAGCAAGGGTTAAAAAGTGCAAATCTATTGAACGTGTTGAGGGATATTTTGCTGCAGATAAGTGTAAACATGAATGGACTGCAGGTCTAAGTGATTGGGATCATTGTATATCTGGATTACAGGCAGCCAGACAGGGTACTAAGTTATTCACTAGACTCTCTGTTCTGTGAAAAGGTTTTTGCTTGCATTATGTAGAAAAGGCTCCTCTTTTTTAACACTTATGCTCACCTGTTAAAGGAGTTATAAATCTTATCTTGCCTCTGATAATGCAATGATAATAGTTCTTGCAGTCTTTTAAATTGAACTGTAAAATGTGACTGGGGCAGTATTGCTTTGGTGCCATAAAAAGGCATATACTCTCCCTATCTGCTAAACTGATCTATGTTGACAAAGTGATATACTACAGCCAGTCATACCACATGACACAGAGAAAAGCATGGGCTTTACAACTTTTTTTTTTTAAAACATAATTTATTGAGATAAATTTCTTTTTGAGAGGTAAGAAAAAAAAAATCAAAGGAATTTCTAAGTGAGAGAAGTTTCTCAGAAAATAAACATGCCAATGATTAGCTAAGCAAACACATCTGCTTTCTTAGTTTTTCCTTAGTTAATTACCAAAACAGGGAACCTTCCCCCCGCCCCCCTCACCCCCTTCCCCTCCTGCAGAATATTGTTATTTCAAGAGGATTCTGCTTTACCCTTGCAATATTAATTTTATTGGGATTACCAATGGGAAATGAGCCTTGATATTCTTCCTAATGTAAAGCTTAATCGCCAACCCTTAAGAACAATATTTTTCCACCAAACATCTTTCAGAGAAAGGAGGGGGGAAGGAATTGCAGAGGAACTAAGCAGCAATTTGAATCAAGGCTGCATTGGGCTGATTTTACTTGACAGAGCGTGTGTTTCAGCAGGACTGTATAATTTGCACTTCTGTTCCCTTATTATGGAAGGACAGCGAACTAATGAGCTTTTCTCCAGCACAATGTCAATTATATTTATTTTCTTCCACAAACTTTTTTTTTTTCTATAGTTCCAAGTTATTCCTTTAAATATCTGTTCCCCTCCACTCAAGTTCCATGGCTGATACAGAGTTAAGCCATGTGTGCATTATATGACCATGAGATGTGTTTTTGGAACTCAGTACAGATAGATATTTTGTTTTAGGAAGTCGCTGAAAGAAGTACTTAGTTTACAAACGGGTGATTATTTTTTTTTTTTTGATTATTTTTTTATTTCTCTGTTTTATGAAACCAAGTCAGAGTGCATTGCAGGCCAAGCGTCCATAGTACATAACCACCATAGGACAATAAATAGAAAACTAATAAGTAGCAAAACAGTACTTTTATTTCAACTGCAGGCCTTTAGAAAAAAACAAAAAAACAATAGTATATTGTAAGATTATTTAAAGATAAAAGAGAGAGAGAGAGAGAGAGAGAGCACACATAGACAGATCTATAATGATTGTGTTCATAACAGAAAAATAATGTTAAAGTGCAGTGTTTGCCTTAAGGTGTAAAAGATTGATAGGAAATATAATTTGTAATGGATTATTAGCTATAGACTCACTGATGAGGATAAATGTGATGAAGTGTTGTATTGTATACTGATTACATGTGTCTGTGTTTTTATTTATTTTTTTGTCTTTCTGTATGTGTATGATAGGAAACATGTTGGTTTTTATCGATTTGTTATACATGCCGAAGAAGATATGTGGGATGAGGTTTTATTATATATAAAGACAAAATAAATTGTGTGTGTGTGTGTGCGTGTGTCTGTTGCATTGTGAACATCATGCATGCTGTCAAGCAGTTGCTGTATTGTGAACTGCAGAGACAGTTGCTAAGCATCCAGAAACAGAGGGGTTACATTGCAGCCACTTTAACTCTTTCAGTGCCACAGAGGCCTACATCATCAACCTTCTCCCTACCCCCCATTTTCCCCCTCCTCTGCTGTCAATCGGTTAATAGATCTGAAACTAGCTTTCTGGTAAACAAAACATATGTCAATATAAATCAGGGAAAAACAAAAATAGGGTTTGCCAAAAAAAAAAAAAAAAACACACCACCCCAGTAGATTAGGATAGGGGGGACAGGCACATCAGAGGGTCTTTCTGTGTATTCCTGGCCAGCTGTAGTCAAACACAATGCTTTGTTTCAAACTCTCTCTCTCCTTATCATCCATTTTCCCCTTTCGCCCATCTCCTTTTTTCTTTGCTATTTTTTTTCTCTCTCTCTTCCCTTCCAGTAAATTGGTCGTAACGTGTGCCTTTATGTTCTGCCTATAACTAGGATGTAATCAGGCGCCGCATGTCTCTCTCTAAAAGCATTTAATAAATGTCTATTAAAGGGCTACACATGTAAGATAAATTTAGTAGCGCTGCTTCCTCTGTGTATCCGAACGGTAATGATGGATATACCAACAGGGATTCTCCTTCCGCACAGCCAGAGATTCACTCTACAAATAAGGCAAGCAAAGTACCCACCCAAATACAATTATTTACACTGAACCCCAAATCGTCACTCTGTGCCCTGTGTGCTGCAGTGGGTTTCAAATCCAGTGGCTCCTTTTACATTTTTCAATCTCCATCTAAACCTAATAAAAAGGAGAAAGAGTGCATATTTTTACTGGCCTTCTGGGTGTATTTTGATCAGACTGTTATTTTACACAAGCTGTTTCAACATTTTCTCCCCCTAAATCTATCTCCATAAAACCTTTATTTTTTTCCAGTAGATTTTTATAGACTTAAAATAACAGTCGTCTCTCTCTCTCTCTCTCTCTCTCTCTCTCTCTCTCTCCCTCTCACACACTCACTCATTCAATCTTTCTCTTCTTCAGCTCTCTTTCACAATCCATCCATCTCTCTCCCTCAATATATCCTCCCATTCCATTGCCTTTTGTATCTCTTTCTCTCCCTCCTATTGGCAAATGCCTTATTAAAATATCTTATAGACATCAAATGATTGTTACTCCTTACTGTATATTAAAAAAAAAAAAACTATAAAATACTGACAACCATCAATTATCTTGCAAACACTCATTTTCCCATTGATATCAATCTGTATCATCAAAATCCCAATGATTGCTCCCCTTTTCAATATCATAGACTGATACAGACACTGCAAGGCTTCACATTCCCATTCAATAAGTATGACAATACTGCCATGGTTATTTGATTTCTCTTGTTTCATCCTTGCTAAATAAATAAAGGCTTTTTATTGCTGATATAGATAATTCGGCCTCCCATTGTTAGACAAGAGGAATATCTTTTTCTAGATGATTTTCTAAGCAAATAATAGAATATTTAAACTCTATGCCAGGGTCGACAGACACCTGCGATAATGTAAAGAATTGTAGCCAACTTTAGTAACAGTATGTTTCCTTAAAGGGTTTATTATACAAATTGCAACATATTTAATTCAAGGAATAATGCTGTTTATTTTTTTTTTTTATAAATAAATATACCCCAAATTCTCCCATATTGACGAGTTGCCCATGTAATAAAAATCCAAAAATTTAAATTACATACTAGATACACACACATAAATGAGCTGTACAATATAGCCCTCATAAAAACACTTGTCAAATACGCGTATATTTATTGTGCATAAAATATATCCTTGTTAATTACATAGAGTGTACACAGAATTAGGTTTCACAAAGTCACACCATATAGGTGTAGTCAATACAGCCCTATAAAAATATACCCTTAACACTTATATTAATTAAATCTCATTTACACACTCAAACACTACACACACCGACAAGTAAAAGCACTAAAGACATACACATGCAATAGATACATGTGATACATTTAGAGTGGGATTTTTTTTTTTTATACTATGAATTATTTTGTCCCCTTGTGTAGTTCTTTGTGGACATTTATAGATTTCATTGAGACTTCTTCTCACTTTTACTGTCAGTTATCTTTGTCCATTTTTAAATGAAGGGCTTTTAACAGGAATCAGTGCTCTCGGCGTGAGTCCCTCTCTCTAAATGTTAGAAAATTGTGCCATCTACCAGCAATGCTAAGTACTGACACATTCACAGACCTCTAAGGACCTTCAGCCCAACTTCAATGCAACTATGTCAAAGGGTGGGCTTCTGGGGGGCTGAGAGATGGCAGGCTTGCGTTCAGAGGGGATTTCTAAGTCTTGAGGAGTAGTGCAGAAAGGGTCGTGAGCAGAGGGTGGTTCATGTATTCTCTTACAAACAGGCATTGAATTATAGAAATAATAATATAATCATTTAGATTACCTCCAGTATCCCATCTAAATTTCTTTTCTTTTTTTAACAAAAGTAAGAAATGTAAGGGTTCTTGCTTTAACTGAATTTGTGCTGGGTCCCTCCCAAAAAAATGTTCTTAGGGGGAACACTATCAGTTTTTTTCCAGCACTGGTAAAAATAAACAAATATGGTTGATTTAAACCAAATTAATAACAATTGCTTGTTGATTTTTTGTGCATTATTTACTGCAATAACCACATGTATGTAAAGCACATGTATGTGCAGGCACACATACATTTCTGTGCCTATGCTGAATGTACCATATGCTATAGGTATGTGTGTATATTTGTGAGCATTTGTAACTTTGCAATATATATTACAACTGCTCACAAATATATATATATATATGTGTGTGTGTGTGTGTGTGTGTGTGTGTGTATATGATATATAGCATTTATATATACATATTTGGATATAGACATACAGTCTCGTTAAAAATTGCGAGATATCTTTACAGTATTTAATGACGTAGTACAAATTAAAATAGTTCACTTCACCGGTACTTGGCGGCCAAGCGGAAAGATAACGGTGTACTTAAATTATATTTTATTCCAAGTACTTATTATACAAATTAAAAACATAACCCAAATATTTAAGATACATAGTCAGATATTTTTTCCCTTAATTTACGTTTTATTCATTTTATTTGAGAGAATCATTCCACGGAATGCCATATAGTAATGGATGTTCTTTAAATGAAAGGAAATCCGTAACATGAGCGATTCTTTATTCTGATCGTTCTATATGTGAGGGATAGCACAGACAACGGTGCGAGGGGTGGCTTTCTCCAGCACGTCCCAAGTCACTTAAGCTTCCTGATATGGCCTGAGGTGTAGCGCCTTGATTTAATGCCCAATATAGCAGAAAGTTAATGAATAGGAAAATGATTTTACAATAACGTGCATTTGTTTTTGTTACAAGTAATATGTGCAGCTTTTAACGTTTCATATTAAATTGCGTACTGAATTATTAATCATTATTAATTTGATAGAAATGGTTATGTTTTTTTATTTTTTTATTTTTTTAAATTCTTTATTCATATAGGGAAACTGAGTTTTCTAAACTCAATTAATCACTTGTCCCTTGTATCCTTCAAAACAATGTCAGTTTTGAGGGATGAACATTTTTGATAATATAAAGTATTAAAGCCCATAGTATTTAAGGTCATTTCAGTCCTGGTGGTTGGTGATCTTCCATGCTGGATACTGTATATGGAGTACACAATAAATGATACACTGAAGGCAATGTAACCTGTGGGTTAACTCTCTTATTGCCTCACTAGGATCGCCGCTGATTTAGGCAGGAGCAGTAAAGGGGTTAACCGCTACATACCTCCTCTTTGGTATCCTTGATGCACCAGTGTTTATTTAATGTAGTACTATAGAACTGGTTTGTTTCAACCGATTATCTCGTATCTGTGCAGCAGAAGTAAGATATCTCAGTAGCCTCTGGGTCAGTCATTGATCTTTGTGAAATGCTGCAAAGGGATGGGTTAATACTTCCTGATTAGCATGTTCACAGCACAGGACTGACTGAACCTTCTCCCTCTCGTCTCTCTCTCCCCCATCCTTATTCTCTCACAGCCCCCCCCCCCCCCATCCAGATCTTTCTCTATCTCTCCCCTGTGCTCTATTTCCCTATCTCTCTTCCTCTCTACCACTTTCCCTCTAAGTCTTTCTTTATCCCTTTTTCTTTATTTCCCAGTCTTCCTCTCTCCTCTCCCCCATCTGCACAGGTTCTTAGTAACTCGATTCAGTAAACCCAAAGCCTTTTTGTTGTGTGTGTGTGAGTTGTGTATCACGCTCTATTCAGTGCACCTTAATACACCGTTACAACTGTCCCCCCAAATTATTTCCGTTGCATTTCTCTGTTTCAATGTTTTTGGCTTTCTGTGGATTGTGTAGTCATCCTCTGGCGATTTTCTTCCAGTCTCTTTACTTAATCTTTTCTTTGGGGTGTTTTTAATTCATGTGGGTGCTATAGAAGTATAGCTCAGAAAAAAACAAAAACCTCTACTACCTACAAAGAGACTAGGGCTTTGTAAGGATAGAAAGAAACAAAAATGAAAAGAGAATTGCAGTCCTGACTAACTTGTGAAAGTGTGTTTGTGTGTATGTATATGTGTGTTTTTTAAAGATGTCTTTGAACCGCCTGTGTACTGAATAGGCACAAGCAATTGGCAATGCAAGTCACGGTTAGAGACATTCTGATTTAACCTCTTATACCGAATGAACCTTTTCATTTGCAAACCGATAAATCTCCATCTCTGGCTACCTTTTGTAGGAGCTGGCTGGGGCTTACCAAAAGCAATCATTTTTTTTTCCTGTTTTTTTTTTTAAAATTTTTATTCTGTTCTTAATGAAATTTGTATTTTTGAAAGTTTTTCTCACTTGTAAAAAAAAGTTTGGGAGATTGCATTTTTTGGAATAAAACAATAATCTTCAACGACTGTGGATGTGGCAAAGTAAGATCATTCACTTTATATATTCTCGTTGGAACGTTAGATTTATTTTATTTATAGTTTTTTTTTGGCTTTGTATTGTGTCTGTGTATGTATAAAAGTGCTATTGGGGGGTTTAGGAAGTGATTTGCAAAATGTACAACAAAATAATCTGTTTGAAATAAAAAAACTCAAATTTGGCAGAGTTAAAGATAAATTTTAAATACAGTTAATCTGACTCTCAATTTTGCAGATCAACACAACTCTGTATTTAGTAAATAACCCCCCATGTGTGTATGTGTTTCTGTATGTCAGTAAGCCTGAGTTATATCAAGTTACTAATAAGACAAGGGGTGTAGTAATAAATTAGTGTTAGTGGGCTGTATGAACATTCCAAATTAACCCCTTGTTTGGCAAAGGAAGTGTCCTGTGACTGAAACAGGCCTAGGACAAAAATAAAATACAATTAGACTTAAATACATTGCATTGATATTTAATAATAATTAGTGATACCTGATTAATAACAGAATTTACATTTCTACATATGTGTTTTTTTCTTTTTGTGTGTTTGCAAAATACTAAGATTTAAGAATAATTGGCAATACTACTGCCTTTTAATATTGAATTATTTTCTTTTTCCTGTAGAATTTCATATACTTTCCCCCCCCCCAAACACACACACACACATATATATATATATCCGTTCAAAAAGTTACCTACACTTGGTATGTTGTTTTTATATTCGGTGCAATGTAAATATTATAGTGCAAAATATAACTTATTAATCTGTCTATAAATAGTATTTTTGGCAAATAGATATGTTTTACTGTTAACCATTTGAGTATAAGTACAACCCCCAAATAAGTTGCACTCAAAGGGTTAACTTGGTGTATGTTTAAAAGAGTGTGAAATATATCTACAGCAATTTATAAACGCTTTCACTCAAAATAAATATGTTCAATAATCATTGAAGGGTAATGCTGAGATCAACTTCCCCCCAAAAATATATAATTATTGCTATTAATTTTTATTTAGATGTACAGATTGGTTTACATATTAACCAGTTGGATGCTTAGTTCAGTTCCTTAGTTTCTTCTAAAAGGATAAAACAGCTCCTATCCAATTCACTTTAACTATTTGATTGTCAGAACTTATTAAGAAACTCAGTTAAACCAGTATGCCAGACAGCATGTTTGTTTACAAAATATATGACAATTATAAATAATAATAATAATAATAATAATAATAATAAATAACAAAACCCATACTTAATTTATTGTTACACATTAGTTATGAGCAATTTGTGAAATTCCCATCTTGTTATTTTCAAATGGGCGAAACCGCAACTGAACACATTTTCTATAATAAATAAATAAATAAATAAATAAATAAATAAAATAAATTAAATAAAATAAAAATTCCCTCCAAATGATTGGCTGGTAGTGAACATGTATACATTTATAATAAATAAATAAATAACAATTTAGGTGTTTTTTTGCAGTATTTTAATGCTATCTAATACCATGACTAGTTTCATTGGGGAAAATGTACCTATTCCTCCAGCTATGTATTCTGCGTGTGCTCCCCATCCCCACGCGTGGGTAAGAAGGTAGCGATGCCTTTTATTGATTCAAGCAATATAAATATTAATTACACAATAACATCCGATAAATGATCCAGCTGCCATTTCTCCACAGTGTTATAGAAAAATATCTCTCAACAGTGTTACGCTATACAAAATACATGAATGATATATTAAGCTTATTTAACCTTTTATGTACCAGAGTGAAGACTAAACGACAAGATTAGAAAATTGACAAATATGTAAACACACAAACAATGTACATATTAGTACGGTGTCCGAGTTTAAAGCATTATACTGCATAATTATCTGTTGTATTATTATTATTATTATTATTATTATTAAAAAAAATAAAACTATGGCAAAATAATGTATTTCTGTTCTGGACTGAGAGTTTGTATCACGTTTGTCTAATAAATTATTGATGCGAAAATCGTTAGTATCCAGTTAAACAGTATTGGAAACATCTTAGCAGTTATAACAAAATGAACGCACAGGAAAGAGAATGTACATGCAGGGGTGTACAATCAGGATAACAGCATCGACACATGTTTCTGTCCAATGACAAAAATAATCCTCTAAAAAAAACTCTATTTTAGAACATGACATATTTGGTAAAAAAAAAAAAAAAAAAATGGGAGAGGCTCGATGGATTTTAATGCATTCCGAATGCAAAATAATCTTTAAACAAGCTTATAAATGTGTCAGTGTGACACAAAATTGGTCCAAATGTTTTTTCACCTAGCCATCAAAGGGTTAAACCTACTGATTTGAAGTGTGTGTGTTGTGTATGTGTATGTATCAACTTAAATTTTACATTTGTTTACTATTAATATATATATGTATATAGATATAGATATATATACACACACACATGTTGCAACTGAAATATTGAGGTATATTTGGCTATGTGTGAATTGTAAAATAGAAAACATACAATTGCTATTATTAGTATTTATAAACCGCCATCATTTCAAAATTGGATACAAAGAAGCATTCTGTCATTCTGATATAGAACCTCTGCTGCTGGTATAAAAACCCTTCACCTTTCCCAGGCCTCACTGTTGTAAGACTACTTACATATCTCAAGCTCAGTGCTCTCGAGCATCTGGGGCATATGGTGATGAAAAGATCATTCTTGGTACACAATTGTCACATAGGGGCTTACTCACCACCCAGTGAATTGTACTTGATTGCCAAATGTAGGCCACCTAGCTAAGTTGGAAAAATCATCCAGTTCTTGCAATGCATACAGCTTGGCTGCTTTAGCCTGAATTGTGCAATGCAGCTTTAAGTTCACTTTGGCGAATAAACCCCTACACGTGTCACTCAGGTACTTCCCATATCAAGGACAACCAGAAGAAAAGGCTGGTTAAGATATCACAAGTAGTAACTGTTTGGTCACTGACTGGCTCAGAAACCTTTTTTCAATGGATAAGCAATGCATTGCTCTTGTCCTTGGGAATTAGAGTGTTAACCCTAAGGAGAATCCACCTGCTTTGCACTATCCTGGTAGCTTGGAAACTACCAGGGGCTTATTCACTAAACAATGAGCATCGATGAGTGAATCCAGGCAAGAGTAGCTGAGTGTGACATAAATAAAATCTAGTGCAACTGACATAAATACATATTTCCCACCGTTTTGCCCTTAAAATTACAATTAGATCTCAACTCAGTGATTAGTAAATAGACCCAATGTGTGCATTTTATTGTCTAATATACACCGTGCCATTTAATTGCAACTGACAACTTGTGACCCAGTCCTTAAACCTGTTAACTCCAATTTTAAAGGATACAAAAGTAGGGCCAGTTTGTGAACAAGGATAGATAGATAGATAGATAGATAGATAGATCGGTTTGCAAGATTGATCGTATTGATTAATTTGAGTCTTGGTTCTAGCTGTTACCATTTAATTAGCCATTTAACTAGTAATAATATTAATAAACTAAACACAACACTATGTTAATGGTGAAGAAATGTCAGATCAATAAACACTGATTGGTATCATTTCAGAGTGCTTGGAACACGCTGATATGTCTCTTGGCATGCATTCGTTATTACTGCACACGTTAATAAATGAAAGCTAATATTCTCTGTCTATACAGCGGTCTAATGGGGACCTCTCATATTAAGCTCACAGGTTGCAATGCAGCACTGAAGCCTCCTTCCCCAGTCTCCCTCTAATGTCGATTTCTATAAATACATTCTCACTTCGCGTATTTTCTCTCCTGCAATTTCTTTCCTCCACAATTTTCTCCAGGCATACATAGTTGTTTTTATCAATTAAATATAATTTAAATTAAAAAAGAAAATATTGTGCACTAATATGAATTCGAGAAACGCACGACTTGCTCTCAATTAATGCTAAGTGGGTCTATACTCTCAGTGTCCAGGATAATGATGTTTTTATAAGCAGGGAAGACAGTGGTTCTTGCTGTAACATTCTGATGTATTAGACAGGCAGGTCCAGTTCACCAGTGATCCCTCTGGTTAGAATATTTAACACATTGATACCCTCTCCTGGCTCTCAATGTGTGAATCACCAAACAATTCAATTTGGCAGGAATTTTAAAGGCAGTAAATAGCCATGGCTGATATTTTCACCGAATATTTGTGAATATTTATAACATGTTCAGCCGGTTTGAAAACCGAAAAAAAGAAAATAAAGGCTGTCTGTGCATGGTGAGATTTATAGTTCACAAACATCTTAGGTTCCATGGAAAGACATTGCCTGTAGACTATGCAATGTGCAGGTTAGCAGAACTGGGATTCTCTGGTTATGGTTAAGGAATATTATAGTTACATTATGGAAATTGAAGTGTGACGTCACAAAGTGGTTGCTAGAATGTTCTCCTCAGATTCAAACGAAGCTCTAAATAAATTCAGATCAGTGACGTAGGTATTCACAGACATCAGAGGCACGGAGACCTCTCTGCTGTCTCCTTGATACAATTTGTAAGGCTTGCAATCCTAAATTTCTTGTCCAATCCAGAAAATGTATCTCATCTGGAGCTCTAAATCAGCCTCTTTCTAAGAGGATAAAACCATGATTTTGTGTGTTGTGTCAAATAATACTTTTGTTAATCCATGTAATATACACTTTGCTCATCCAATTGATCACTTGCACACACCGTACACACAAACATGCACACACACATATGCCACACGCACACACGCGCACGCTGACACACGCAAACACGCACACGCACACACACACACACACACACACACTCACACACACATGCACACACACACATACAACATGAAAATAACTTTTGTTTACACTTAAGTTAATATTGTTATAATCCACGAATTATGGGCCAGTCAAGTGTGCAAAAACAATGACATTCCCTATACAATTCTTTAAAATACATTTTAACCCCTTAAGGACCAAACTTCTGGAATAAAAGGGAATCATGACATGTCACACATGTCATGTGTCCTTAAGGGGTTAAAAAACTGAAGCAGTGGGATGGGGTGGGGGTGATGACCTTAATCTATTATTGATTTTACTTTGAAATATTTGAAAGTGCAATACTGTATTATTGTGAATAAATATAATAAAATTCTTAAATAAAAAAAAGAACTCGGGTATGTTTTATTTTATTTCTATATTTTATTCAGTCTGGTGTGTATGTGTGTACAGAAAGAAATGGAAGAGGTGTGATTGTGTAGAATGTGTAACATCTCCAGTCTTGTTCTCTCTGTCTTCAAACCTACGAATCATTAGCAATACCCTCTGGCTACATGTTTTGCACAAGTGAAACATTAAGTCATAGTTTGTAATACAAACCCTGATTATTTGCTTTACATTTGTCTTGAAGAATTGCAGCAAGGATCCAATCCTTTCCCTCCTCCCACATGTAACTTCTTACAAAATAACAAAACCCCGAAACCTTGAAAAATCTGACTTTATTGGTAAATTGCAAAACCGTAGACGGTCTGGCACTCTTAATTAAATCGTTTTATTTCCTTTTACAACAACTTCGAAATCTGTCATTTTTCTGTGTATATGGTCTCTTACTATATAAAAAAATAATCAATAAAATTCACCAGGACTGCTTTTAAAAATGCAATATAGTTCATAGGGGACCTATTTACTAAACGGCGTTTTGGAACGATTTAAAAAACAAAACAAAAAAAACAAAAAACGATTTACACAATTTAGGCCAAGATTGCAGAGTTGAAAAAAAAAATGTCTCAAACTTGTATTAGATTTTTTGATTTTTAAACTAAGCTTTGTTTTTTTTTTACCCTGTAGTTTGCTAGTCGGTTCTGAGTCCCCACCAACTGAACCTACTGTTCAGTGAATAAGCCCCATAGAAGGCAGACTCTCTTAACACGATATATTCCATCTGCCTATCTTATAAAGCCAGCGCTGGATATTGTCGATCTGTCACTTTATAAAGCGCCTACATATTCCATAGGGTTGCACAAATAAAAAATTTAATTGGCAAGAAGTTACATAGTTAATTATGCCCACCCTCCTACAGAGCCAGAAAAACTCCAAATCGTGTTTGAAATGAATGTTGGCTAAATTCTAATTTCTGAAATATTATTGCTTCTTGCCAGTTACATTTCAACTAAATGTAACTTTATCAGGGCTGATATTTAATACACATTACACCATTCGCCAGAACACGTTAAACAAATAATTGTATCCATTGTCCCAGATCGCTCCAATGTAACAAAACTGAACTGAGCAACTATCACCATAATTACACAACTTACAGGTGTAACAGCACACTATTGATTTCATGTCTTGAAAAATTATCCAGACAAAAAAAAAAAAGAAGGAAACAGAATATACAGAGAAATGATTTTCGCTAATTATCTGCTTCTAGGCGACAATAAACTTGCTGTCTCAATTCACTTCCATAGAAAGTGATTTATTAAATAAAAAATGGAAAGATAGTCTTGCAATTTCTATGACAAAGTACAATTGCTCCATAACATTCTTCATTTTCAGCAGTCTCTCTGTGATGCCCTTTTTATTCTCATCGATCCTTGCCTGTAATATCATTTGGATATTAGCTCAAGAAATGTAATCCCAGAGTCTATATTGCAAGAAATATTGACACCCAATAACTCCTTATCACCACATACTGAGTTATTAGTAAATCACAAGATTCACTTTCATTTTTCTTTTTCTAGGTGCTGTCCCTGTGTGTGAGGCTGTCAGAGAGAGAATGTTTTCTAAAGTGCCTTGTTAAGGGCTACTTCTAAGTGTCCAGACCTATTAGTTGTTTGATTTTTGAAAAGTAAGCGTATTGAAATTTCACAAGTGTTTTTATAAATGTATTTTTTTTTCTGTTGCAATCCCGCCTTCTGCAGCAAGGTGGCGCTGTAATGTATGAATGCTTATCCTTCAGGACAGCTTTTGCAGTAAGCGCAGTTCTATCCATGTGTGTATATTCTTTCCTTTATAAAAATGTAATGTGTGTATTTTCATATTGCTGTTTCATTGCATATAATAATTGGTAACACCATCATTTATTTTATTGCGCATTATATTGTGTATTAAATAATTTAAATGAATTTCTGTCACTTGGTGAATTTAATATTAAAATGAAAATACTAACTGTAGAATGCTTAGAATATAGCTATTATAGTCTGATCTGCTGCAGCTTTAAATATTACACTCGATTTACAGCATTGGGTTCCTGAGTATTGTAAAAACAATCTTAATTATTGTGAGGTTTTAAGAATAAAATATTTAAGCATTTCATTGCAATAAAAAAAATTCATTGCAAATTGCTATTTAAGTGTTTGAACTTCACATCTATGGGAAATACAAAACCAAATATTCTTAAAATAAATTGAGAAAAAACGTGAAACGATTTTTAAAATAAAATAAAAAAACAAGTATGCATCATTTGTTTATAGCAACATTTTATTATTTTTCTTCATCGATTAATATACACCTGGTGAATTTTATTTCTTTTTTTTTTTTTTACCCATGACAAATAAATAAATAAATAAAAAAAAAAAAAAAAAAAAAAACCTGAAATTACTTATAGCATTAAACATTTTAAAAAACATTAAAACGATAATGTAAGCATGAATACAATTAAAGAAAAATACAAAAGAGGTAACAAAAAAAAAAAAAAGAACAAAGAAGAATTTATATCAAGAGCAATAGAAGATTATTTTATCTTACCAATGTATCAATTTTATTTTGTTAATAGATTCTAACTGTCCCCGAACCCAGTTAAATAGAAGGGTGATATCAGATGTTTAACATTCCACTCTTAAAGAAATGCTAGTGTCTGGCTGTAAACGTGATGTTTGATATATAATTGAATTTAGGCGTTTTTTGTGTCTTTAATATATTTTACATTACTTCAGGCTAAAATGTTGACAGTGTGGATAATTATTTCCAACAAGGATTTATTATGAATATATTGGTTTATGTTTTATTATATGATTTTTTTTTTCCCCCAGAGGAGAAGTGATGTATGAACCATGGTAACTTCAGTATAGAACAATAAACAGATGTTATAAAAAAAAAACAAAAAACTGACTGATTTCAGATGTGGGGGATTTATCCATACACCACACTGACCTGTGATACCTATTATAGGGGGATATAGTGAGGGGCATGATCTAAAAGTTTACATCAATTTCGTTCTTTATTATTTATATTAGTGTGGCTATGAGGAACGACAGCACAGATAAGGGGACAGTTTAAAAATCCAGAGAGACATTAACCTGCAGATTGTTTTAAATGATGATGGATATATGAAAAATGGGCTTTGCTTTCAAGCTAATGCAAAATAAAGTTTCTCAATTTTCTGAATCAATGTGTCCTTATTTTGCGAAAGTGGATGGCTTAAAATCTGTTTAGAGAGAAAAAAAAAAACAATCTTGCAAAATTGTTATGGGAGAGGGTGTGGTGGGGGGTTGGGGGGGGACCAAAGCTAAGAAAATGGCACATTAATATAGCTATTATTTCTTGAAATTAGCTTCTCCCCCCCCATACAGGTGTTTGTTACAGAAACAGCTGTGGTTGTAAGGCGTAATGTGTTGATATGGAAACACTCCATATAAACATTATTATTATTTTTATTTTTTTAATATTATCCATTTTGAAATGTATTTGAGTTTTAAATGTTGATATTGTCTTTATTCCAGTAGATATCACCATGTAAAGCATAGATGCCCCTTTCTTTGTAACCCAGATATTAGTAAACTGGTAAAGGCTGGCTGTGCATCATGAGTGCTTTAATTCCCAGGTATAAGGGCTGCTGGGGCACTGTATACTGACCCAGAACCAGACTAAATTGTTGACAAACAGATCCACTTGCATTTGATGTAATTTTGAATTGTGCTCAATGCATTAAGACACATATCTCCAATAGCAATGTCAGCCAGAAACAGACACCCGCAGAACAAAATCTAATATTAAACGAATAGAATAAGATGTCTTATCTGGAAATTGGCGAACATATTATTCCGAGTTAGGGAAGTAGAAATCTCTGCAGCTTTGTGTTAGCACCAATTTCCCATTGTCATTTCATACATGGTATCAGTCCCTCTCTTGGCGTCTTCTTTTTCCCTCATCTATTATAGTTAAAATTATATTCTACAGATAAGGAGCCGACAGAGCCAGAACAATGCATTGGGAACCAGAGAAATACACTCATCATAATCTGTTACCTAATGAAACCAGGATGGGGAGGATGGGGGTTTAACCCCTCACTGGAGGCACCACAACAAATCACACACACACACACACACACACACACACACACACACACACACACACACACACACACACACACACACACACACACACACACACACACACACACAGTGAGTTTATGTCTCTTTACAGGTGTAGCAGATGCATACATGTGTTTGTTTGTATTTACATTTACATTTAAACATTTATATGTTTGTTCCCCTGTGTATGTTTATGTGTCTGAGATTATATCATGTATATGAAGATGTGTATATATTTTATATTATGCATATAAAGATTGTGTGTATGTATGTGATATGAATAGGGAAGTGACTTTAGAAGACAGACAGACAGACAGACAGACAGACAGATAGATAGATAGATAGATAGATAGATAGATAGATAGATTGATGTTAGTATCCGGTCAGTTTGATTGGAGATATTAAGACAAACAGATCCACACATATTTAACACACCATCTCCTCATTACTATCCCAGTGCAGGGAATTCCTCTTCCGAAGTTCGCATTAAATGTAATAAACGATACTATATGTAAAATCTATTGCAGCCTCTTGATACTTGTCTGTAATTAGTTTTACAACTCACCCACTGGAAGTGAAATAATTATTTTATTCACAGCAATCAATAAAAAGTGAGGCACGTGACTGTACTGCTCGACTTATAAATACATTGTTTCAAGGCATTAACCCTTTGAGCGGTGTGTGCTGGCTGTGGAGCGGAGGGTGGCAGTGCCAGCCAGGCTCAGTGTAGTGAGACTGGCACAGTCCCTTCCCGTGCCCTCTCTGTGTCTGTGTGAGTGTGAGCATCCTGTCCCTGAGTCCTTACACAATCAGCTGGTGTGAAGGAGCTGTCAGCATTCATTACACAGCCTGTCTAACAGCACATCTCAATCTCTGCCTGCTGTAAGATAGCCATCTAAACCACCACACTCACTGCCTTCATGTGTCTAAACCCGGCACGGACTGGGCAGCCATGGCACAAACACACAGCTCATACATACACACACACACACACACACACACACACAAACACACACACTACATGCACATACACAAAGTACATACACACACAGCTATCGCATACACGCAGTACATATACACAGCTATCACATACACACAGTACATATACACACACAGCTATCGCATACACACACAACTATCATATATACAAAAACGCATACACAAAACTATATCATATATACAAAAACGCATACACAAAACTATATCATATATACACATACACAAAGCTATCATAAACACACAAATACATACACATAACTATATCCTAGACACACAAATACAGACACACAACAATATAAAAGACACACAAGTAGACACACAAATAGACACACAGAAGAAAAGGGTGCATATATTTTTCTACTTACATGTTCACACAGAAGCAATATTTTATTGCATACATACATATAGAGATATACACAATCTATCAATATAATTATAATAATATCTATCTATCTATCTATCTATCTATCTATCTATCTATCTATCCATATTTATTATGTATCTGTTTAAATATATTTTTGCTGGTTGTTATTTGTGTTTTTATATATGTGTGTTTAAATATGTATGTGTGTTTTTGTGTTTGTGTTGAATGCGTTGCATGTGTCTGTATATTTGGAGATTCCATGCCTAGCTCTCTGTATACGTCTCTGCGGAGGGATGGATTCTGTATCCTCTCTATCATTAGCAGTGATACTGCAAGACGAACATTTTACAAAAAGAATAGTCTGTGTCTCTCGGATAAATCGATAATTGGGGATGATGCCACTTTAATTCTATCAGTGCGCTCCTTAATAGCGGTATATGAAGCGGCACAGCTCTACAATGAGGGGTGTAATAGTGTAATTGTAATATAGATAGGTGAGTGTGTATTCCTTGGGCATATCTTTCAGTTTAACCATATAAAGCAAGGATTCTAATTAAAGGGACAGCATGCACTATTCAATTTACCTGGACATTTACATTTAAGGACCATTAACTGTTTAACTGTGGTCTACAGCTGCCTGGAACGGTCGATATTTTATACGCTTATTTACTATTTATTTTTAGATCACATTTCTTCTTTAGGTCATCCACTTATTGTGAATAGCAATACTTTAACCCCAGAGTTGAGTGATTCATATGGTGATTGTGCTAACACGTGGCTGGTTCTGAAGGGTTTTAAAGGCAACAAATAAATTATTAGAAAATAAGTAAATAAATAATAAATAAACCTTATCACTTGCACTCATTTTAAAAAAGAAGCCATGACAGTTAATAATGCTTCATATAGTTTCTATCAATACTGGATTCGCTTAATTCATCACACAGACAACAATCCAGTAATGCAAAGTTTCAAATGACTTCCAGGAAACCAGCTATGTTATATAACTGATATATTGCATAGTACAATATTCGGACACTTTACCGAGACAAGAACACTTTTCTTTTTCAGACACATTTAACCATTTTATTGCCACATGTGAACAAAAAATGTTCATTGAGTTGCTGAAAACGTACAAAAAAAATCCAGG